TGGGATGTCATGGTTGATACAACCATGACTTCGAGCAATCTACGATCTTGTGAATTTGGATGTTGTATAGTTGAGGAACTATGACGTGGAATCCTGGTTTTACGTGGTTTGAGACCAAACTGGCCGGAATCGATATTTTCCGATGCCTTGAGTGCAGGTTGCAAGTTTTGAACAACGTAGGTTGGTTTTCAACACGTGATACGACGTGAGTTGCTGGGATCAGTTTTTGGCAAACAGAATTTGTGACCTATTTTGTTTTGACCGAACGAGTTTGAACTCACTATTTTGGTGGAACCAAAATAGTCTGAACGGCAATGTGAACTGAGTTGTTGCAGTTTGAGTAGGTGTCAACGTTTGTTTCCTGTGACCTTGGCAGGTGGCGACTTCATCGCTCTATTGGATGTTGTGTTTTGTCTCCTAATGATGATACATGTCAGTCACTCAGGTAGCTTCGAGCTACGTCTTACTCACTGTGATGAGAGACTGACGTCTGAAGGGGGCAACCACATCCATTGGGTGTGTGTTGTCTGCCTCTTGTTTGTGGAGAAGAAATAGAAGGAGAATGGAAACAGTTTTTGGAACTAACTCAACCTTTTAAACACGTGGCTCAAGGTGAAACCTTGTGAACCTGTGAAGAGTTAGCGTAAGACACCTCACGTCCTTGTTTTGTGTTGTTGTGTTACCGTGTGTAACTGCTAACCTGCTGCTGGACAGACTGGAGTGCAAACGGAAAAGGGATCAGACTGAGTGAGGCCATTGGTTTTTGACACTTCGTGAACCTTGCGTTTTCGAGTTTGTGTTAACTAACTGCGCGTAAACTTTTGGCAAAAAATCGGTTTTGATTTTCTACGTGGGATGGCTTGACCCCCTCCACACCCCCACTGGCGTGGGGCAAGACCTATGCCATATCGAAAGCTATAACTATCCCCGCTTGGAAAAATAAGTTTGTAGTGCGAGTGGCAGACGTCGTTTGAATGTTTGAATTCTTTTTCTCAGTTGTGTCGTGGAGTCTTGTTGTTTTGATGTTTTACCGTTTGGTAGCTATCTTTTTTAAAGATCGATTAAGTTTGATATATATAATTTTCCGTGCGCGTAGTTGAGCGATGGTTTGAGGAGTTAACGCTGTGCAATAAAAAGACACATGTTTTGTGGATTTTTTAAAGGATCTTTCGGCCCATGACGGCTCCATGAAGACCAGGATTGAACCGGTGTGACATCTGGTTTTTGGAGCCCTTAGAGTTCAAAATTGGATATATCTAAAACATAAAGATACTTGTATCTTGATTTCTATCGATCTATATTTTGGGACATCTGGCATTTTCTTCAAAACCCCTTTTGTGAATTTGGCAGTTGCCACGAAACCAGTGGTATTTATATATATATATATGCGGCCCTATAATGTCAGGAAAACACATGCACAATTGCAATGAATTTAGACATATGCCCAATAGGAGAAAAAATTGGTGTTAATTATTTAAGCAGATTTTAAGCAGTAATCTCCCCACGCCACATGTCCACATATCAGCTAGCGCCGCCGTGGCCAACTTTCAGCAGTGGTACGACCTGGGTGCCCGCTTTGGCTGCAAAAGCCATCGCGGATATAGGGGGAAGGACTGAAATCTTTCAAATGGTACCTTTCTATTTTTGACTGCATGCATTTTCATCTGATATTCAGAATTCATTGAATTCACACAAATCACAAATCAATTCCAGGACCAGATGAGTAGTGCACCATGGCGTGAACCGATGGCAACTTGATGGAGAAACATTGTACCATGCAAAGCCTGCCTTTTTTGAAAACTGACCTCATCGATGTTTATGTACTTTACTCGCCAAATTTGTTATGGCTAAGGTAGAGCGGCTGCACCCTTATGTTTCTCCAACTCCCAAAGTTTCTCCGAAGGGTTCTTGGATGATTTAGTACTCCAACTTTTCTTATTTGTGTCGAATTTGGATCCTTTCTGATGGAGACTCACCTCTCTTTTTTAAATTGGGGTTTCATGTGTCGCTGCAGCCCATATCTAAGGTGGGTTGCCAGCCGCAGCACGACCTCCACTCCCACCAGGTCCCCCTGACCATGTTCACATCTTTCAAGACTTTCTGGGCCGCCATCCTGTGGATGCAGAAATTTCAGATCTGGATGAAGGAAGATCCTAGTCCAGCAGACAGTGAGCCTCCATTGCAACCGTTTTCATTTCGACAGGGATTTCCTCCTCGGCCACGGACCGACCCTGACGGTTGTTCGCATTTCCATCATAAGCTGCCGTTTTGAGATTCAACTCCAACAAAAGTTTCACAACTGTTTTTTAGCGCTTGACTGTCAGTTGATGCAATGGAATTTCGTGCAACTGGTCTTTTCTGTGGAAGATGTACGCAAATTTACCCTCCTATACTGCAGTAAATTTGTGGATCAATTTCACCGGCAGGTGGAAGACAGACAGGCTAGCCAGTTAAGTCAGACTGTTGCCATGGCACGCATTTGGACTCCTCGCACTACGCGCCCACAAAAGGAAGCAATGAAGTCTGATCCGTCCAAAGCTTTCAGAGACACTGATCGTTGCCTCCTCGCCCTGGAAACTTCCTCTGAGAGCTCTGCTGAAGCTATAGCATGGCTGAAAGTGGCAAGCAGTGGATTGTGGAACGCCTTGCAAGTACTACGTGGTGATGCTGAGACTGTACCTCGAGCTCCGCCAGTGGCCACTGGAAGAGCTTCATCGGCCTCAGACTGTGATAGGGCCGATAGGGCAAATGCTTTTCAGCGGTGGCATGATCGCCGATCCAACAGAAGGGACCTCAGACCCAACGGTGAACTTTCATTGACAAAGATATAAAGAGTGCAAGTGTCGAAGGCCGCTAGGATTGTACAGCTAACATGACCCAAACTCAGTGACAGCGACTGCGACCAAAATTTCAGGGGCGTGGGAGATTTGGGACGAATCCTAACAGTATATATAGTGAATTTGCAGGGTGGTTGGCATGTCTACTGCACATGACGGTTGTGGTGCTGCTTCCCTCGTCACCTTGTTAATTACCAAGCCTGGCAGCCCCTTTCGCTTCACAGCATCTGGTACGCAGGAGTAGTTAGGCAGGCATCTTAGGCCACTGGCTTATATGCAATGGAACAGAACATAGCTTTCTGTACCATGGCCGAATCCTTGTGCCAATTGACTAAGCTGGAAATGTGTGTCGAGGACGTCTGTGAGGCGCAGCAGTCTTGGAAATGTGCAATTGCCAGAATCCATGCAGTCAAAGAGGTACCAACAGGACTAATCACATCACTCGAGCGAGTTACAGGGCAACTGCATGAATTGATAGCTGACCTCAGCGTAGCGGCGTAGCCAAAGAAACCCAAGGTGGCAAGATATCCAATGCACAAAAGAATCTGCTCCTCGTGACGGTCTATCCGAAGAAAAGCAGTACCAGCTGTACCAGCTAGTCAAGTAGTGCAGGAGTGCCTGCTTTAGCAAAGCTGGGATCCATAAGCTAGGAGACAGGCCACAGAACTGTCTAGACTCCGCAACCGCTGTCAAGAAAATCAACGTGTGCGTGTTACCCTGGACAGGCAATTATGATCTTCTATGCTAGGTATGCTCTAGAAGTGTAAAGTGTTGGGAACTACACGAGGAAACTTGACCACTGAACTGTCTGTGTCTTTTCCTGCTACCTGCTCGACGCAGCGATGTTACTAGTGTTTCTTGCTGTATCTTGCTGTGAAATGCTGAACCCTCACACTCCTCTCTCCTAGTTTGTATGTCTTGGGTCCTGTTTTTCTCTTTGGATAGGTGATCCAGGGCTGCTGAAATTGACTGATGTAGGGTCACACTCGCCTACCTGAACCTACCTGAATCCTGCCAAATGGCTCAAACTGTACACATGGAGATAGTGCAGCAGCTCGCCCACAGACCGGGCCTGTTGACTGTACCCCCGGGAGCATGGAGCATTACCACTGGCATCGGTATGACCGTCAGCTGCTTCAAAGCCACCACTTCATGCAGGTCTTTCGTCCCACAGGGGAATTCCCCTTCCAACGTATCTGTCGAAGAACGGATTTTGGTTTTGACGATTTCAACTTCTTGGAAGCCAAAGTCTGGATACTAATGAGCGGTGGAACATTGTGTGGCTGGACGATACAGAATGGGTTCCGAGTGATGACCTCATTGTTGCAAATGGAGCATTGCCGCATGGCTTCTACCGACCCGAGCCGGTTGGCACGCAAAACGAATACAGGGGCTTCTGGATTTTGTGGAATGGAGAATACCTGTATCCTTTCGATCCCTTTGAGAAGAACATTGGACGCTGCACATGGGTAAACTCCAGGCATTTTGCCATGGTTGCAAGCACTGAGAACCGATGCAGGTTGCTGGCGGAGCTTATGCACGCCTACAATGTCCTAGCCAATCGCAAGAGTGTGTTTCCCCCTGAACAAGGCATAATGATTCTCAATGGCCATACTCGGATCGGCGAGGCACCGGGGGAGAATGACGAGGAAGGGGTACGAGTTTAAACACTCGGCCCTCTGTGCCAGGGCCATTGCAGGTGATGTCTACCCAAGCAGAGTGCGGACACACGCCGATCGTTTTCGGCATGTTCATGAGCAAATTGTATATCTGCAACGCCAGATTAACAATAGAATGCATGACGTTACCCAAACCATGCACAGACTAGTAGTGCTGCTTGCTGGTTACGCGGGTAGATTGCTTGTAGCTGTATTTGCACTTGTAAATATTTTTGTTTTTTACTGCAACTTGGCCCAAACGATTGCTAGCGAAAAAGACTGTGCCCGGGTTGTGACCCTGAGTGTTTTCCTATTTGTATCTGAGCCCAATCAAGGCCCCCATGGCTTTTGGGGTGGCTACCATCACTTGAATGCCACAAAAATCAAACACAGTCCTTCACATTTTGTTGTCATATTTTTGGGTGGCGCATGTAGTACAATTATTTGACATGGTGTTGTGGCACAAGCACTGGCAATTTCTTCGTTATTTGAGGTTTTTGTGCCCAAATTTACTGCTACTTGGGATTTGCCAACAATATTTTCCAATGCGAAATCTTCTGGATCGTTTCGGTTAATTTCTAGCAAAGAACATGGGACCAAAGAACGGACATATTCGGCCAATTTGTCACCAAAAAAATATGTTTGTTGGCATGTTATCCATTCGACATTGTCGGCTGTAGTTGATTGGTTGGTGCAAGTGCTTGGGCACCAGCACCATGAACTATATTAGACATTGAATTAGGTCATCCCCTGAAACAAAAACAGGCAACATGCATGCTTCAGATGTTAATGCACGTTTTCGGACCGTTCGTTTTGAATCGTGTTTTCACCATTGTCAAACTGATGATTGGCAAAACCGATTTACCGACCTCCAGACATCAACATTTTATCATCAACATTTGCACAATCTGCGTGTCTGTCCCATGGTGGCAAAAATCATAGGACACTACGAACGTGCATTGAAAAGGGCACCTGGTTTCACGACCGGAACCGTTGCTGGTGTGCCCGACCCCTAGAATACAAAGAGAAAACATGAATTCTTTTCAACGTTGGTGCGGTGATTGTGGTGATGTTCAGGTTGGGGTTCATTGGCGATGCTTTCGTTCAGTTCTCAGATTGTGGTGCACAACAGATAGATAAACAAACAGTATATAGTTTCCCAGCATTTTTGTTTTTTGTGTATTTGGGGGAATGAGTGCAAAATCTTTGGGTTGGAAAGGTGCATGGGTGTGTCATTGTCCATGCCTTGATCGCTTCACATCATCAACATTCGTAGGCGCAGCACGTCGAGCGGACAGGTTCTGGCCAGCATAGCGTTGCCTTTGACGTTCGCAGAAGTTTTCTTGTCCCATTAGATTGGATGTATGGTCTTATGTGGTCGTGAATGTGCTGCAAACAGTCCTTACATTGAGTTCTGATTGTTTGATTTCGCACTTTCATGTGGTTGAACCATGCAGACACAACTTTGGTTTGCCGTTTTGGCACGTCTTGGCACAGTATCCAAGGCTCTGCTTTTACAGTATACTCTCTGTGCTGGGGAGCGTTTGGTCTGCGGCCATGGTTGCATCTGTTGAATGACAAGTTTCCAGGGAGCTCCGTGTGGCTTGGTTTGAATCAATTTTTGTCATTTGGGTTTGAAATTTGTTTCCCCAGAATACCGTTTTGTGCTACCTTTTGGAGAAAAACTAATTTTGCACTATGATTATTGATGTGAGCAACTCAGGCAAGCCGTCTGCCAAAAAGTGGTTCTGCAACAATTCTTATGGTGCCTCAGATCGATTTACATGACAAATTAAATTGGAAACCACTGCCATTTGTTGCTTGATTTGATCTTAATGTGCTGTTTACGCAGCAAGACACCGCCAAGGAATCCAATCGTTTATTTGCCTACATTCTACAGCTTCAATGGCTTGTACCGCATCTTGACTTCAAGTGCAAATTTCTGCTGTCAAACACAACATTCAACTGCTTGTTTCTCCCAAACATTGTGTGAAAAATTGCAAACAAATGGGATTACAGGTGGGCAAAATTTGGAGTCATTGATTGCCAAAGTTCGCCCAAAGCTTAGAAATTGGTTCATTACACACCAGAGACAAACACCAAGAGTAGAGTGTTTCGGATGGAATTTCGTTTGATCCAGGCAATGAATACGTCAATTGTTTGCTCTACATTTGGAAGGCGTCGTGCTCACTCTGAGATCGCTTTGGCAGTCACATCCCTGGCTAGTGTAAACCAACAAGGACACCCAATTTTGTTTTCTTCGGTTGAATAAAGACACCATTTATTTTGTAACATTGAGAATGTGATTGTTTTTGGTCAAGACAGGGAGAGAGCGGCCTGGCTATGCAAACCACTATACAAACCGCTATACAAGCCGAGAAAACAACTCTTGCTTTTGTTTGTTTTCGAGCAGGTTTGGTTGCCGGTGTCGATCGGCATTTTTGCCTTTGTACCTGTGCGGCATCAGGCACTGGTGGCACTACCTAGAAACAAACTTTTTCCCAACGAACTTCTGCTTGCCAATGCTTGTCAACGCTTATCTGCTCGTCTGGCAGGTTGCTGTAAACTTTCTGGCAAATCTGATTTGGCATCTGCCTGAGAAGAGATTCTATCCATAGAGTCTAAGTTACCCAAGGTGGTAGACATACGTACACATACAGAGAAATTTTGTGCAGCAAGGTTTTTGTGCAGAACTTGTTCATGTATGCAATGTTGTTTGCTGCCTTTCTTTGATACTTATCAAAGGAAGTTTAGGGGGAGAAACTTCCGTGTTACGGACTTTTAGAATGTCAGGGAAAGAGTTCGTCAAAGAAAGAGTTAGTGAGGGAAAGAGTTAGTCAGGGAAGAGTTAGTTAGGGACAGAGTTAATTGTAACTTTTAGAATGTCAGGGAAAGAGTTAGTCGAAGAAAGAGTTAGTGAGGGAAAGAGTTAGTTAGGGAAAGAGTTAATCAGAGAAAGAGTTAGTCAAAGAAAGAGTTAGTGAGGGAAAGAGTTAATTGTAAATGACATCTTCAAGTTGGATTTTTGAAGGAAGTCTCGCACGAAATGCGTTTTTGAGAGATAGCAGATGCAGGAAACCCTATGTTTTTCCATACAAAGTCCGTCCCCAAACCTCGATGATCTACCTCTGCGGTGCGACGGGTGCGAGACGGTCTCGTGTGTGGTCGGATCATGCTCGGATCATGGTCGGATCGGTTCCGCATTGTAAATGGGGTCTCACCTGTGTTTCGTGCATGTGCGGTCGACAGAATTCCATTGTGATTTGTAACTGTAGGATCGTTCCCGCAATGTAAATGGGATTGTAAGTGGTGCTGGTGGATGAGTTGCCGATGGAATTCCATTGTGATTTGCAACTCTAGGATCGTTCCCTCAATGTAAATGGGATTGCGAGTGTTGCTGGTGGATGAGTTGCCGATGGAATTCCATCGTGCTTTGCAACTGTAGGATCGTTCCCGAAGTGTAAATGGTTGCGTCAAGGTCTTTTTGCTGTGGCTGCATTGGTAATACTATTGTCTTTTGCAGCTGGACTTCGTAAATCGTATTGGAGTGGCTGGCGTGGCTGCATGAAGGCTGCCACAGTGATTTGTCAGCAGATTTTCTCCATTTTGGCGCTAGTGATTTTCCTTCTAAAAATCCTTTTAAAGAGTGCTACACAATCGTCTTTTTTTCGCTCTGGCGTCGAGATCCGGTTTTGGAGCTACAATTTCCGACGCTGTTGTGCGTAGTTCTATTGTGTTCTGCAGCTCAGTCTCTGCAGATCGCATTGTAATGGCTGCGTCAAGGTTGCTTTGTGCTGTGGCTGCATTGGTAATACTATGGTCTTTTGCAGCTGGATCTCGTAAATCGTATTGGAGTGGCTGCATGAAGGCTGCGACAGTGATTTGTCAGCAGATTTTCTCCATTTTGGCGCCAGTGATTTTCTGCTAAAAATCCTTTCAAAGAGTGCTACAAAATCGTCTTTTTTTCGCTCTGGCGTCGAGATCCGGTTTTGGAGCTACAATTTCCGACGCCGTTGTGCGTAGTTCTATTGTGTTTTGCAACTCAGTCTCTGCAGATCGCATTGTAATGGCTGCGTCAAGGTTGCTTCGTGCTGTGGCTGCATTCGTAATACTATTGTCTTTTGCAGCTCGACTTCGTAAATCGTATTGGAGTGGCTGCATGAAGGCTGCCACAGTGATTTGTCAGCAGATTTTCTCCATTTTGGCACTGGTGATTTTCCTTCTAAAAATCCTTCTAAAGAGTGCTACAAAATCGTCTTTTTTTCGCTCTGGCGTCGAGAAGTGCGAAGAGTGCAGTGTGCAGTGTGAGGTGTGGAGTGTCGAGGGAAGGACACGGTCGGGACAGGTTGTCTTTGAACTATAGGTCATTTATTTTTGGGAAACTTCCGCCGCCGGCTTGCCCGGGTCTATGTTACTTTTATTTGCACAAACCGGAAGAGACACTCAGGCACCCGTTTCATTGGACAGTTCATGGCACGCTTGCCTTTGCAGGAACACCTTGATGTCCTTGTTCTACAATGAACATCGACTACAAGAGGACAGTGAGTGAGGACTGCTTGTTGGAACACTTCAGGTCAAAACAGACTGGCGTTGCCAAGATGCACTGCACTGGGGATGCATTTTGAGCAAACATGTAAGACTTAGAAATGATTGTTGCGATCTCAAACTTAGAACTTTAATGAGAAACTGGATGTGCGGGAGATGTTTTGATCCGTTTGAAGGAATTCTGGATCTTCGGGCAGGGAAAATTGAAAGGTTTGCATCAATTGCAAGGCATGATAGGATTTGGAATGCAGAGTTTCAATAGACCTTTTCTATGGCGAACATTTTGTAAGGCAGTGACAGGAGGTTGGCCACATTAGAACGAAAAGGAGACTCACATGCTGCTCCTGCGACAATTGAATGTGGCAGGTCATTTGTAAGATTCAGGGCCTGCACATGATAAATCTCAGCATCCTGCACCGGCATCACGTTAGGTTTTTTTCTGATACGCCGCAAAACATTCATTCACGCGCCAAACAATCACACACGGATAGACATGCAGCTTTCTAAATGCACATCCTGCATCGTGTCGCTAAGAACACTAGACAGATCAAAGAGCTTTGATACGCTTCCGGACTCATGGCGCTTGCTTTGCGATTACTGGGCCGCTTGCAGGCAGTGCTGCAGCGACATGCAGCGGACAGAAAGTAAAACTCCAACACCTGCCAGGTTCGGTTGTGTAGAGCAGCTCTCGCCACCTTGGCAACCAAGTTGCCGCGCCATCGTCGAAGTCTGAACTCGACTGAACTATTCTGAACTGAAATCTTACATCAGCTCAATTGATCTCACAAATTCTGCAGAGCCAGCCTTTTTTGGCATCTTGGCATGACATGGCATTTCACGAAAGCTAGCGTCAGCTAGCTGGAGTCTTCTTGCTTTAGCAAGTATTGGCGGGGCTGCTCAAGGACATCACGTGATTTTTCACGCGAAAGGCCCCCCCCCCCCCACCACCACCACCACCATCACCACCATCACCATCATCATCATCATCATCGTCATCATCATCGTCATCATCATCGTCATCGTCATCTCATCCATCGTCCTCGTCCTCGTCCTCGTCCTCGTCCTCGTCGTCATCATCATCATCATCATCATCATCGTCGTCCTCGTCATCGTCCTCGTCATCGTCATCGTCATCGTCATCATCATCGTCGTCATCATCATCATCATCATCATCATCCTCGTCATCATCATCATCATCACCATCATCATCATCACCATCATCATCATTCATCATTCATCATTCATCATTCATCATTCATCATCACCATCATCATCATTCATCATTCATCATTCATCATTCATCATCATCATCATCATCATCATCGTCATCATCATCATCATCGTTATTCAATTACATTTTATCATTATTGGCAATTATTGTCATTATCACGAAAGCTAGCGTCAGCTCGCTAGAGTCTTCTTGCTTTAGCACGTATTCCGGGGCTCCCCAAGGACATCACGTGATTTTTCCCGCGAAAGGGCCCCCCCCTGCCCCCTCCCCCATATATATCATTGTTATATATCATATATCAATATATCATTGTTGCATCCTCGTTGGGACGAACAATGCCGCGACACGATGCTGACAGTCCCTCCGCAACTCACCTCTTCCCTTCCTTCTTTCTCCTGCCCCGCTAGCTTTCGTCATCCACCCCCGGCCTCAAGTTTAGGTTCTCGTCGCGCAGCTCGCGCACCTGCAGATTCCAGCGAGGTACCGCAGCCGGCGGAAGCACAGGGTGACTTTGGGCTGCAGCGCACCCTGTATTTCCGCAAGAATGATGACTTCCAGAGCTGAGATTCAGTTTAGCTAAAGGTGGCAAAGGAATGTGGACGCAAAATCTACCGACAAATCTAGCGCCCTTGATAATGGGCTTCGCTGCTTTATGATAGGTGGAATAGATACAGTGGAGTCGACACCTTTTCTCTGTGTGTGTAAAACTTCTACTCCTGCAGGGGGCCCAGGGGCACTTGGATGGCATGGGCCAACGAAGACCCATCCAAGTTGCTGTGAAAACGTACCTGCAATGTTATTTTCTGATCGACATGGCAAGGGGCTAAGCCGAGAACCCCCATCCTGATTTTATTGCACGTTATGGGATTCAGTTCCCGACGGATCACTGCAATGGTCCAGTTCTTGCCTAGTGTGTGTGTGGAACGTCTGAACAGACGTAAAACTTCGCTGGCGGCTTATTTTATTCATATTTCTTATTAGAGCAGGGGATCACCGGGGTCCCGGGGGGTCGGTGATCAATGAAGACACCTCCTCGGGACCACCTGGGCGCATTTAAGTCGCAGCTGGTGGCCGCCATATCACTTATCTTGTTTATTTGCACGTTTTGGGATTCAGTTCCCGACGGATCACTACAATGATCCAGTTCTTGTCTAGTGTGATTTCCACGGTGACTCCGACATGGTGCCATGGACCCAAGTGAGGGAACCCTCTTTAGGGTGAATGCTGACTGACTGACTTCCGAACTCACACATTTTAATCTAGCAATTCGTTTAAGTATTGTGAATCAGTTTGCCTTGCCGTTCATCAGCCTTTTTGTCCTGCCGACCCTGCCGTTTCTGTGTACCTCGGAAACTCTCCAACTTTGCGCAAGTGACGCTGCTCCGACCAGCCAGAAACATGGTCTTTTACAGTGACAGAGCACAGCCCGTGTTGGACCATTACATTTCAGGCTGAGGCTACATGCTTTCAGATGTGGTCCTCTTTCTTTTGATGGTTTTCTGGTGAGGTTGAACATATCGTGCATCTAATTCACTTGAACTTGAACAGTTGTTTAATGCCCACTCGTGGGTGTGACCGACTACCGTCCCGTCGAGGGAGTAACGCACCACCTTGTATCTAGGAATTGAATCCAGATTAAACCACTTCTGTTCTTTCGCACGGTTTCATCAACTAGTTCTCCATTCGGCCCCCTATTTCATGTGTGTGGTTCTTTTCCTATGTAGGTTGGGTCCTGCGCGTGCTGAGGCAGGCTTAGGTTTCGCCGTGGTAGGTTGGTTCAGGCGCTTCTGTCTTCCCCCCGGTCCGCTGGTTTTGCTCCGTTTCCGTCGGCCTCCGCTTTTCTTTTTTCTTGCCCTTTCAGGGTTTGCCCGCTCCCGGCCAGGTGTGTTGGTGTTTGCTCTTTGCATTCCCCTAATTTTCCATCTCATCTTCATGTTCATCTCACTCTCATCCTTGTTTTCATCCTCACCTCATTTTCAGGACCTCACCCTGCCTTGAGCAGGGTGTGTGTGTGTGGAACGTCTGAACAGACGTAAAACTTCGCTGGCGGCTTATTTTATTTATACATCTTATTAGAGCAGGGGATCACCAGGGTCCCGGGGAGGTCGGTGATCAACGAAGACACCTCCCCGGGTCGGTGATCAACGAAGACACCTCCCCGGGACCCGTGTAAACGTACCTGCGGGACTTTGGTGGTGCACCTGGGCGCATTTAAGTCGCAGCTGGTTGGTGGCCACCATAGTCCCATATACATATATATAATATATATAATACATATATAATATATATAATATATATATATAATATATATAATATATATATATCACTTATCTTATTTATTTGCGCGTTTTGGGGTTCAGTTCCCGACGGATCACTACAATGATCCAGTTCTTGTCTAGTGTGTGTGAAACATCTGAACAGATGTAAAACTTCTTCCTAATGGGTGTTGTCATTAGATGCGGCGGGCAGTGAAGCTCATGCCATCCGCTGCCCAACGAAGACGGTGGTTTGAGATTGTGATATCGGGACTGATCAATGATCCAGTTCCTTCCTATAGTGTGATTTCCTTGGTGGCTCTGACATGGTGCCATGGACCCATTTGAGGGAACCCTTTTGGGAGAATGTGGACGAACAGAACTCTGAATTTACACTTTGAATTTAATCCTTCGTCCACGTAAAATGAACAGTCGGCCATTCGTTTGTGCACCATTTTCTCGAGATCCCGCTGCCCCTGCCGTGGACATGGGATGTGGCTAACCTGAGAGCCACAACATCGATTTACCTTACATCAATAATCTTGTTTACTTGCACGTTTTTGGATTCAGTTCCCGACGGATCACTTCAATGATCAAATTTTTTTCTAATGTGTGGGCATCATGCGATTGGCCATTTCCAGAGGAAGTAGTTATTGGCGCTTCGTTCGCGATTGCATGTTCTCTTTTGGGACATTTGTACTGAATTTACATCCTGCAGGGATTGAAGCCATCTGGTTCTTTGCCGGAGTGGCTCTTTGAAGAACGACCAGTATGGCTGGACGTAGGGAAACTCAAAATCCTGGAGTGTACTGTGTTTTCTTTAACAATCTTTTTGTTGAACAACTAGTGCCTTTCCAAACTGTTTGGTGGCATCCCTGCTTTTGAGGCTTTGCTGAGTTTCCTAGAGGATCCGGACGTGCTGCTTGCCACTGCCTCATTGAGCTTTTGGGATAAGTTGGACACAACACCCTGACCAACTCAGCAACATTCAGCAACTATTTATGTGGATCTCTGAAATGCAGGTCCGTTTGGGAGGCCGGGTCCTGAAAAGGGAGGATTCGAAATGGTCTCTATCTAGTGGGTCTTGAGGCATCCTTGTGCTCGCTCTAATTCCTTCTGGATTTCATACTTTTTCCTTATTTTTTCGAGAGTCTCCGAGTCATTCGGCAAGTTTTTTCCGATTGTAGTTCAGTACAGTTCTTTGCTGGTTCCTCACCTGGACCTTGACAACCTGTACTGATCATGTGTGTGGACGAAGTAGCCAAACCTATTTCATCCTATTCCCTTTCTTCGCGTTGACCGTCTATCTACATTGGTATTGTGTGCACCTATATGTGCAAATGTTTGCAAATTGAATCTACATACTCCTGTCATTACATGCAACCCACATTCTGTCAGATTGAAAGATATGGAACGACTCCTAGGGTTTTGGACTCATCGACCCGCGGACTCCTTCCAATCTGCCTCCTTTTTCCTGGTGTGGCCAGGGTCCCGCCGTGCCAGAGGGCTGAGACCGGCCAAAGGGCGGTTGCCGCAGCTGCAGGAGACCGTTCGATTCGTCGAGTCGACTGCATGAATAGACTCCGAATGGATATGATATGATAATATATGATATGATATAATCTGGAATCTGATTTATGATATGATATGATATGATTTGTGATTTGTGATTTGTGATTTGATATATGAGATGTATGGTTCAACATATGATATGATATGATATGATATGATATGGTATGATATGGTATGGTGTGATATATGATATGTTTTGATATGATATGATATGATTTGTGATTTGATATATGATATATTATATATGGTTCAAAATATGATATGATTTGATTTGATATGGTACGATATGATATATAATATGATTTGATATGATATGATTTGTGATTTGATATATGATATGATATATGATATGGTATGATATGATTTGATATCATATGATTTGTGATTTGATATATGATATGATTTGATATGATATGATTTGAAATGATATGATTTGATCTGATATGATATGATATGAAATGATATTTGGTATGATATGATATGATATGCCGGATTGATATATTCTATGTGTCGATAATAATATATATATATACACACATACATACAGTACATATATATATATAAATACATGTCAGATATGATTCATGATATGAAATCCATAGAATTTGCTGAGGAGGTAGCTGTACCCATGGAGCAGCTGCGAAGTTGGGGACGAGAAGAGCTGCAAGAGGACCCACATTTTTTTTCTTCTCAGGGAGCTGCTGGACTATACAGAACTGTTTCGGGATGAGATGATGTTTGAGTATTCGGGGCCTTTTTCAGAGTCCAAGGGTGAAGCGAACTTTAGGAAACCTATACCTACTGGTATGCTTATTTATGTTTGCCTACGTATGAAAGCATTGGAGCCTTGAGGTTGGAATCCATAGGGTTCGTGAGTCAAGTGACTCTATAATCCGCCCCCCTCACAGGCAGCTGATCAAGGCCGCCAGGTTGGAAGAGCAGCGGAGTTAAGTTTTCCTGTGCTTTGTCAAGTCGGAGAGATACAGCAGAAAACATCAAAACAATTATATAAGATGGAAATGCCTTCACTTGACAGGAAAAAATCAACAGAATATCTACTTCTGGAGACAGTCCTGTTCCTGTTTCTTTGGCAGGTTCGACCTGTGGCAGTTTTTGCAGCCGATGCTGAAAATGCAGCTGATGCTGTACAGGTGCCAATTGGCAGCTCAAGGGGAGTTCAAAAAAACACTACTTTTTGCACTTTCCTTTTCGAAAAACGATAAGGTTTCAGGTTTACAGCTGTGGAGGAACATGGACAGTCCGACACCATTTTCAAGTGACCCAGTCTTCATGTCTTCGCAGAGCTTTCTTGGCCCCAAGGTGTTGCGATCTATGGGTTTCAAACGCTTGGCCAACCTTCACACCAAGGAGGGGTCTTTGTGATTGCGGTGCCCCGGTTTTGCAGTCAGTGTGACTTTCAGTCTGAACAATTTGACTCTAGACACATGCGCAATTCACTGGCAGGTGTGTTTAATGGCAGTCTGATATCAGCATCGTCAGAGACCTGGGAGGCTTTTCTGCAGCAGTTGCAAGACCTCCCCCGGAGTGACAATCCATGACGCAGCAGAAAAATGCTGCTGCTGTGTCTTAGAACATGAATTTGAAAGGGGCAGGGGTGCGATGCTAAGACCCAATGGCCCTGGAACTTGAGCTGCGCGAAGACCGGAATATGACATTGAAATATATTGAAATATATTGTCGAAGGAAGTTTAGAAGTCAAACTTCTGGAGAGACGGAAAAGCAGAGGTGGGAAGAGTCAGAGAAGAGAAGAGAAGAAGAGAGAAGATCAGAGAAGAGAAAGAGTAAGAAGAAACACGATGCAGGTGCGGGAAAAGGTAGAAAAGTCGCGAAACACTGCGTTTTTTCCAATGATTTGTGGTTCAGGAAGGTCGAAAAGTAGGCTTGCTAAAGCGGCCGGGTGCGGAGCCATCTGGCTAGATGCGAGATGAAAAATTGCACGCCGTTTCGGCGCGAAGCACATTTGGAAGTCAAAATGCACAAAGCACACCAACGTCGGACCACTTTTGGAAGCTGGGATGTGGAAAAAGTGCACGCCGTTGTGGCGCGAAGCGCAGTTCGAAGTAAAAACGTACAAAGCACACCATGCTCGGAGCACTTTTGGAAGTTGAGATGTCGAAAAAGTGCACGGCGTTGTGGCGCGAAGCACAGCAAGATGCAGTTCACATGGCCGGTGCAGTACAAGAGACATGTTTATCAGACATGTTAGGAGGCCAGGGCGCTGATTTCCTGAGAGCGGTTGCATTTCGGAGCATCAGATCTTCAGGTTTGCTAAGATGCTTTTGCGTGAGAGGTGCAGCACTTCGTATGACCTGGCATCACTTTTTCGTGGCGGGCTCAGTACTTTAGGCAGATGGAGTGGACAAATCGCAAAAACGCATTGGTACGAAGCCGTCAGCTCTGCACTCAGCTTTCTATTTTTGAAGGAAGTCTCGCAGAATTGCTTCGTTTTTGATGTTGTCACCGTCGAAAAATGAGGAAGTCTCCCAGAATTGCTTCGTTTTTGCTCTTGTCAACTTCGAAAATTGAGGAAGTCTCGCAGAATTGCTGCGTTTTTGACGTTGTCAAGTTGAAACATTGAGGAAACCTCGCAGAATTGCTTCGTTTTCAAGATAGATAGATAGATAGATTAGGTTAGATTAGAATAGATTAGATTAGATAGAAACAAAGTTTAGATTAGAATAGATTAGATAGCCCGATAGACAGATAGATAGGTAGACAGATAGCTGGATAGATAGATAGATTAGATTAGATTAGCTTAGCTTAGCTTAGCTTAGCTCAGATAGATAGATAGACAGTATAGTATAGTATCGTATCGTGTCGTATCGTATCGTATCGTATCGTATAGTATAGTATAGTATAGAATAGAATAGATAGAAATCAAGAAAGATAGATAGATAGATCGTATAGATAGATAGACAGATAGATAAATAGATAGATTAGATTAGATAGATTAGATTAGATTAGATTGGTTTAGTTTAGTTTAGTTCAGTTTAGAGTAGATTAGATTAGATTAGCTAGATAGATAGATAAATCGGATAGATAAGATAGATAAGATAGATAAGATAGATAAGATAGATAGATAGATAGACAGATAGATAGATAGACAGATAGATTAGATTAGGTTAGGTTAGACTAGAACAGATTAGATTAGATTAGATTAGAATAGATTAGACCGACAGATAGATAGATAGATAGATAGATAGATAGATAGATAGATAGACAACTACAACTACAACTACAACTACACTACGCTACATTACAAACAACTACAAGTACCACTACACCACAGCTACAACTACAACTTCAACCCCAACCTCCACTTCAACTACACTACAGCTACAACTACCACTAACACCAAGGCTTTAACTACAACTACAACTTCAATTTCAACTTTCAACTACACTACAACTACAACTACAAATACCACAACACTACACTACAACTACCATTACCACCACGGCTATAACCACAACTACAACTACAACTACCGCTAAACTACACTCCTTTACACTACAACCGCAACCACAACTACCACTACACTACAACGACAACTGCAACTACCACTACACTACTACTACAACTGCAACTACAACTAGAACTACAAACTACACCACACCACACCACACCACACCACATTCAGCAGTTGTGGGTGAGGTGACCGGTGACCACTGCAACCACTCCAAAAAACACAAACCCAACCACGTTTCGGTCCATCAGTGGATTCGCTCTGCCATCCATGCATCAGAACAACTCACCTCTCCTATAGTTTCAGTTCTTTGAAACTTCCGCCACTGCCTGGTGCGGTACTACTGGAGGCATATTGAAATATATTGCGTTTCATTCTGCAGATGTTTTTGTGCATTTGACTTTCCATCTGTAGCGCTTCAGCAATCAAGTCTAGTAGCGTTACATAGCTTCAGACATGGCTCCTCAGCTGCTTTCACAATGGAGGCGCTTGACGCATGAACCACAGGACGCATCTAGCGCTTCAAGGACATGTCAGAACACACGGGTCGCAAGATCCCAGCCACCGCAGTGGGGTGTCGCACTGTGAAGCCATGGGAAATATTAGCACTTTGGCTGCAGGGCTGTGGAGGTCCATGGAGACGAAATCTTTCTCTGGAGAAAGCTCTGCGAATTGTGGATGTGTTGTCTCCCAGGTGACCATGTGAAGTTGTGCAATGAGGCGGGAGACCACCAACTTTATCAGCCGCAATGTTTGAGTTCCGACTCGTGGAAGGAAACAAAACAACTGTATACAATAATATATATATATTATATTTATATATATTATATATATATGAGATTACATATAATACACACACATACAAACACCAACATATTGGATCATATTCCTCCATCGTTCCACCATTCATTCACTCAGAGCCAATCTGGGATTGGAAGATCAGATTGCCGTACTTGGCACGATGTTTGTCATTGAAGGAACTGCAAATGGCATGTGTCATGAATTGTAAGTCTTGGAATCTTCAGAATCCGAAAGTGTGTTGTGACAGGAGTGTGCTGTGCGTGCTAGTGAGTACGTCAGGCTGGTAAGAGTGGGTGATTTGTTGCATGCTTTCCAGACTTGAAGATATCAGACATTTTTGAGATTCTTTGGGATTCCTTGAGATTTTTCGAGATTCTTTGAGTTAGTGATCTTTAGCACAAAAACAGAAGACCGAGATCATTGGCCCGTTGCTGAAAGATCAGAAAGCCGCAAGGGATGGCCAGATTCGCATGGAGAAGGTGATGGACGAAGATAGGCCAGGCATTGGAACTTGGAACTTCTTGGCAGTCCAACATGTATGACATGTATGACATTGAGATGAACAGTGATGGGAATGGGTCATTGCTGTCCGCTGCGGGCGTTCTCCCAAGCTTTCTGAATCATATCTGCAGAAAAGACATGCGAAAAACAGTAAGTAGAAAAGCTGAGTTCTTGCAGTGGCGTTGCTAGAGAAAGTATCGTGTGCTTTCACCACACTTTTCGAGCCTCAGCATCTTGCATTTCAGCATTTTTGCAGCCACTCAACCGTGAAAGCCATGCCAAATTCCCTTGTCGTCACGGAACTGCCGACAAAGCAACCGACAGTGCAAGCAAACCAACAACCCAGTATATAAGCCCCCAACTCACTCTTGCAAAGCAAATTGCAAATTGATGGCGGTAACCATTGGTGTGTCTGGCAAGGCCTCTTGTTAGCAACTACAGATGTGAAGTTTGTCGAGGAATGAGTGAAGCCTTACCTGGCAACGTGTGGATTCCCTGCCCTGCAATGACTTAGGTGGACCCCGGACGAGAAGATTCTGAGCGAAGCTTGCCAGAATTTGGCTGGCGCTTCCAAGGTATCTCCTGATGTATTGACCAAAAGTTGGGGCTTTGAACACTTGGAGATAAAGGCATTCAATTGCATTTCTCATACATATTGCTTATGTACTTCATTTTTTTCCCCAAACCGTGTACTGTTAGGGGTTCTTAATGCTTTCTTAAGGTGTCCGCCTTGGTGTTGGATGGTGTGTCCGCCTTCCCGAGGGTCTTGTCTCCCCTTGGCTCCCCTTGTACCTGTTCGTGTTTCCCTTTGTTGGATGGTGTGTCCGCCTTCCCGAGGGTCTTGTCTCCCCTTGTCTCCCTTCTTGTTTCCCGTTGTTGGATGGTGTGTCCGCCTTTCCGAGGGTCTTGTCTCCCCTGTCTGTTTCCCTTTGTTGGATCGCGTGTCTGCCTTCCCAAGGTCTTGTCTCCCCTTGTCTCCCCACGAAATGCCTGTGTTGGATGGTGCCTCCGCCTTCCCAAGGTCTTGTCTCCCCTTGTCGTCTTCCATTGTCTCCCATCTCCCTTCTTGTTTCCCTTTCTTGGATGGTGTGCCCGCCTTCTCGGGGTCTTGTCTCCCCTGGTCTCCCATTGTCCCCCATTGTTCCCCTTTCTCTCCCATTGTCTACCACATGGTGTGTCCGCCTTCCTGACGTCTTGTCTCCGAATTGTCTCCCATTGTCCCCACATGTGTGCCTGTGTTGGATGGTGTGCCCGCCTTCCTGAGGTCTTGCCTCCCCTTGTCTCCTATTGTCTCCCTTCTTGTCTATCCTTGTGTCCGGTTGTCTCCCATTGTCTCCCATTGTCTCCCGACATGTGTGCCTGTGTTGGCTGGTTCACTTTCCCGAAGTCTTGTTTTAGATATGTGTGCCGCATGCCTGTGTTGGATGGTGTGTCCGCCTTCCCGATGTCTTGTCTCCCCTTGTGTCCCCACATGTGTACCTGTGTTGGATGGTGCCTCTGCCTTGGATGATGTGTCCGCCCTTCGCGGTCTTGTCTCCCCTTGTCTGCCTGTGTTGGATGGTGTGTCCGCCTTCCCGATGTCTTGTCTCCCCTTGTGTCCCCACATGTGTACCTGTGTTGGATGGTGCCTCTGCCTTGGATGATGTGTCCGCCCTTCGCGGTCTTGTCTCCCCTTGTCTGCCTGTGTTGGATGGTGTGTCCGCCTTCCCGATGTCTTGTCTCCCCTTGTGTCCCCACATGTGTACCTGTGTTGGATGGTGCCTCTGCCTTGGATGATGTGTCCGCCCTTCGCGGTCTTGTCTCCCCTTGTCTGCCTGTGTTGGATGGTGCGTCCGCCTTCCCGAGGTCTTGTTTCCCCTTGTCTCCCATCTCCCTTCTTGTCCCTTTGTTGGATGGTGTGCCTGCCTTCCCGACGTCTTGTTTCCCCTTGTCTCCCATTGTCTCCTCACATGCGCGCCTGTGTTGGATGGTTTGTCCGCCACCCCGAGGTCTTGTCTCCACTTGTCTTCCATTGTCCCCCTTCCTGTTTCCCCGTCTCCCCTTGTCTCCGGTTGTGTGCCATTGTTTCCCATTATCTCCACATCTATCCCTGTCCTGGATGGTGTGTCCGGATGGTGTCTCCGCCTTGGATCACATCCGCCTTGAAGAGGCCTTGTCTCCCCTTGTCTCCCATTGTCTCCCCACATGTGTGCCTGTGTTGGATGGTGTGTCCGCCTTCCCGAGGTTTTGGCTCCCTTGTCTCCTTGCTTGTCTCCCAGCTTGTCTTCCTTCTTGTCTCCCAGCTTGTCTCCCAACTAGTCTTTCTTCTTGTTTCTCTTTGTGGCGGGTGGTCTGATTTTGCATTTTTTTTCAAACAGTGTACTGTTAGGGGTTCTTAAGGCTTTCTTAAGGTGTCCGCCTTGGTGTTGGATGGTGTGCCTTCCCGAGGTCTTGTCTTCTATCTTGTGTCCCAGCTTGTCTTTCTTCTTGTTTCCCTTAGTGGCAGGTGGTCTCATTTTGCATTTTGGCCCAAACAGTGTGCGGTTAGGGGTTCTTAATGTTTTCTCATGTCATGTGTTCGACCCTGTTCCTCAAAAACACGTCTTGAATCCAGCCACTGTTTGGGGTCTACGGTGGTGTAATTTTTTCTTTACCATGAATGTGCCACAAGTGAAGTAGTCCATTTAGGTCAACTGGGTAACCCGTTTGTAGCCTTCTGCATGCAAGCTACTAAGGCATAAAACTCAATGCCAAGTCTGAGCGAACGGCTTGCTTTTGCATCTACGATAATGAGCCTCTCTGCCTGACTTGCGTCCCCGCAAAGACAGCAACTTACTTGTGTGAAGAATCTACGGAGTCTAGGTTGGTTAGCTCATGTGATAGATTCTTACCAAGACCATCAAATTCATTCTCTACCGATTCTGTGCAGTAAGATGCACAAGATGACGCAGGTTCCGCATGTGGCTACACACACAAGCGTTCAGCAGTGACCTTTCTTGCCCGGCTATTCCATTTGGTTGCATATATATATATGCATATACAACATCATCACAAATAAGCAAGATACTCTGCTCTTCTGATATGGGCAGAAGCGCCCTGAACAATCCTGAACTGAGGGCGGATCCTCGCATTTGCGTTTGGAAGAATGGAAAGGCTTTCCCATCGCCAAACATTGCGACTCATCGGGGGAAGGCCCTGGTGGCTGCAACTGATGTTTCCCACTTTTGAGACAGGTTGGCATTATGCACTTCATCAACAGATCCTTCCTTTATATCCCTTTATGCAATATGGAAACACATTGATGAGTGAATCCTTGCCTTCAAGCCTAAAACCAGCTCAGCGACACAGTTGTGTTTGTATTTGAGGAAATCCATGACGTCGTGAGTTGTGAGGCAGCATAGTGGCTCCGCATCTCAGAGTATATAGAGTTGTCGATGTTGCGTCGGAAGCCATGTGGTATATCACGGGTCCGAAGCTGGCGCAGAGGGCTGCTCGTCATGCCTGGGTAGGCACTGGATCAGAGACAGTTGCAGATGCATATGGCCGAGCTGGAGATGAACGCTATCCCCTGGATGTACAAGACTTTCTGAAATTGTTGCGACGCAAATTTGGTACCTTAGTTCGAGCCTGGCGCGTCGCACTGGACAAAGATAGTGGAAGCGAATTGGAATTTTGTGAATTTGTGGCTGCCGTGCGCCAAATGGGCGCGGGGCAGAATGCGAGAAGCCTTTGGTTCAACTTGGATGTGGATCAGAGTGGCACCTTGAGTCTTTACGACTTGGACCCAATTGCTGCCCATGCTTTGGACAAATTCCGCTATCTCTGTACCAGTCAGTATGGCTCCATTCAGAATGCTTTTGCCAATGTCTTGGATTTGAACAAGTCCGGCATGATTGATATTGATGAGTTCATTGAATGCACGGGAGAGATGGGCTATGATGCAGCCGCCGCACAAGAGCTTTTCGGCTTTCTGCGGCCACGGCCAGGGGCTCGCGTGTTGAAGTCCATTGATTTGGATTTTTTGCAAAAATGGGAAAATGCCAAACAAGAGAAGAAGGAGAAGGCTGGCACTTTGCATGTAGGCTGGGTGAATCGAGATCCATGCGCAGCCTGGGAATATCGGCAAATGGCAGAGAAATTGGCCGCATCTGGCGATACAATTGCCGCTCCCAGAGAAAAGCAGAGGATGTCGGAAACTCCCTTTACAGCAACTGCTGTGGCAATTGCAAAAGCCACAGCACACGCACATGCTGGTGAGTCAGATTCAGCTGGCAAAGAGAGAGCTGAAACTTTGACTTCACTGACTTCACTCTTTCCAGCTGATGCGAAGAAAGCTGCTGGGCATCGAAGAGTGGAGAATCATGCAACAGCTGCGTCCATCATGAAAGCAGGAGAGAGCATTGGATGTTACAGTATGCGCCTAGCTTCTGATAATGAAACAGCTTTTAGCCGCTTTATCCAATATTTGTTGGACAGGTTCAAATCCTTGGCGGCTGCCTGGGATGCTATGGATCCACAGGACACTGGAGAGGTCACAAGGTCAGGTTTTGCCTCTGTTGTTTGTTTCAAGCTGGGCTATTGCAAGAAGGCACCAGAAGCTCGCAGGCTCTTTGAAGCTTTGCCTAAAAAGGACGCACATCGCATCACATGGAGAGATTTGGGACTGACGGCTGAAGATTGGCTGGAGTTTTCAACTCAGAAGAAATGGGATGTGCTGCAGAAACGCTTAGAAGCGCAGAAGAGAAGAGCCGGAGATGGTGCCAGAAAGGCACTCCAGCAACATTACGAGCGGTCTTTGAAGAAGGGACCACAGGTGAAGCTTGTTTTCGGTGAGAAACCTCCCGTATACCATGACAACTTACCAAAGTGGTGGTCTAGGCCTCTGTCTGCCAGATAGGATTTCTTAGAGTTTTTAAAGAATTGCTCAAGAGTGCTGATCAAGCATGTTGCCTTGCAAACCAACTTCCACTGGAGCCATTTGACGTACTGAAAATGCTCAAGTCGTTGTTCTACCTCTGTTACATGTCTGAAGCACAGCAGTTCCAGAGGTTGCAGATTCTGCCTGCAGTGTTTTTGCAGAATGTTCTGTTTCACATGTGGGCCGTGATGGCCCATACCAAGAATCATCTTTGCACCGAAAAGGGTCGAAATTGGGGTTGCTAGCGGGTCATGAGCTTTTCTGCCTTGGCCCTTGGCTTCGCCTGTAGAGAAAGAATCATTCCCTAAGCCGGCTCACAATGCTTTGGACTGAGAGAAGTGTGGCAGTTGCAAGGGAGACGGGGTTTAGCTGCCCTGGAAAGCTGGTATTTCAGCTTTTGAGTTGTGGGTGTTTGGCATTTGGACAACCGTTTTTTTTTGAAATCCTCTGAGCTCAGTGCATCGCAGTGACCAGGCAATTTTAGCGGTTCTGATGCTGCTGGTGCTCAGCCTGGGCATTGTGACCTGCCTCAGTCATGAATGCAGGACGTTTCCAGCACTGTTTGTCAGGATCAATGATATTTGGGTGAATGGAGGCCAAAAAGCGTTGAGCCATGAAAAGGATCCTGTCTCAGAGCATCTTAAGGCTTAAGGAAAGATAGTTGAAACCACCACGAAAGATTCGGACACATAGTGATTTGCTGGTTGAACTATCTTGTGTTGCTGGTGAGGCCTTCGTTGTGTTGCTGGTGAAAATAGGTGGTGCTCCTGGTCTAGGCACTGCTGCAGAGTCCAGTAGAGTGGTCCCAAGATCATACTGTGTATTAAACAATGCATACATGCTTGCTATGTTTGGATATAACTATTGTATATGTATATAAATATATACAATATATATATATTACTATATATATATATATACACATGTATTATTCTGGTTTAATTATGAATGAACAATGCTATTAATTCCCAGCAGCAGAAAGCTGTTGGGTTTCAATCTCTAGAAGCAGGGGGGTGGTATCCCGATTTTTCCCTCCTTGGCGATCAAGACGCAGCAGGGTTCCGGGAACCTTGGAACCTTGGAACCTTGGAACCTTGGAACCTTGGAACCTTGTCTCCCACTTGTCTCCCACTTGTCCCACTTGTCTCCCCCTTGTCTCCCACTCGTCTCCAACTTGTCTCCCACTTGTCTCCCACTTCTCTCCCACTTGTCTTCCACTTGTCCCCCACTTGCCTTCCACTTGTCTCCCACTTGTCTCCCACTTGTCTCCCACTTGTCTTCCACTTGTGTCCCGCTTGTCTCCCACTTGTCTTCCACTGGTCTCCCACTTGTCTCCCACTTGCCTCCCACTTGTCTTTCACTTGTCTGTCTCCCACTTGTCTCCCGTTTGTCTCCCACTTGTCTCCCACTTGTCTCCCAGTCGTCTCCCACTTGTCTCCCACTTGTCTCCCATCTGTCTCCCACCTGTCCCCCACTTGTCTCCCACACTTGTCTCCCACTTGTCTCCCATTTGTCTTGGTCTCCCACTTGTCTTCCCACTTGTCTCCCACTTGTCTCCCACTTGTCCCCTACTTGTCTCGCGCCACTTGTCTCCCACTTGTCTCCCACTTGTCTTCCACTTGTCTCCCACTTCTCTCCCACTGTCTCCAACTTGTCCCCACTTGCCTCCCACTTGTCTCCCACTTGTCTTCCATCTGTGTCCCACTTGTGTCCCACTTGTCTCCCACTTGTCTCGCACTTGTCTTCCACTTGTCTCCCACTTGTCTTTCACTTGTCTCCCACTTGTCTCCCACTTGTCTCCCACTTGTCTCCCACTTGTCTGCCACTTGTCTGCCACTTGTCTCCCACTTGTCTCCCAGTCGTCTCCCACTTGTCTCCCACTTGTCTCCCATCTGTCTCCCACCTGTCCCCCACTTGTCTCCCACTTGTCTCCCACTTGTCTCCCACTTGTCTCCCGCTTGTCTCCACCTGTCCCCGCTTGCCTCCCACTTGTTTTGCACTTGCCTCCCACTTGTCTTCCAACTGTCTCCCACTTGTCTCCCACTCGTCTCCCACTTGTCCCCCACTTGTCTCCCACTTGTCTCCCACTGCTCCCCCAATTGTCTCCAACTGCTCCCCCAATTGTGACCCACTTGTCTTCCACTTGTCTTTCACTTGTCTGTCTCCCACTTGTCTCCCACTTGTCTTGCACTTGTCTTCCACTTGTCTCCGCCTTGTCTCCCACTTGTGTCCCAGTTGTCTTCCACTTGTCTTCCACTTGTCTCCCACTTGTCTCCCACTTGTCTTCCACTTGTCTCCCACTTGTCTCCCACTTGTCTTCCACTTGTCTCCCACTTCTCTCCCACTTGTCTCCAACTTGTCTCCACTTGCCTCCCACTTGTCTCGCACTTGTCTTCCATCTGTGTCCCACTTGTCTCCCACTTGTCTCCCACTTGTCTCCCACTTGTCTCGCACTTGTCTTCCACTTGTCTCCCACTTGTCTTTCACTTGTCTCCCGCTTGTCTCCCACTTGTGTCCCACTGTCTTGCACTTGTCTCCCACTTGTCTTGCACTTGTCTTCCACTTGTCTTCCACTTGTCTCCCACTTGTCTCCCACTTGCCTGCCACTTGTCTTCCACTTGTCTCCCACTTGTCTCCCACTTGCCTGCCACTTGTCTCCCACTTGTCTTCCACTTGTCTCCCACTTGTCTTCAATCTGTCTCCCAGTTGTCTCCCACTGCTCCCCCACTTGTCTCCCACTTGTCTTTCACTTGTCTGTCTCCCACTTGTCTCCCATGTGTCTCCCACTTGCAACCTTGGAACTTTGCCTGCTGCGGCTTGTCTTCCATTTGTGTCCAATCTTAGCTTGTCTGCTACTGTGTATCTTACGTTGTCTGTCACCTTGTTTCCCACCTTGTCTCCACCCTCAGACGTTGGAACCCTTGCTGCTGTTGAGTTGCAAAGCTGGGTTAATTATTTCTTATCCTCAGAAGTATCACTGTATCATGACTATAGTTATTAGTTTTTGTCTTCTTATTTTTACGTTCTTCCTTTTATTACTACCATGTTGTATATGCAGAACACTTGTAAATTGAATACTCTATATGATGCACTTGATCAATCCTCTAGCTTCATGGCTTCCGGTTTCCATCTGACTTGATTGTGGCAGCTGACCGAAAGCGAGCACCTCCAGATCCCAATGAACCTACTTGTTGCGGCTTGGTCTTATTTGACTGTTGTGACAGGTAGATAAGGGAGATCACGGAGACAGAATCTTGATGTGCTGTTTGAAGCTAAAAAATCCTGTCCTCTCAGCACAGACAGAGAAGAAAACTCACATATACCAGAACCACGTGAAACTCCAGCAATTGTCGCCATTGTCAGCATTGTCAGCTATTACATGAGAAGCTAAGCGCTTATATAGGCAGGTTACGGCAGGGGGTCGAAGATGGACATTTGGCGGTGCTATGTCTGCTATGCTTTGGTCCAAACTCAGGTGGGGGAGGTTGACGAGACCTGCCAGTTCCTCAGGGGAAATTGTGCAGAATGCATGCCTTGCTGAATCCAGGTATTTCTTGAGGCATTTCTTGTGCTTATTCTTTGCTATCATTCTTGGCACCAGGCCTCCTGATGCTGATTCTGTGGAACGTCAATCAAAAAAAAGATTTCTAGAGCAGTGAGGCTGCAATATCCATTGCATAAGTGCAATGAGTCAAGGATTGTGATTCTAGTTTAAATGGCAAAGTGCTCTTGCAAAGTGCCAAGAATTTGCCCGCGAAATCGCTGTGATGTCTTCGGCATCTCCAATTGTGGGCATTTCAAAGAAATGTCCATTGCCTGTGCCAGCCATTCTTTGACCGGCACGCTGGTCCTGATCAGTGGCGCAGAGATGGAAAAGCATATACCTGTGTGTCCGCGCCATTTTGCACAATGCGTTGGAATTTGCAGCTGCTGGCATAGTCAGTTTGTATAACTCCCGGCAACTTTTAAACATTCGCCAGATTCCATAAACAGTCACAAAATGCTAAGGAACAATCCGGATTTACTGACCGTCTTTGATCAACGAACTCACAAGTGGTCAATAACTTGAGTTGTCGAACCACTTGCTCTTGCCTGGCAGGCGTCGTCGCATACAGAACAGTCGGAGTTGGGGACCTGCGGAATGTATGTACATTGAATCACGCCATGTGCAGGTTCAGCATTTGGGGATAGGTGGTTTGAGGATGTTTGACGTGTTGGACGTGTTGGACGTGTTGGACGTGTTGGAGTCCTGTTTTGGATTGAGGCCGGGATGGCTCCAAAGGCCCACATACCTCTCGTGAGACTCGCGAGACTCGGGAGGGTCGAGAAAGTGCTCGTGCCAGTGCACGAAGTTCTGCACGTGCTGGTCGACAGCGGTCCAAGGCGTGGAACATCGTGGAACCAGTGCAGTAGTGGCAGTAGTGCAGTCTGTATGGGTCATATGGGCCATTGCCACTTTGCCAACATTGCCAAACGGTGCCAGGCTTTCTCCGATGACAACCCGATGCGAGAGTATAGACCTGCTGAGGTGGATCCTGTTGTGCTTCAAAGGACTGATATTTTCCCTGTCAAAGTATGTCAAAGTAGTAGCATGAGTTGATCAGATACTAAGCTGTTTCAGGGCAGGAAGACCTGCATTAGGACCCATTAGGAAGACTAGCTGAGAGGTCCAATTCTTAGGACTGATCAGGTACAAAAGGAGACGTCTATGGGGCACTTCTGGAGCTAGTCCGATTAGACTGCACAGAATACAGAAGATGTATATAGACTATATATAGATGTATGAACATTATCAGTAGAGGCTGATTCGACTTGTTTGCATATATCATTGTATCCTACTCATTCATAGTCCATATCATCACAATTATCACATTTCTGGAGGTCTGATGACTTAGCATATCACCTGTGAGGCTTCAGCTCCAAGTCACCGCACTCGAAGCAAGTGGGACGGGCCAGGTCAGAGTGATTCCAGTCGACCAACATGTCCTGTCAGTTGCCAAATGTTGCTTGTTGGCTTGGTGAATGTCCTGGAATAGTTTGAATAGTCTCATTACGGTAGTATGCATAGTATGCATAGTATGCATAGTATGCATGAGTAATCATTGGTCATTGATGGTCATTGTTGTTTAGTTTGAAGGTTTTTGAACTTGGAGTTGATTGACAGCATTGGTGTGTTTGGGAGTGGATTCACCACAACCTGTTGCACTGAGTCAAGACTGACGTGGGGACAGGTGCTGGTTCTAGCACCGCATATGTGCCTCCTCCATCTGGTGTGACTTGTTGGCACATTTTGACGCTGGAAATCATGTGGCTGCCACATATAAAACACATTTATATAGGATATCCAAGTGCCCACACTTTTATACTGCTTTGTACTGCAAGTAGTTTGAATTGCGGGAATAGTCATTCACAGCTCTATCGCTTACGAATCTCTTTAGTGGTTTCTGGACTCACTAAGTTGGCAGTCTTTGTCTATGTTGCGGAGATTTGCCTGTAATGCAAAGAAGTAGAAGGGTAGAGTTCGAGCCAGGTTGACAGAGATCTTGTCCTATCTAAGAGATAACTGTGTACCTGCACCTCTATTACACTCTCCGGGCAAAGCCCGGTGTGGCATCACGTTAGACGTCTGAGGAAATAGCGCCTTCTTTCGACCCCTGGGCGTCTCTCTGGCATGCTTGCAAATCTTGGCTGAAGTACATCAGCCAGTCCTTGGAATTTGTAAATACTTGCGTTGTCCAACACAGGACAAGTTGAGTCTGACACAGGGTACAGGTGTACACAAGTGAATTCCTCTCAAGATCGGCTTAGACTTCTGACGCGGGTCTGGGAGGCCTGAGGGTGTTTATGCCCGACGACAGAGAGAAAGAGAGAAGGCCCATGGGTGAAGATTTTCTTGACAAAGGAAGGTGTTTGTGTTGATTTTAGAGCTGACGCTCATCGTCGGCTCCGCCGGATTACTTGACCCTCCATGTCATCGCAGGGTGAGCTTGAAAGCTATTGAATGAGGACCTGCTGCTTCAGAAATATATTCCTTATGCTTTTTTGATCTTTTTTGAACATATTCATGGAATCATGGAACTGCGGTTTTTTCTTGGAGCAAGTGGGGAAGGCTTGTTCCCGACAGCTCCTGCGAAGAGTTTTTCCTAAAGAATTGCTGCCAATTTCAACTTTCCACTTCGTGCAAAAGCGCCTCTGTGTAAAGACTTCTCTGTGTAAAAGCTTTTGTGTCTAAAAGCTTCTGTGTGTGAAAGCTTCTGTGTAAAGATTCTCTGTGTAAAAACTTGTGTGTAAAAGCTTTTGTGTGTAAAAACTTCTCTGTGTGAAAGCTTCTGTGTAAAGATGTCTCTGTGTAAAAACTTCTGTGTGTAAACGCGCCTGTGTGAAAAGCTTCTCTGTGTAAAGGCTTCTCTGTGTAAAAACTTCTGTGTGTGAAAGCTTCTGTGTGTGAAAGCTCTCTCTGTAAAGACTTCTTTGTGTAAAAGTTTCAGTCTGTAAACGCGCCTGCGTGTTAAAACTCTCTGTGTAAAGGCTTCTTTGTGTAACAGCGTCTGTGTGTAACAGCCTCTGTGTGTAAACGCCCTTGTGTGTAAAAGCTCCTCTGTGTAAAGGCTTCTCAGAGGCTTCTCTGGGTAAAAACTTCTGCGTGAAAAAGCTTCTGCGTGTAAAAACTTCTCTGTGTAAAGGCTTCTCTGCGTAAAAACTTCTGTGTGTGAAAGCTTCCGTGTGTAAAAGCTCTCTGTGTAAAGACTTCTTTGTGTAAAAGTTTCTGTCTGTAAACGCGCCTGTGTGTTAAAGCTCTCTGTGTAAAGACTTCTTTGTGTAACAGCGTCTGTGTGTAACAGCTTCTGTGTGTAAATCCTTGTGTGTAAAAACTTCTCTGTGTAAAGGCTTCTCTGTGTAAACGCTTCTGTGTGCAAACGTGTATGTGTGTAAAAACTCTGTGTGTAATCACTTCTCTGTGAAAATTCTTCTGTGTGTAAACGCTCCTCTGTGTAAACGCGTTTGTGTGCAACATCTCCTTAGTGTAAAGACTTCTCTGTGTAAAAGCTTCTGCGTGTTAAAGTTCTCTGTGTAAAGACTTCTCTCTGTGTAAAAGCTTCTGCGTGCAAAAGCCAGTCTGTATAAAGTATAAAGATTTCTCTGTGTAAAACCCTCTGTGAGTAAAAGCTTCTGTGTCTACGAGCCGCTCTGTGTAAAGACTTCTCTGTGTAAAAGCCTCTCTGCTTGTAAAGCTTCTGTGCGTAAAAGCTTCTCTGTGTAAACGCGTCTGTGTAAGAGCTCCTCACCAGCAGCATTCATCATCATATTTTCTTGTGTGCTATCTTCTCGTCTGATCCCTCCAGCTTTCTTTCGGGCCACACTGTCTCGTCTAGTTCCAATCTGTAACGTCGTTTCTTGTTGAAGAATGCCAAGAACATGTGAAAGCATCGCCCGTTTAGAAATTGAACATAAACAGCGCACAAAGTGCTGTAATTTACAGCATTTTGCGCTGTCAGATGGCAAGAACCTGCGTAAATACCACAGTTTCAGTCCCCGGAAGTGGATAAAACGCAGTTATTTACAGGGTTTCGTTCACGTCACGATCTTCAAACACGTAAATACCAACGTTAATTGCGTTCATCAAGGCAAAACATCGGTTCAAAAAGTGCAAGCAATGCTGTAATTTATAAGGGTTTGGTACCGCAAATACCAGCGTTTCAGCGTCCAAAAGTGGCCAACACACCACTATTTACAGTGTTTCGTGCCTTCTACGTTTTCTTGACATTCCAAACTGTGTAAATACCAACATTTTTTGCAATCAACCCACCAAAAATGCCGTAATTTACAATGTTTTTTTGCTTTGCCTTCAAAAACATTGGTGTTTGCAGTGTTTTGTGCATCTCTAGTTTAAAAAGTATTGGTATTTACAGCACTTTCTGCGTTTTTGCATTGTTCCGGCCAAAGGCGTTAAAACGCAAAAATGTTGTAATTTACAGCATTTTGTTGCTTTCGGAAAACCACACATCGTCCGAAAAATGTGTCAAAACGGTGTTTTTTTTCCGATTTTAGGTACCTTCAAAACAGGGATTATGCTCTTAGAGACGCCTATGAGCGACCTGGATTCCGTCCAAAAAACTCTCCCCCAGCAACTTGAAGGATTTTGATGTTTTTCGGGGCCCGGGGTCGGAGGGAAGGCGGTTTGGGGCGCGCCTCACCATAGAGCTCTAGTCGCTCTGGGACGCTCGTAGCGCATTTGTCAGCGCCGGCAGAGCCGAATTTAAGTGCTGCCCCTGCCGCCGACCCCGGAAAAAAAGGACAAGCATATCACATTCGGATGCTGTATTGCGCGTTTTTGGAAACGCTCCGAAACAGGAAAAGGACCAAACGTGACATCTGAAATCCTAGAACAAGAACAACCAGGCGCTAGAACACAAGTCTTAGTCTTTATGTTATACCTGTTTGTCTCATGGTTTTCAGCGCCCTTAGAAGTTAACATTTTCACTTTTACATTCAAAACCATGCATTTTGAGCAGTTTTGGATTACTTTTGGGCACCCCTTGAAACGGGAAAACTGCCACACGTGCCTTCTGAAATCCTACTAAAACTATCTATGATTATCTATCAATTTTCCAATTTTTTCCGCCTTTTTGGCCTCACAATGTTCATACTTTTAGATTCAAAACCATGCATTTTGAACAATTTTTGGCTACTTTTGGAAACCCCTCGAAACGGGGAAAAGGGCCAAACGTGACATCTGAAATCCTACAACAAGAACAGAATCCTAGAACAAAAACATGTGGAAACCCTTCAAAACGGGATTTTTCCAACTTGGTTCAATTTGCAGCCAGCCAGGCGCCGAAACACAAGGACTACTCTGTTTGAAATTATGTTTTTTTTTCAATTTCCTACTTTTAGACTCAAAACCCTGCACTTTCAAATTCATACTCTGACATTCAAAACCATGCATTTTGGTCAGTTTTGGTCTACTTTTGGAAACCCCTCGAAACGGGGAAACTGCCAAACGTGCCTTCTGAAATCCTACTAAAACTATCTATCATTTTGCCAATTTTTTCCACCTTTTTGGCCTCACAATGTTCATGTTTTTTATATTAAAAACCATGTATTTTCAGCAGTTTTGGGCTACTTTTGGACACCCCTCGAAATGGGAAAAAAAGGGCCAAACCTGACATCTGAAATATGACTAAAACTAGCTTCATAGTGTTCATACTTTTAGGTTCAAAACCATGCATTTTCAGCAGTTTAGTGCTACATGTAGAAACCCCTCGAAATGGGGAAAAGGGCCAAACGTGACATCTGAAATCCTACTAAAAGTAGCATTTTCCCAACTTTATTCTAACTTTATCCACCGAAACAGGAAAAGGGCCACACGTGACGTCTGAAATCCTAGAACAAGAACAAAATCTTGTCACCTCGGCCTCTGTTTCTCCTGCTATTTCTCCTGCTGCTGCTGCTGCTTTTGCCGCCTCCGTGACAGTTCCGAAACAGCTAAAAGCCACCCGGTTTAGTAGTCAGTAGTTATAGCTAGTACCTACAAGTCCTAGTCTTAATGCCTGTTTGTGCTATAGTTTTTAGCACCATTAGACTAGCATTTTTCCAACTTTTTCCACTAGTGTTCGCTGCAGTGACTTGTGTTCGCTGCAGTGACTTGCAAGAGTTGCTCCTCTTCTTCCCTGGCGCGCTCCCCCTGCATCAGCCGGGGTCGGCGGATAACACTGTCGAAAGTCCTTGGCATTCTCGTTGTTCTTAGTGATGCTGAGCATTGAATTTCAATTCTTTGCCTTTTTTGCTCTTTGGCAGTTTACACTTGGAAATGAGATGAAAAACGCACGTCTCTGGATTCTGCTGAAAGGTGAAACGCCGCAAAAGCGCGCGAGGTGGTGGCATTGGTGCTTTCACTGGCTTTCTCGGGATACGAGAAAACGAAGATGGTTCCTAAATATGGGGCGCGAGGTGGTCCAACCATCGCCTGAACATGTTTGACGAATTCAGAAAAAGGTTGATTTCAAGATTTCTCAGCAATCACAATTCAACTTGGGCAATGACTTGCTGCCTACACCTTCATAGTGGCGACACCTTGAATGATTCCATACTGCCCAAGACTTGAGTGTTCTTGCATCATTTTCTGTCCTGATTGTGGGGGTGTGGAAGTCGGTTTCAGGATACTTGGAAACACCTAGAAGATTCAGCACTGCACCATTTTACTGCCAGATACGGAAGCCAGCCGGAATGCAGATGAGGGTCCTCGCAATGAGGAAGCAGAACTGGGTTGCGGAATTCCAGTGCCTTCATGTGAGATATGTGCAGTTCATCGTAGTTCCACATGAAGGCACTGATAGGCACTGTATACCCCTTTGGAATGCTTGGGCGAAGGCTTGGGCCTCTCGGTTAATACTTGTGTGGCGCGTCCTGACAGCCTGAGAGTTGTAGACTTTTGACCTTTTTGCTTTGTCCAGGACAAATATCTCAAGATCCGTTCTTGACAGAGAGAGGGAGAGAGAGAGAGATGTTTAATTCTCGATCTCTGGAACTTGAAATATCGGAATTAAACATATCTTTCTCTCTCTCTCTCTCTTTCTCTCTCTCTCTCTCTCTCTCGCTCTCTCTCTCTCTCTCTATCTCTCTCCAAATCGTAAACTCGAATCAGTCCTCTTCAGGACACGCAGATCGGAGCCAGTATTAGTGAATTCTTGAGACGTGGAGTCCGGTTCTCGATATGCCAGTGTCGGTCAAATATGCAACGAAAATAATGAGAAACTTGTCATTCTTATATAGGTTGCAACTTGGAATCTGCTGCCAAAGAGATTGAAGCAACTGCACCACAGGAAGACAGAATAAGAATGAATAAGATAGAATAGAATAAGATAGACGCATTCTTGTTTCACTTGTTTCTCACTTAACAAATTGAAGCATCCGCACGCCAGTGCAGCTTGACGGCCCTCAGGTCGCTCAGGCCGCACCAAAACCAGCTGTGGAAAGACCTGAGGCTGGACGTTGGGACCAAGGGACCCAAGGGCAGAGGGGTGGTAGCGTCTCGGTGTCTCAAAAGGTGTCAACAAGTCAAATGAGTTGATCTCAAAACGATAAAACGGTATGATACAGTCTACAGATGTCCACAGAATCGACAGTTGGGACTCTGGGACAATTCCCTGATTGCCAGATGATGCCGTCCAAAGATGGTGGCTTCATTGCGACAATCCAGCAGGGCTTTCAAGGCTGGAGTTTTTTTTGGCTTTCGTGGCCATATTTTTTGTATCATCCATCAGTGTGTGCTATGACTTACATCGCGTGGACAGAGTCGAGAGTCGAGGATGCACTTGAACCGCCAGGCATTTTTGGACATTTGGCAACTTCCAAAGAGGAGGTACCTCCTTTGATGTCATGATGACGATGATGACGATGATGACGATGATGACGATGATGACGATGCCAATGCCGATGGTGATGATGATGATGATGATGATGATGATGATGATGGCGGCGGTGGTGGTGGTGGTGTTTATTGAAGGGGCCCATTGAACATCGAATTCCGCGATGAAGGCCTTCTTATTGAATAGACCCTTTTCCCTCAATGACGACATACTCGTATCACGACATTTTTTGCGGTTTGCAGTTCAAACAAAACGCCCGTTTGAACCAGCGGTCGTTTCTACAGGTTCTGAAGATGCGTGGCCCCATGTCCGCAGTCGAGTACGAGGAGCGTTATCAATTGACTTCACAATTTATTGATGACGGATGTGATGGCTGTGCAAATGGTGACGTGAAGTGTCCGGTTTGCAGCCCAGTCCAGTTTGTTGCAGGCTGTGCCGGGAGACGATCTAGATCAGCAAGTGCAAAGCTTGGCAAGGCTGAGAATTTGGAAGATTTGGAAGATTGTATGATTGTTCCATTGAATGGACATGAATGGACCCTTTTGGACCCTTGGGTCTGTTGGGGGACCTTGGGATGCTCTTGCACGGATGCCTCTTATTTGGTTCCAGGCAGATCCCGGAGCACTTGGGAGAATGGCTGAAGATCTACCGAAAAGCTCGTGGAGAATACGAGGCCATGGAAGTGAAACCCATGGGCCTTCTGAGTTGGTGCTTGGAAAGAATGTGAATTATATTGAGAACAACACCAGTTGTGACAAACATGCCAATGAGCTGCATGAAATTGGGTGGAGGGATGGGAATTGAAATGCCTGAAGTTGGGCTCAAAATGAGGCCTAACTGAAACTTGTTTTTGGGCCCATGGCAACCCGCGTGCAGTCGATGGACGTTCTACCCGGCGAAGACGAGGTGAGAGCGGTATCGAATGTAGCAGAAGCAGTGCGGTTGCTACGGGTGCCGGCTACCATATGGGAAGCCTTTTTAGAACAAGTTGGGAATCCTGGACAGGAACTTCGAGTTTTGGCAGCCTTGCCAGCTCACATAGTGGTGCAGGCAATTGGACAGGCACAAGCTGCAGGAGTTGGACTATCAGCCACCGAAGCTGCACATGTGGGGCTAGTTTGGCGGGTTGCTAGGATGGCAGTTTACCTTAGAAAGGGTGGTGACATCACGAACTTTGAGGACGTGGACCCCTGGGTGCCGAAGGAGACGCCTAAGCTTCCTGCACAAGCTCATGGGCATGGTGGGAAAGGAAATGGTTTGAAAGAAAAGGTCCTCAAGATGTCGAGTCTGGTGGACCAGACAGATGAGAGTGAGTTGATGCCACCAGACTTGCAGACAGTGCATTCCTGGTCACAAAGGTACCTTCAAGTCATGGGAGACTTGCCAATGGAGGAAGAAGAACCGACGGACGCTCAAATGGCGGCGCTGGACAAGAGGGTGAACCAGTTGGGCCAAGCACCATATGTGGACATGGGCGTCTGGCTACCCTTCGGTCGGAGAGCTCTTCGGAATCAAAAGATGAGGGCTTTCTTTCCGGTGGGGGATGGCACGTTTGTGGCGAGGGCATTTCCTGGCCCTCAGAATTTCATGCAGTGGCAGGCGAGCTGGAAAGTCTTCAAGGTGGCCGCAATCTCCTTGGACATCTGCTCGATAGCATCGCTGCTGTTGTACGAGAAGGCAATCGAAAAGATGACCATACAGTGGCCTAAGAATTGGGGGCTCATAGCTCATGCTGATGATAAAGCGCGGGCCGAACGTCTTGAAAGAGTACGGAGGCAGTTGGTCGTGGACTCCAAGAACGGCAAGAACGTTCCAACGGACTTCACTGAGGAAAAGCCATGGTCGGTGGTTTTCAGGTTGGTGTCGCAAGACGAGACCTATTGGAATGACCAGGTGAGACATCCAGCTACAGCATGGTTGGCATCGGGGTCGAGAGGCGCTCCCATGGCATCGTCAGAAGCCTTAGCTCTGGCCCACTTTCCAGGACTTTCTGAAGGGCATGAGGCGGAGGGCGGCAGCGGTGAGAAAGATGAGAGACGCAGACAAGCTAACAGAGACAAAAGGGCAGCAAAGAAGAGACGTGCCCAAGCTGAACGTGAAGAACTAGCAAAGTGGAGAAGCACGCCGGCTTCGGGAAAGGGTTCTGGAGCAGGCGGCAAAGGCAAGAACAAGATGCAGGGCAAGGACCAGACTGGAGAGGAGATTTGTTTTTCTTGGGCCAAGAACAATGGGCCTTGTGCTGGGCTGGCTCCCGGCGCAGAGTGCAGGTCGAAAGTGAAACGGGCACACAAGTGCCAATTGTGTCTTTCACCAGGACACACCAATGAACAGTGTCCCAAGAAATGAACTGTGCTTGTGTTGAAAAACTTGGGCTTCTCCGTTGCACTGGTGATGGATGAAGGGAGCCCTGTTTTGTGTTTTTCACGTTGCACGAGTGCGGAAGAGTTCATGACACGTTGAAGTAGGTTTCAATAGGTCAGGTTTCGAATTGGTTGAATTCGTTTGGACATGGCTCGAGAGTTGACCATGGCAGTCTTGAGATGAACGTTCATGTGTATCGCAGCCCCCTTTTCAGAATGAGTACGGCGTCGAGTTCAACCAAGATCGCTGACTCTAGTCATGGAGTGAATGCGGAGGTGTCCAAGCGGGTGGAACTGTGCCTTGAGAAATGTCAGTCATACGCAGAGTTCAAAGAAGAAAGACATTTCAAGTTCCTTCATTTGTTTGCAGGGCCTCGTGACGTTTTGGCTGAAGCCTTGAGGGACGAATGCGAAAAGGAAGGGTTGAAGGTCGTGGTGGAATCCTATGATAAACTCATTGATGCAAGCCACGATCTTTTAGCAGAGCGGCCTTTCACGGACATCTTGAAGAAGGCCAAAGAGGGCGACTACGATGGTGGTCATGCTGGATTTCCCTGTGGGAGCTTTTCAAGGGCAAGATACAACCTGGAAGGCGAAGGACCCAAGCCTGTGCGGTCTGGAGCCGAAATTTATGGCTTGGCAACAAACAGCCGAGCACAACAACAAGAAGCTGACAGAGGAACAGTGATGGCTGTCAGGTCAGCCATGATCATCAACGAGGTCATTCAGAGTCAAAGACGCAGAGCGGTGCCGTCAGTGGGAACGTTGGAGAACCCGCCTGGAAGTGAGACAGGTGAAGAGGGACCGGCATGGGCTCTCCCCGAATTGATGTCGTTTGAAAGAGACTTGGGAACGACAACAGCCTTGTTCAACACGTGCGCTTACCAGACCAAGTTGAGGTACAAGTGGTTTAAGCCAGGACGCTTCACGGGCTACTTGGCCGATTTGGACAGGCTGTCAAAGAAGTGCACGTGCCCTGGATGGAGCCGACATCAAGCTTTGATAGGCAAGAACATGACGTCGAGGGCGGCAGAGTACCCTGAGGAATTGTGCAAGGCATATGCAGCTTTGGTTGTCAAGACGTTCAAGACCACGATCCAAATGGAATGGTGGAGATCAGTCTTGAGAAAGAAAAAGGAAGAAGTGTCAGATGCACAGCTGAGGTGGTTGGCCAGCAAGGCCAAACGACAGTTGCCCCCGGTGACAACCCAGGATTTGTCCGCCTCTCGAAGAGTTTGGATGGCAGACAACGTGGATGCTAGTGAAGGGCCTTCTGATGGACCGTCAAAGAAGAAAAGACGGGAAGGAGAGAACGAGCACTACGTGGGGGGCATGCGGAACCCGGCAAAGGCGGTGAGTAGACTTAGCAAGCTGGCAGAGACAGGGAAAGACATCAGGAGATTGTGGACAAGATTTCTGAGAGAATATCCTCAAGCAGTCGAGACGGCAGAGGAGTACGGAAGTGAGAACTGCCAGTTGAAGGAGAACGTTCTCAAGGCATGGACGGATTGCATCGAGCACTTCTTGAAGGTCAAGGAATTTGATGAAGTGGTTTTGAGACCCCCGGAGAGATTCACATCTCCATTGAATGCAAAGCTTCTAGAAGCTTGGCGAAAGCATTCAGGTGATCCGGAGATGGACCTAGTGTCATGGATCAGATCGGGGGCTCCGTTGGGCATGGCAGAAAACATCCCCTACCGCAACATCTTCCCGATGACGGAGGGCAATGAAGGGGAGTTTGAAAGCATGCCCGAAATGGAGGCTCAGCTGGGGGCAGAGAACTACAAGAGCTTTGTTGAGGAGCCGGAACATGCTTATGCTGAAGTACAAAGGTATTTGCAGAAGGGCTTTTGCATTGAGCTGTCGGAGGAAGAGGTACGGCAGCAATTTCCGGTTGGCACGGTGAGCAAGCTGGCACTCATCATCAAAACCAAGGAGGATGGCACGATTAAGAGGCGTGTCATAATTGACTTGTTGCGCAGTGGGGGCAACAGCAGATGTCGCATACGGGAACGCATCGTGTTGCCGAGAATACAAGACGTGCTGGACAGCCTGAGGTACCTGAGAGAAAACCGTTTTGGGTTGATCTTGAGGGCACAGAAGGAGGACTGGGACGATCAAGACCAATGTGACGAAGTGGAACTGGTGTCAGCAGACTTGTCAGACGCATACTGTCACTTGGCGGTCCATGGGAACGAGCTGGGCAACTGCGTGGCGCCGTCAGTCAACCCTGGCAAGTATCTTGTGTTCGTGGCAATGCTGTTTGGCTTCAAGGGAGCCCCACTCATCATGGGAAGGTTTGCTGCGACATTGGCGAGACTGCTACAGTCCTTGGTGCCGGCCGATGAGATGCAGTCACAGCTGTACATGGACGATCCGTTATGGATGTTGCAGGGTCCACGTTGGAGGAGGAGAGAAAACCTTGCGCTCATCCTCTACATGTGCGGGGCCTTGGGAGTGAAGCTTCAGTTTCGAAAAGGCTTCAGAGGAACGGATGCAGTGTGGATTGGAGTACGCATGGAGTTGAAGCTGGCAGAGGACGTGGTCATCCTTTCTATCCCGCCCAAGATGATGAACGAGGTCAAAACAACACTGGAGAGCTGGCAGAACAAGGGCATGGTAGCCCTCAGGGAGGTCAGGGCTGTGACGGGAAAATTGTCATGGATCTGTGGCATCATCGTGAGGGCCAGATGGTGCGTCAACATCTTGTACGCAGTCATCGCACAGACGCTGGCAGATGCGGAAAAGGAGCAAGACAGAGCAACCAGGAGGGACGACACAAGGCCAAAACCCTTCATGGTGGCGGTGCACAGGATTGAATTGCCGCGACAGTGGTTCAGTGCAATGTTTGAGAAGCCAGACAGGTTTGCGCTGAGGCGAGAGGGACTTCGGGAAGTACCAGCTCAGTTTGCGTTGATCACAGACGCTTCCCCCAGAGGAGTTGGCGCCATTTTGGCGGACATCGACAGGAAAAGTCGAGCGATCATTCCGCTCGAGGCACTGGAGATACCCTTCACGGAGGAATATGCCAAATGGATGGGCATACCATGGGACGACCCGGCGGGGCAAGGGCCATTGGAAGCTTGGGCGATTTTGATGGCCATCAAGAAATGGAAGCACCGAATCAAGGGACATTCCTTGCTGATTCGGGCCGACAGCGTGGTGGCTTTGGCGACAGTTTCCAAGGCCTCGGCACCATCTCCGGTGTTGAATTGGATCGGTGCTGAATTGGCGCTGAAGACGGAGGAGCTCAACCTGGGCAAATTCATCACCCAACACATTCCTGGATCTTGGAATGTGGAAGCTGATTGGCTTAGCCGCCCACACCAGCGGGGCGAGATGCCAAAAAGATTGGTGGGGGTGCCCATGCGTCAGTTTCCAAAGGAAAGAATCATGACGTCGGCCTTGAAACCCCCCGGGGTGGACGCGGCGCTGAGATGGGGCCAAGCATCCAAAGTGGTGTCTGCGGCTTTTGAAGAACTTTGAGACATCCGAAGCTGGCAATAAGGAAGAGGGGGCCTCTTTCACAGCTTTGGGGGGAGGGAACTTCAAAGTTGAGTTCATTGTCTCATGCGGAGTTCTTTGGCAGCCACATGACATGAGTAGGCATTTCCATGGGGGTTTATTGACATGTTTTGTGATTTGAAGGTTTGTGTGAATTAATTTGATTTGATGCAGCTGCGTGGGAAAGCTCAAGACAGCAGGATGGACGCGATAGTAGTGTCTGGAGAGCTCACTGAGACCACTGATATTGACAGTTGGTCTTGGGCTGAACTTTTAGTCGTAGTTGGATGGCTCTCCGGGCTCATCACATGCTGTCTTGCCCTACGCAACCTGTGCAAATGCTGCTGGGGCCCACAAGACCCGCGGAAACCAAGGAGCAGGGAAATGGCGGGTTCACAGACAGTGTCACGGGGGGTCGAGGCATCAACGCAAACTATCTTATGCACTCCTCCAGATTCTTTAACCCAGAGGGACAAGGAGAAGGGCAACCGAGCAGTCACGCCAGATCCAATAGCAGTCTACTCCTCCTACAGAAGGGGAGGCAACAGAGAACGTCTGACACAGGACATGGTGGTCAGAGCCTTGCCAGTGCTGTCAGATATGGAGCAAAGAATCGACATGGCAAGGATGAGAGAGAGTTGGAGAAAATCCTAGGCAAGGGCTTGGGGGCAGGTTTTCAGAGATCGGCCGTGCCCATGCTGGGGAACAAGATGACGGCGAACCCCAAGAAGTTTGGAGAGGCAAGGGCGTCAGGACAAAAGATGGTAGACACAGTGGAAGCGCTGACACAAACCAAGCTCACTGGCATGAAGCTTGCATATCAACTGGCAACGTCTACCAAGAACATCAGAAACGCGGTGAACAAGCTGAAGTCCAACTTTTGGGCCCCATCGTCCAGAGCGGCGAGAGACATTAAGAGGAGTGAAGTGGTGAGACTGGCGAGACTGGTAGCGGGAACGGCCCAACAAGTCTTTCCTTTGACACAGGAGGTTGTCGAAGGAGTGGCGGCCTGCATAAAAGATGCCAACATGAAGTCAGGTGACCAGTACTTGAACGAGCTCAAACTATGTCATATAGAACAGGGCTTTGATCTACCACCGTGGCTGGTGAGAACACTGGCTATGTGCAAGAAAGCGCTGATGAGGAACAAAGGCCCTGTCAAAAGAGCCATAGAGGCAAAATTGGAGGACATAGAAGAGGAGCAGTGGGCAACCGATGGTGCAGACGCTGACAACGGGATCAATCCTGCGCTCTCATATGCCTGGGCATGTTTGTGGATGTTGCGGGAAATTGAGGCCAGTGAGTGCAAGTGGGAGCACATACAGATGGATCGGCAACGAAAGACCGTTTCCTTGATGATCCCGATCTCAAAAATGGATCAGGATGCGAAGGGAATCAAGAGAACTTTGCAATGCTGCGGTGAAAACGTGTGTTCCAGGTTTTGCGCATGGAATGTTTGGCTCCGCATGGTGGAAGAGTTTCCAAAGCGAAAAGAGAAGAAAGGATATTTATTCACGGACAAGTTCAAGGGCAAGTTGAACAAGAACAAGATGATCGAGGCTTGGCGAAAAGTCACGAGAAAACAAGTGACAGGACACTCCGCCCGGAGGAGTGGGGCCATGGAACATGTCAGAAGAGGTTTACAATTACAAGAATTGGCATTCCTCGGGCGATGGAAGTCGGCTGTGGTCCTGACCTACGCCAATGATGCCTTGCAAGAAGTTCCTGCCAATCGCAATGGGAGGAACGAAACTCAAATGGGAAATGGCACAGGAACACCTATGCCTTGGACGCCTTGTAGACAGCCTTCCACACCCATGTGCCTGACCCCATGGGTTTCGAAGAAGAGCTCTTCCGGAACAAGTTGAAGGTGAAGAGGAAAAGCAGCAGAATGGTGAAAATACAGCAAAGCAAGCCCTATGGGTGTCGTCCTGCGACAGTAGAAAGGGAAAACGCGTGTGGCACCGAGTCACCAATGCAGGATGGCAAATACCGATGGCAAAGTGGAATACGGCTTGCGGCTGGAACTTCACCAAGAACCCTGAAAAGGTGCGCTTATCAGTGGCACTACAGTTCAACCAGACCCGTTGTCGAAAATGCTCGGAGGTGATGAAATCCCGCGACTTGGTCAAGGAGGGCAAAACGTTGGCAGGCTTCATCACAGGTGAAGCTGTGGCCATGTTTGGCTCATGACATGGCCGAGTTGATGGATTTGACTGTCAGCAACTGCTGACAAACACCAAGCGAAAACAGATGACGGAGTCTGCACCTTGGAGGGTGGGTTGGGCTTGAAGTTGTGCTGCGAATGAATGTTTACACCAGTTGTGACAAACATGCCAATGAGCTGCATGAAATTGGGTGGAGGGATGGGAATTGAAATGCCTGAAGTTGGGCTCAAAATGAGGCCTAACTGAAACTTGTTTTTCCCAACCCCCTTGCAGGATCCCACCCACAAGTTTTCAGAATTCGACGTACAGAGGGCAAAACGTTGGCAGGCTTCATCACAGGTGAAGCTGTGGCCATGTTTGGCTCATGACATGGCCGAGTTGATGGATTTGACTGTCAGCAACTGCTGACAAACACCAAGCGAAAACAGATGACGGAGTCTGCACCTTGGAGGGTGGGTTGGGCTTGAAGTTGTGCTGCGAATGAATGTTATATATATATGTATTGGTTCTATATAATTACATATGATATGATTATATTAATTACATATGATATGATTATAATCATAATATATGATATTGTGCAAGGAAGCCAAGCGCCATCAGTCCTTGTGAGGCTTAGGCCTACCCTCCTAAGACAACTTGACTTGCAACCGCAGTTGCATCATACCATATTTCCATGGCAACCACCATATCTCCATGTGTAGAATCACTTGCTTAGCGTACAAAGATAGACACTGAAATAAAGAGATAGACACGTCTCTTTCACCCGGAGCAAGTTCTCTCATGTTATCTCTTTGCAGCCAGCCGTCGGGCCATGTAAGCCATGTAGCTGTCTTTCCCGTCGAGGTCAGTGGAGAAGTTGTCCGAATGGCATGGCAGTCCACTGTGGGTCCCACAGCGGAGATGCCGCACGGACAAATCCGACGTGAGGCGAGGAAATGGAAGAAATCCAACACGGAAAGGAAACTTGAGATACAGCGAAGACTCTTTGGTCGTTGCAGTTGTTGCATGTGTCCTAAGCTTTTCTCTCTCTTGAGAAATGATAAACCTTCCTTTGACAGGATTCGGCACTACAGGTTGTGCTTTCAGCATTTTGTTGAGTTTGTAAAGACATTTGGAAATTTCTTGAAAAGGTGACAACGGAAATCCATGGTCCTCATGTTCCATCTAGAATCTTGACACGTATGCCAGGTCTTTGTCTTTGTGGAGTCCGATGATGCTGAGAACGATGTACCCGGTGAGCCTCTACACCTCTACTTAAGGCCTGGTATCAGTGCCAGCCGAGTGCATGACTTGCTATGAGTATCTATGAGTATCTATGAGTATCTATGAGTATCTATGAGTATCTATGAGTATCTATGAGTATCTATGAGTATCTATGAGTATCTATGAGTATCTATGAGTATCTATGAGTATCTATGAGTATCTATGGTATCTATGAGTATCTATGAGTATCTATGAGTATCTATGAGTATCTATGAGTATCTATGAGTATCTATGAGTATCTATGAGTATCTATGAGTATCTATGAGTATCTATGAGTATCTATGAGTATCTATGAGTATCTATGAGTATCTATGAGTATCTACGAGTGAGGAGTATCTATGAGTATCTATGAGTATCTATGAGTATCTATGAGTATCTATGAGTATCTATGAGTATCTATGAGTATCTATGAGTATCTATGAGTATCTATGAGTATCTATGAGTATCTATGAGTATCTATGAGTATCTATGAGTATCTATGAGTATCTATGAGTATCTATGAGTATCTATGAGTATCTATGAGTATCTATGAGTATCTATGAGTATCTATGAGTATCTATGAGTATCTATGAGTATCTATGAGTCTATGTCTATGGGTATCTATGAGTATCTATGAGTATCTATGAGTATCTATGAGTATCTATGGTATCTTGAGTATCTATGAGTATCTATGAGTATCTATGAGTATCTATGAGTGTCTATGAGTGTCTATGAGTATGAGTGTCTATGAGTATCTATGAGTATCTATGAGTATCTATGAGTATCTATGAGTATCTATGAGTATCTATGAGTATCTATGAGTATCTATGAGTATCTATGAGTATCTATGTATCTATAGTATCTATGAGTATCTATGAGTATCTATGAGTATCTATGAGTATCTATGAGTATCTATGAGTATCTATGAGTATCTATGAGTATCTATGAGTATCTACGAGTATCTACGAGTATCTATGAGTATCTATGAGTATCTATGAGTATCTATGAGTATCTATGAGTATCTATGAGTATCTATGAGTATCTACGAGTATCTATGAGTATCTATGAGTATCTATGAGTATCTATGAGTATCTATGAGTATCTATGAGTATCTAGAGTGAGTATCTACGAGTATCTACGAGTATCTACGAGTATCTACGAGTATCTATGAGGTATCTATGAGTATCTATGAGTATCTATGAGTATCTATGAGTATCTATGAGTATCTATGAGTATCTATGAGTATCTATGAGTATCTATGAGTATCTATGAGTATCTATGAGTATCTATGAGTATCTATGAGTATCTATGAGTATCTATAGGTATCTATGAGTATCTATGAGTATCTATGAGTATCTATGAGTATCTATGAGTATCTATGAGTATCTATGAGTATCTATGAGTATCTATGAGTATCTATGAGTATCTATGAGTATCTATGAGTATCTATGAGTATCTATGAGTATCTATGAGTATCTATGATCTATGAGTATCTATGAGTATCTATGAGTATCTATGAGTATCTATGAGTATCTATGAGTATCTATGAGTATCTATGAGTATCTATGAGCATCTATGAGTATCTATGAGTATCTATGAGTATCTATGAGTATCTATGAGTATCTATGAGTATCTATGAGTATCTATGAGTATCTATGAGTATCTATGAGTATCTATGAGTATCTATGAGTATCTATGAGTATCTATGAGTATCTATGAGTATCTATGAGTGTCTATGGGTATCTATGAGTATCTATGAGTATCTATGAGTATCTATGAGTATCTATGAGTATCTATGAGTATCTATGAGTATCTATGAGTATCTATGAGTGTCTATGAGTGTCTATGAGTGTCTATGAGTGTCTATGAGTATCTATGAGTATCTATGAGTATCTATGAGTATCTATGAGTATCTATGAGTATCTATGAGTATCTATGAGTGTCTATAGGTATCTATGAGTATCTATGAGTATCTATGAGTATCTATGAGTATCTATGAGTATCTATGAGTATCTATGAGTATCTATGAGTATCTATGAGTATCTATGAGTATCTATGAGTATCTATGAGTATCTATGAGTATCTACGAGTATCTACGAGTATCTATGAGTATCTATGAGTATCTATGAGTATCTATGAGTATCTATGAGTATCTATGAGTATCTATGAGTATCTACGAGTATCTATGAGTATCTATGAGTATCTATGAGTATCTATGAGTATCTATGAGTATCTATGAGTATCTACGAGTATCTACGAGTATCTACGAGTATCTACGAGTATCTACGAGTATCTACGAGTATCTATGAGTATCTATGAGTATCTATGAGTATCTATGAGTGTCTATGAGTGTCTATGAGTGTCTATGAGTGTCTATGAGTGTCTATGAGTGTCTATGAGTATCTATGAGTGTCTATGAGTGTCTATGAGTGTCTATGAGTATCTATGAGTATCTACGAGTATCTACGAGTATCTATGAGTATCTATGAGTATCTATGAGTATCTATGAGTATCTATGAGTATCTATGAGTATCTATGAGTATCTATGAGTATCTATGAGTATCTATGAGTATCTATGAGTATCTATGAGTATCTATGAGTATCTATGAGTATCTATGAGTATCTATGAGTATCTATGAGTGTCTATGAGTGTCTATAGGTATCTATGAGTATCTATGAGTATCTATGAGTATCTATGAGTATCTATGAGTGTCTATAGGTATCTATGAGTATCTATGAGTATCTATGAGTATCTATGAGTATCTATGAGTATCTATGAGTATCTATGAGTATCTATGAGTATCTATGAGTATCTATGAGTATCTAGGAGTATCTACGAGTATCTATGAGTATCTATGAGTATCTATGAGTATCTATGAGTATCTATGAGTATCTATGAGTATCTATGAGTATCTATGAGTATCTATGAGTATCTATGAGTATCTATAGGTATCTATGAGTATCTATGAGTATCTATGAGTATCTATGAGTATCTATGAGTGTCTATAGGTATCTATGAGTATCTATGAGTCTATGTATCTATATCTATGAGTATCTATGAGTATCTATGAGTATCTATGAGTATCTATGAGTATCTATGAGTATCTATGAGTATCGAGTATCTACGAGTATCTATGAGTATCTATGAGTATCTATGAGTACTCTATGAGTCTATGAGTGTCTATGAGTGTCTATGAGTGTCTATGAGTGTCTATGAGTATCTATGAGTATCTATGAGTATCTATGAGTATCTATGAGTATCTATGAGTATCTATGAGTATCTATGAGTATCTATGAGTGTCTATAGGTATCTATGAGTATCTATGAGTGTCTATAGGTATCTATGAGTATCTATGAGTATCTATGAGTATCTATGAGTATCTATGAGTATCTATGAGTATCTATGAGTATCTATGAGTATCTATGAGTATCTATGAGTGTCTATGAGTATCTATGAGTGTCTATGAGTGTCTATGAGTATCTATGAGTATCTATGAGTATCTATGAGTATCTATGAGTATCTATGAGTATCTATGAGTATCTATGAGTATCTATGAGTATCTATGAGTCTATGATCTATGAGTATCTATGAGTATCTATGAGTATCTATGAGTATCTATGAGTGTCTAGGTATCTATGAGTATCATGAGTATCTATGAGTATCTATGAGTGTCTATAGTATCTATGAGTATCTATGAGTATCTATGAGTATCTATGAGTATCTATGAGTATCTATGAGTATCTATGAGTATCTATGAGTATCTATGAGTATCTATGAGTATCTATGGTATCTATGAGTATCTATGAGTATCTATGAGTATCTATGAGTATCTATGAGTATCTATGAGTATCTATGAGTGTCTATAGGTATCTATGAGTATCTATGAGTATCTATGAGTATCTATGAGTATCTATGAGTATCTATGAGTATCTATGAGTATCTATGAGTATCTATGAGTATCTATGAGTATCTATCTATGAGTGTCTATAGGTATCTATGAGTATCTATGAGTATCTATGAGTATCTATGAGTATCTATGAGTATCTATGAGTATCTATGAGTATCTATGAGTATCTATGAGTATCTATGAGTATCTATGAGTATCTATGAGTATCTATGAGTATCTATGAGTATCTATGAGTATCTATAGGTATCTATGAGTATCTATGAGTATCTATGAGTATCTATGAGTATCTATGAGTATCTATGAGTATCTATGAGTATCTATGAGTATCTATGAGTATCTATGAGTATCTACGAGTATCTATGAGTATCTATGAGTATCTATGAGTATCTATGAGTATCTATGAGTATCTATGAGTATCTATGAGTATCTATGAGTATCTATGAGTATCTATGAGTATCTATGAGTATCTATGAGTATCTATGAGTATCTATGAGTATCTATGAGTGTCTATAGGTATCTATGAGTATCTATGAGTATCTATGAGTATCTATGAGTATCTATGGTATCTATGAGTATCTATGAGTATCTATGAGTATCTATGAGTATCTATGAGTATCTATGAGTATCTATGAGTATCTATGAGTATCTATGAGTATCTATGAGTATCTGAGTATCTATGAGTATCTATGAGTATCGAGTATCTATGAGTATCTATGAGTATCTATGAGTATCTATGAGTATCTATGAGTATCTATGAGTATCTATGAGTATCTATGAGTATCTATGAGTATCTATGAGTATCTATATAGGTATCTATGAGTATGAGTGAGTATCTATGAGTATCTATGAGTATCTATGAGTGTATCTATGAGGTATCTATGAGTATCTATGAGTATCTAGTGATATAGGTATCTATGAGTATCTATGAGTATCTATGAGTATCTATGAGTATCTATGAGTATCTATGAGTATCTATGAGTATCTATGAGTATCTATGAGTATCTATGAGTACCTATGAGTACCTATGAGTATCTATGAGTATCTATGAGTATCTATGAGTATCTATGAGTATCTATGAGTATCTATGAGTATCTATGAGTATCTATGAGTATCTATGAGTGTCTATAGGTATCTATGAGTATCTATGAGTGTCTATAGGTATCTATGAGTATCTATGAGTATCTATGAGTATCTATGAGTATCTATGAGTATCTATGAGTATCTATGAGTATCTATGAGTATCTATGAGTATCTATGAGTGTCTATGAGTATCTATGAGTGTCTATGAGTGTCTATGAGTATCTATGAGTATCTATGAGTATCTATGAGTATCTATGAGTATCTATGAGTATCTATGAGTATCTATGAGTATCTATGAGTGTCTATAGGTATCTATGAGTATCTATGAGTATCTATGAGTATCTATGAGTATCTATGAGTATCTATGAGTATCTATGAGTATCTATGAGTGTCTATAGGTATCTATGAGTATCTATGAGTATCTATGAGTATCTATGAGTATCTATGAGTATCTATGAGTATCTATGAGTATCTATGAGTATCTATGAGTATCTATGAGTATCTATAGGTATCTATGAGTATCTATGAGTATCTATGAGTATCTATGAGTATCTATGAGTATCTATGAGTATCTATGAGTGTCTATAGGTATCTATGAGTATCTATGAGTATCTATGAGTATCTATGAGTATCTATGAGTATCTATGAGTATCTATGAGTATCTATGAGTATCTATGAGTATCTATGAGTATCTACGAGTATCTATGAGTATCTATGAGTATCTATGAGTATCTATGAGTATCTATGAGTATCTATGAGTATCTATGAGTATCTATGAGTATCTATGAGTATCTATGAGTATCTATGAGTATCTATGAGTATCTATGAGTATCTATGAGTATCTATGAGAGTATCTATGAGTATCTATGAGTATCTATGAGTATCTATGAGTATCTATGAGTATCTATGAGTATCTATGAGTATCTATGAGTATCTATGAGTATCTACGAGTATCTATGAGTATCTATGAGTATCTATGAGTATCTATGAGTATCTATGAGTATCTATGAGTATCTATGAGTATCTATGAGTATCTATGAGTATCTATGAGTATCTATGAGTATCTATGAGTATCTATGAGTATCTATGAGTATCTATGAGTGTCTATAGGTATCTATGAGTATCTATGAGTATCTATGAGTATCTATGAGTATCTATGAGTATCTATGAGTATCTATGAGTATCTATGAGTATCTATGAGTATCTATGAGTATCTATGAGTATCTATGAGTATCTATGAGTATCTATGAGTATCTATGAGTATCCATGAGTATCTATGAGTATCTATGAGTATCTATGAGTATGTATGAGTATCTATGAGTATCTATGAGTATCTATGAGTATCTATGAGTATCTATGAGTATCTATGAGTATCATATGGACTGGCATGTGCTGCAAAGGTACCAAGAGACCACTTTTTGCTTGGAAATTTTTAATCATAGCTTGCATCAAGCAGTTGGCACTGTTGAATACTCTGCAGCCAGGCACACTGCCAATGTGGCCTATGCTAGGGACCCAGACGCTCTTTGCTGCCCTGTCAATGGGCACCAGCGACACCTTTGCAGCTTTGCCGAGTCCTCTGAATCTGCTGAGGATCTCCACTTTGGAAGTGCCATGATGAAGGCAGGAGAACGACAAGCAAAGTCAAGAAGTTAAGGGTTTACTTTGTAGTAGATGGGAGATCGAAATGGCTGGGATCGCGATAGGAGCGGTTGTTGATGCTGCGACATATAGCACTAGACTAGACGCTGGGTTGAAGTCCAAAAAAACTCGCAAATCCTTGCGGGTTGACAGGCTGTCCATGTCTGTCCATGTGTTTGAGATTGCTTGACAAAAGTTACACTCAGGTGCCTGAACAGAATCGACTGTCCTTTACCGAAGAAACCGGGCATGGGGCCTCAAGACTCACTGAATCTGGAAGAAGTTACCACAGCCAACACTTTTGGTATAAACAGAGGAAGTGAAACGCGCTGAAAGTTGCGAGTCATGCTTGGAACAAGATTGATCCATCCCCTGGCCTCATTACAGATTCAGGACGTTGCTGAAAGACAGCGATGCTGACTCGAAGTACAAGGACTGGGCTTTGACTAGCTGACTAGCTGTATGGAGATGTTTCTTGTCACCCAGGGGTGCAGCAACGTTTGCCGCATTGCTGTTGGCTTTCGTTCGAAAAGTCCTTCGGCCGCCCGAGCAGGCCATGTTGTTAGCCAGTGAGCAGGTGGCTTGTCAAGTTGCTGGCGGGTGAGCTGGACGTGGGAAAAGTTTCCCCAACCGCCCGATGACTTGAAGTCTGAAATTGCGAAAGACATTATGTCATATGATTATTTCAATTAAATGCAGCAGCATATGCAAGTATTTCATTATTACTCAGGCGCTGAAGAGGGAGCGAGCAGCAATTTCATTTAGGTGCCACGGGCCCAAAGTGGTGCCTATTTGAGAGGCAGCTGTCCTTTTTTCTTAGCAGCCCTTTAAGGTTGCCTTTGGCTTGGAACCGATCCTTGTGAACGCATACCAAATATACCAATTATCATAGGAATCTTTTCCTCCTGTGCTGCCAAAGTTTGGGGGACGATTCTTGACTCTCAACGCATTGAAGACACCGGTAACTGGGCTCTGCAGGAAAAAGATGGATGATGAGGCTTTGACCCGTCAAGGTCTCAGGTTTCTCGGGTGATATCAACTTTGGGTCAGAAGGTCAGACAGTGAAGGTAGCGCTGTAGCTTGGGTAGAAATTGTTGATTGTAGCATTTGGATGTATTTGGTACTACTTCAAACTAACTCAGCTGGTAGCAGGGTGATAGATCAGCGCCCATCGAAGGGTCTGGCTGAGGTCCAGCTAGCCCCCCTAAGGACAAGGCCCGAGATTCGACGGAAAGGGATGGGACTTTTTTCCCCAGACTTTGACTGTACCTACTTCACCATGTTGGAAACAAAACACCCTCAACTTCCAAAGCGAAGTGTACGTGAGGATGTATGTCAGTGTTTTCAATCTCTTGCAGCTTTATGCAGCTCTGCAATTTATCTTCTGGCAGGGTGTTTGTGTGTACATCATAAATTTGATGGGCAATAGTCTGACCAATGTCGTAAGCCTCCTCAAATAAGTTTGAGCACAATTGTACAGACAAGAGTCTTTCAACCTTCTTGGTTGCAGGGCAAGATAGAGGTGGACAATAGTTCGCCCACGTGGCGGCCCAGTGGGAAAGATCTCACCAGCCGATCTTCTACACGCAATAGCTTTGAGGATCTCCTAGTAGAAGGCTTAAAGGATTGGTGATGGCATCACTCATACCAAAGTGGATGGAGCTTTATTTGCAAGCTGAGCTGATTCATTCAGAGAGAATCCATTGATGACTCATTGATGACACTATGCACTGCAAGCGGCTGGGTAGTGCTAAGGCTTATCTGCCACCTTTGCTACCACTGCTGGGGCCTTGTCAGTCTCGAGAATTTTGTGAACATGTCCAAGTCTTGATGTCTGCAAAAGATCTTCAACTCACCTGGAAGCTCCCCGAAACAGACACTGCTGCTTGTTTGTTATAGTTATACTGATGTAAAAGCATAGTTTCCAAATACTTTTCTCATACATTCCACTTTTTTGAATATGTTGCTGCCAGATGCCAGGTTGTAGCTGAAGTTGTGCTGCATTGTCCAATCTGTCAAAAGGGTAAGGTGCTCTACCATTTCCAATCACCAGGAATCCAATTCGGAGTGTAGAAACATCATGAAACATCTAACATCATATGACCATGTGATGACCATGTGAATAGATGCGAGCGCAGGAATTTCAACAGGAGCCATCTTGGAGTCATCTGCATTCGCCGCTGAGCTCCGCTGGTTTGAGGCTTCCACCGGCACTTCCAGGCCCTGGTGGCAGTTTTTTGCTGCCTGGCAGTGGCTTGGACTTCCTGCCTCAGGCTGTGACGCAACTCATGCGACAATGGAACAAATGTGAACGAAGAAACACTCATTCGATTCAGATTCATTCGTCAGCACGGCCAAAATAGGCAGAGCAGTTGCCAGGACGGGAGGGAATCAGGGAGAGGTGTGAAATTCTGCGGGAACTCGCCAGGGTGCGCCGAACGCTGTGAATCCCTTTATGCCACCAGGCAGAACACGGCTCGGTGATGATCAGTGATGCCTGTTTGATCTGTTTGCGTGGCACCGTGGTGCGCTGACAGGTCCAACTCTGCTTACAGGTGGTCCAAACCTCCTTCAAAGTGCCTTTGCTAACTTGAAATATCTTGAAATACTCGCACTTTATTTTCCGAAGTTTGAGAGGTCTGATGTGAACATCCAAACCAATCCAACATGTCTTGCATCAAGAACTGCTCGTTTGGTATCCTGCAAATCTCGAGTCGCAAACAGGTTTTCGTCTGCACCTGATCAGTCTCTGAAGTAGTCTAAAATGCAGAAACTAGACGCGAAGAGCACTAGACCGAAATGTCACTGTATTGGTAGAGAATGATGGACTGGGAAGAGAAGTTGTCGAAGTTTGCGAGCAATTCTTGATTGAAGTCAAATTCGCGGATCTCAGGTCCCAGTCCTTTCAAGACACCTGGAAGCTCCACCGCTCCACCAAGTACGCCAGGCAGAGACACAGTTTGGCTTTCTTGAACAACACGGGCATGTCATGTATGTCATGTATGTCATGTCCTGAAATGGATTTGAAGTGGGAAATGCACCATTGCTCCCACCATTGCGTGTGTTTCAGGGGTTTCTTCCATGGCCTAGCAGTATCCCTGCGAGAATCGCTACAGGCCTTGGAGTTACACCGAGCACCACTTTTCCTGCCGGTAGCTTCTACAATGTCCCCTGGCCATGGCAAAGACCATGCGGCCGACATGCCCTAACGCGCCATAACGGTGGTACCGGAATGCAAATTTGTGGACTTATAATCAGGAGGCATAGGAGGTAAAGAGGGATGAGGCTGGGATAGTGCCGAGCTTTGACAATGCCAAGTGACCTGTTGGAATGTACTCAAAGTACTCTGAGGGCTCGAGCATCGGGGAACGAAATGTTGGATCCTGATGGAGTAAGGCTGGTCTTGGACCCCATGATGGCAGTTTCTTGTGCGCAGCTCAAGTGTTGCAGCAGTTGAGGGTTGAAACAACACAGTTTCTGATCCGCGGTGGATGAGATCTTTCCTTCTACCTCCAAGATGCTGAGATGAACTCAGCACCTTAACTCCGGAGCTAAGGGGTGTCGGTGGCAGCTTTTCGATGACCAACGGGGTGTGCTGCCTTGGAAACCAGCGTACCATCAAACTTGCAGTGCCAAAGGTTGGTTAGATACTCTCGACATGGTTTGGAGGGTCAACTCAATACTGGGCATTTGCCAAACTGTCGAGTATCTGTCGAGTAATCATGGGAATCAGTCAGATATGTCAAATGTGACAGCAAAGTTTGCGGCTGCTGAGATGCAAACCTCCTGGGGAAACCTGCCACGGACGGGAAGCAACGTCTGCTTCTCATCAATGCAGATGCTGAAGGGCTTTCTCAAACATCCGCTGCACGGCTGTACAGCCCAGGTCCAAGTGGGGATGCCCTTTTCGCCATTGGTTGGTGGGACGCCAAGAGGGGCACTGTTTAAGGAGAAATGTAAGCTTTCAAGACAGCTTGGTCATGGGGTCATATGGACACTGCATTGCATTCCTGTTGATTCCGCCCTTTTTTTTCTTCTGCAGTTGTAACATGAAACCCTTCAAATTAGTCTGTAACCAATCAATTTCTTGCCAGCAAAATCGGGAGCTTGTGAGGGTCGAATGTCGCCACCCAGCAATCCTGTATCATCCCTGTTTTCCGAGGTTGAGACCACTGGCTGATGGGCTGATGGGCTGATGGGCTGATGGGCTAGGTGAGTCAGCGCTAAGGGGTTTATCCCCAGACTGGAACACAAAGACCACGTCAGAGAAACCATCTTGTAAGGGCAGATCTGTGGTTGGCATGTTTTCAAAAGTCATATTCTCGGGACCCTTGTGCTGAACTTTTTGCTGCGCAAGATAAGCTTATCTTTGACATGAAGAAAACATGTGCTTGATGATTTAACTTGATGATGTGGTGTTCCTGTTCCGCAGCTTCCCATTTGAGAGGCTGAAATCAATTGGATGCACTGGAAACATCCCAATGATTTGGGGTGTGGTTTTGGGTTGGAGTGTCATCAAGCAGGGCAACATAAACACTGGATGCATGTAGCGTCGCCTGGTGGGGATCGATTGATGCATAAAGACGCGGAATTCGAGAGGATCTGATAGATGGCTTAGGTAGTAGTCTGATTGTAGTCTGCAAGCTGCACAGCATCGCGGTTGGGACCAAGAGACGTTCTGCCAGATGCTGGGAAGCCTTTTGAGTTTTGCCCTGTTGGAACTGCCATTGAAGGATGGAGCCGGAATGGTTTAGTTTTGTCTTACCCTTGTTCCGTGTGATTGCCTTTGAACTGCATCAATATCACATCTCACTGTCTAGTAATGTGTCTGACTGTAGAGAATCCTGCTCTCAAACCTTTTCGAAACCTGCGGCGACATTTGTTCAAGGTTGATTCATGTTAAGCCTAAGTTCCATCTCTTTAAGACTTTCTCATGAAAATGGTTACTTAAGCTTGCAGACAGGCTGCGGCTCAGAAGTCACTCGCGAACGCTCGTAGTGACCAAAAACAACCTGAAAGATTCTGCCCACCAAACTGGATGTGGAGCCGTCAGAAAGCTTTGCTCAAGACTTCATTCGTTGTGTTGGCAGTGCATGAACAGTGCAGGAACAAGCTGGTATTGACCGATCATTTTCATTTATTTTGACTGGCTCTGTTTCATTTCTGGCTGTTGAGGATTTCCTGCATCACTGTGTCATTTCCATTTCAATAGGTGAGAGGTATGGCCGGTATGGCACGTCTGTTCTTTTATCGCTAGCAGAGTTGCAACTCAAGTCATGACCTCAAAGCCTCTGGAACAATCAGAAACCTGCCCTTATGGTTTATAAAATTTATAAATCTACAGATGTCTTATACCTCCCTTTTCAGGGCCAAAACACAAATCCTTACAGCTGCAGCCTTACCACAACCATTCATCACAACATTATTTCATCAAGTCATGACCGCGATTTCTGGCTCTGTAGACTGGACGGGCCCCTATAAAGGGGGACATAGTTTCTAAATCGATGGCAACTGCCATCATGCTTCTTCCTCGGCAAATCTTGGTTCATATTCTGATAATCCTGTGAAATCTGTGAATGTTGCGGCAGCTTAATGGGAGTAGCTTGCGACAGCTTCCCAGATCATTTTTTGAATCTGCCTGGTGCCAAGGACGGTGGCACCGCCACCAGCGTGTAAGGATGGTCTGTGCACAGGTGGCATTTGCTGTAGAGTAGAGTTTGGTGGCAGGTCGATGTCGGTGTCAAAGAATACTGAGCGAATTTCAGGCTGTCTGCCGCCTTCAAAAGATGTCTTTGCTCGGCAGGCGCCACCGGAAGGGTCGTGCTGAACGTGTGCCCGGAAGGCCATCTGCTGATCAACAAGGCAGGGCGTGGAATCTGGCGGTCCGATCGTGCAGCGAAGTTGTCAACATTGTTGGGCATATCGGCGTATCGGCATATCGCATGCAAACGAATAGAACTTGGGGGTGCTGGGCTCTATCGTGTTTGGTATTGGAACACCGGATTGACCTGATCGCTTAAAAATAAAGCAAACATATACAAACAAAAACATATGGTATGATATATATATATATACACAGCCAGTATATATAATTACACAACGTACGTATATATGTATCATCTGTACAGATACATCTTATATTATATATTATAGTATTACACATGTGATGAACACTAAATCCATTTGCTGCGGTGCCACTTGGAGCGCTTTCGAAGGTGGTCACTGGTGGCCTCTTTGGCCTGAATCTGAAGCGCTGCGTGCGCTGCAACGAGCAGCTCAAGACGGTGGGATTGGTTTGGGACTGGTTTCAAATTTCTTTTGGACACTTTTGGCTTGAACTTCAGATACATTTGTGAACTTCTCGCCTCGCTTTTTGCATCTTCTTTGACACAAAACTCGCCTCGCTCAGCGGTCAGGGATTGGTTCGCCACAGCTGCAAGCTTTGTGGTTTTCACCTCTGTGAATCGCATCTTGGCGCAACTCAGCCGTTGTCGAACCGTTGTCGAAGAAAAAAAACAGTGACCATCAGTGACCTCAAAACTGGCTGTGCGCTCAGAACGCTCAGAACTGTGATTTGCCTCGGAATTTGGCTGGCTTTGTCCTCGATATGATGTCTGGAAGTTTTTTTTAGCAAATTGAAACACGTAGACGTAGACTGATTTGACAATTTTTGACGTGTTTCTAAAGTTCCTATCCTCAGCAGCAGGTGCTGGACGTTGTGGATGGCTCGTGAAGCCCCCAAGACCTTACTAAGCGGGTCTGTGTCGGCCGCAGCATCCACCTGGTCGACCCCTACGCGGTCAACGCCAACTACACGTTCCACCCCGACCACACGTTCCTCTCCAGCAAGGTGCTGGTGGTGGATCGTGTATGGGGTGAGTTAGTCAGATTGAATTTTATAGAATTTTATACTGTAAATTGGGGTAAGATGGCACCAAACTATACCAAGCGGAATTTGTAGTGCGTGGCCTGAAGGATAGTGGACATACTTTCCAGCGATTTGGTGGAGATATCATGTACAGTACAGAGTACAGTATGTTATCCCTCCTAAAGTCATGAAGAGTAAACCGCCCAAGCAGCCTAGACTCATTGTGTTTTGGCCAGGGCGAGCAGCAGCACTAGTGTTGCTGGGAAGGTGCCTGCGTGCAGGGGTGCTCAGTGCTCAGGACTAGGGGTGAGGAGGGTGAGGAGGCTGAGGAGGGATAGGATCGAGCCTGCTGAACAATTGGCACATAATTCTCCGTCTAAAATCAAGTTGTCTGCGCAAGAAATATGTGCTTCCTTTAGTCATTTAATCTTCCTTTGAGATTTGAGGCAAATATGGTGCATCTTGCTACCAGAAGAGCTCCTGGCATCTACAGCAATTTGCACACCCAGGGGAGACTTGGATACGGATTTGGGAGCGACGCGATTCAGATGGGTTAGCAGGTTGGCATCCGGTTTGAGGTCTATGTGCCAAGAGCAAGCACGAACAAGCACGAACAAGCACGAACGAGCACGAACAAGCACACTAGATTCTGTTGGATTCTGGATGAAATGTCTCGTTTTGACGCTTCTTGTTCATGATCCTCCTGAGGACCACAACTATCGCCATGGCCTCGTATCCTTTAGCTCCTTAGCTGCAAAGACTAATCAGAACCTTGAGCTGTCTTGCTGTCATTCATCCTCCATGTGCTTCTCGACTACTTGAGCTCTCTGTGCCCTTGTTCAAAATGTTCAAAGAGCGTCTATCAGCGTTGCAAATTATGGGCAAGATAAGTTGAAGGATAGCAGTTTTTGTGTTTGTGAAAGCTCACTGAACTGGCACACTCTGGCAGGGATGTTTGCCATTGCCATTTGAGTGGCAAGAAGAAACTATGGAACCCCGTCTATAAGCCACATCCAAAAGCGGTCGAAGCATTTGCAATTCCCCAGGTGCTGGACAGTTCCCAGAATTTCAGAACCTTTGGCAGTTCCTGGGATGCAGCTGAATGTGGACTTTGATCAATGGTTGAGTTCCGGGAGTTTAGTAGGCACAGTGTGACACCAGGGCACTTATTAATTATTAATGAATGTGTTCAAAAGATAGTTGGAGTTTGGGTGCCCTTGATGTCACATTGGTGAGGCTCTTCCAGTTCTATGACAGAGCTGAGTCTGGACATTTAGACAAAGAGGTGCTGCGTCGGTGTCTTTTGATCATCCCAGCAACTGAGTTGTGAGGAATGACGTGGAATCACCAGCCATTTCTTCCCATGCCCTTCCCACGTGCACGGGAAGGAGTTCATCCAATCCCTGCAGAGTTGTCAGCGTTTGGGGGGTTGCTCGGAGCTTAAAGAGGAGGAACGGTGCCTGTGGCGGAATGGGCTTTCTTTCCATGCCATAAGCCATCAATTTTGTGTGAATCTACCATCCGAAAAATGACAGTGAATTGGGGATGTACCATGAGTAAGACCATGTAAGTACTCATCAATGAATGATGATAAATGGCGATTTAAAATCACTGGGGACATGAACGACTCCTTTTTAACCGGTATGCTCCGTAATACCCCAAATCCAAACGCTAAAATTGGGTAGGGTTGATTATCGGGTTGGTACCACATCAGATTCTGTGAGTTTATAGGAAAACACAGATTTTCACACAAGGCCCAGGGTTTCAGCACATTTTGCAAGGAAATGAAAAGCTGTGCCCGATAGTTTCATAGCCCATAGCCTTACCCGTCGGCTGAAACATCATGGCAGGAAGCCTGGGCACAGGCTGGAGGCCCGTGCACGGGCTTCCTGAACTTCAGCCAGTTTGCCCATTTTGCAGAGGCACGGCAAAAGCTGGCGGTCAGGATTTTTTTTGACACCAATCTCCGTACGGCAATGTTTCTTGTGGAAATATGTAGGACCACCGGATTTGATGATATTTTTCTACACGCCTCCAGTGAAAGTCTGACATTTTGTGCTGGTAGGCCCTGGGCCTGACGCTGCCGGTGGGCTTGGAGCTGTCTGGAGTTCCGCGCCCCTGCAGGCTGGTTTTGGTGGATTTGGATGCTCGACCCTGGGACTGCTCATTGAATGAAACGCTCAGGCTGTAGAAAACATCCACGTGTAGGCTTCCCCACATGAAGCTGATCATACTCTAAGTTTTTAATTGTTTCTTTGCTTGGAACTTGTGGAGAGCAAGTAATGTGATGCCATTTTGGCTCAAGTCCTCCCCTAGTGACTAAGTTCTCGAAAAAGTGCCGCCAGCTTGCTGCAGTTGCTTGTGTTTGGTTTCTGACATTTTCAATTCTATTCGGGAACACTTAGTTAGTTTACAATTTCAAGAGCAAGTCAGCGATCAAGCCATGGATTTAAGCTGTAGATTTTGACAGGGTTGCGACAACAAGCTATCACGTGAGCAAGTGGTAGTTGATGCGCAGAGTCTTGGTCCTTTGTCTCCACTTGCTGTGGCACCCAGTACCGCAGGTTCCGGATCCGCTTGAAAAACAACGGAGAGGACGGCGAAGAGGAGCCATTGGAACCACAATCGGTGCACCTTGCGGTTAGCTGAAAGCAGTTGCGCAGAGAGGATTGACCAGAACATGTATATAACCACTCTTCAAACTTGCAGTTCATGCTGCCAAACTCGCTGTTCGTTCCAGTCATAGTTCATACCTGCTTGCTTGGCACAAGGAACTGTTCCACTGCAAACACAAGCGGCTAATGTCTTGGGGTTTCGAAAGATCTTGCCGAAAGAAGACACGATGCAAACAAAAGCTTGAGTTGCTCCCAACGGCACAAAGGAGTTTTCCTGCAGTTGCACATGCTTTGATCCGGACGAAAGAGGACAAGGCAATGTACACATTGGATTCTTGACAGCAAACAATTCTTATCTCCTGTGCCGAGACCCTTGGACCTGTCGTATACTCACACACGTTTTCACAATCGTCCCAGAATGAAGGGTCACCGTTTGTTCTTGACTCTTGATGCTTGCAGATCTGACCTTTTCTCCATGAAGTTATGAGGGCCAGAGCTTGTGCCGTGTTGCTCAATCTCATTCTTACCTTTGTCGTCTGGGAGGCGTGCTATGCAAATGCCAAAGTCTCAGATTGTGTATGCTTTGCATTGGAACACCAAATGCAAGGGAATGGATCGGGGTTGGAGATACGTTCACGAGGCTTGAGGTTTCAACAAAGTTTTTTTTGCAGCAAGACATTGTCCTTGCTGGGCATCAACAAATCAAGCAGCATGAAGAATATCCCGACCAGTTCGATTCAATGATTGTGCCTTGTCACTTTGGGCCAACCGAAGGTGGGCACAAGCTCAGCATGCATAGGTCCAACTACGCGGAGGACAAATATGCAAGGTCCAACTATGTAGTCTTTGGGGAGCAACGGCATTTGTCCAGGAAATGCAAAACTGCAAATGCTCTCATTCGTTGAATTTCAATGTATTTCCGGTAAATGGATGTAAATGGCACTGTTTCCTAGATTCTGTCAGATGTTGTGAGTCTTATAGGCACGTTCTCCACCCTTTCCTCTGCAGGGATTGTTACGGCTTGTCCTTGCTCCCAGGACACCTCTGTAGCCAACATCGATTCGCACCTGCGAGATGGTTGGGTCCCAGATCAGGAAGGCCTTGTGGCCGTGACCGACCAGGACGCTTTGCCCAGTTTTGACCTGACCTGCCTCAAGCGGTGTGTCATATTTGTCTAAATATGCCATGATAATCCATGATATATATATATGTATATGTATATATTTTGATATATATATAATAATAATATCAACATATATATATATATACACATGTATTGGTATATATATATTGATATGTATATATATATTGATATGTATATATATATTGTTATGTATATATATATATACGTATTGATATGTACATATACATATATATGTATTGATATATATGTGTATGGATACATATGTATTGATATGTAGATACATATTATATATATATATGTATTGATATATATATATATATGTTGATATATATATATGTATATATATGTATATATATAATTGATATTTATATATGATACCCAACATTACTTAACAGGATTTTTTTGGGCTCCGTTGGATGGTAGAGCAGCATGGTGACTTCTTTCACTCGGATGACAGGAGCTGCTTGCAAGGCTCCAGGCGGTCTTGAATGGCAGCCACAAGACCCATGACAACTGGTGGCCGCCTCATCCGCTCCTTTCAGTTTGACGCCCAGAAGATGTACATATCCTTTAAGAGATTGACGCATTGGATAAGGACGCGAGACAGAGGCTGCAGGTGCATTTACTGGAGTGGGTCAGAATAGTGCTACCGCGAGAAAGATTCCTTTGGGTGGGCAATTGATGGCAATTGGCCTTTGTGAAAAACAATTCTATTGGTGAAGCAAAAGACGACAGAATTCACTAGATGGCCAGATGGCTGACCATCCACAACAACATAGCGCTGCAGGCTGCATGGTGTGAATGGATGCTCCTGGGCCTGTGCGGCCAAGAATCGTTGTCCAGTGCGGGTGCCAAGAGATGAGGCTTCCCGCGAGGTAGCCTCCCATAGGGTTGGATCACAGGCCCAAGACTCACCAGCCACTAGAGTCGAGTGCAACGTACTGTAATATACAGTAATGGACATACGTTCGCCAAGGTTTCATTGGGGGTTTAGTTACGTTTTGATTTGTTCAGGAGTTATTTCAGATTTGTCTAGGGTTTTCTTGGAATTGGTTTAGATTTTCTTTAGGGTTTGTTTAGTTAATTTTCGCGCTATTTAGGATTGTTTTATTAGGGTTTGCTCACGGTTGTCTTAGGGCCTATTTAGGGTTATTTATGGTTGATTCGGGTTGGTTTAGGGTTTGTTTGGGATTTATTTAGGGTTATTCAGGGTTAGGTTAGTTTGGGGTTCTTGCAAAGTCTTGCGGTTTGTGGAGGTTTCAGTTAACGGCTCAAAACACTGCAAATTACAGAGGATATCTTTAAGATACGCTTCAAAAGGTAATTTTGGCACCGTCTTGGGTAAGCGCAAAAATGCAATGAGACGCAGGTAAGAACAATATTTTGCATGCTCGCAGTGTTCGAAAAACACGCACGGAAACAACTCAGCAAATTGCAGTTCCGCATGGAATTCTGTACATTTCGGGTAAACGTCAGTCCCCTAGCGACGTAATTGTAGGCACATGCCACATGCAAGCATAAAGGATATAGGATTATATAGGCATATATATATACACATATATAGAGGTATGCATAGGTACGCTTTGAGTCTTTGAGTACACAATCTGCATACAATGAGTGGTAAATCATGTGCGAGGTATGCTATAGGCAGCGCAGCACCTAGACAGGTTTTGGGTAGAAATATACAGCTAGACAGGGTGCAATGACGCGGTTGTGGCTCTCAAATGCTTCAAATAACCGACAAAGAGAGGCTGTTGCCAGTCTTTATGGCTGGTTATTGGCAAGGGAGAAGACGGCTAATTATTGCATTTTGATTGTTGCCGCTCTTCGCAGCCGAAGCATTGCGCCGGCAATGTTCTCAAGCTACGATATCCCCACCGTTCATCGCTCATTGTCATGTGAGCTTCGTCATGGCATGCCGGAAGCTTGAGGGAGTTCGATGAGTTCCTGCAGATGATGACAGAGCTCAACTGTTGTTGAGATGCATTCCCCACATCCCCCATGTATAGCTCACTATAAAGTGGACATCCTTTGCGCTTATAAAGTGGGTTTCCGGTCGCCACTTTATATACCGACAATGGGGGATAAAGCCGTGTTTTGCGCGAGAAACATGCCCTTGGACCTGGAAGATGACTTTATTAGCAACGTTGGCTTTCCAGTTTATACCCGGCTGGTTTCCCACAAGGAAACGACTCAATATATGCGGCAATGCATTTTATAGACCGTTGGTTCCCTTCAAAGAATGGCCATAATATGTCACACCATCCACTTTATAGAAACATGTCTCCCCAATGATTTCGGGCCAATATCTTTCTGTTGGGGCTGTATACATGGCAAAGCACTTTATAGAGTGAAACTTGCCCTTTAAGAAGAAGAATTTGTGCTGCATCCAGGGCACTTTATAGAAAGAAAATTGCGGCAGAGCATTTTATAGAGTCATGAGATACATCACCCAAATCACTTTATAGAGCTGCCCAGGACCCCATTCACCCTGAGGACCCCTTTCAAGGGAAATCTTCTTCTCTATAAAGTGGCCAGTCCAGGTAAAACCCCTGAAAAAACAGAATCTATGTTGGACTGGCCACTTTATACCCCCTCCCCAAACAGAGAATGCCTCTATAAAGTGGCCAGTCCAGGTAAAACCCCTGAAAAAACAGAATCTATGTTGGACTGGCCACTTTATACCCCCTCCCCCAACAGAGAATGCCTCTATAAAGTGGCCAGTCCAGGTAAAACCCCTGAAAAAACAGAATCTATGTTGGACTGGCCACTTTATACCCCCTCCCCCAACAGAGAATGCCTCTATAAAGTGGCCAGTCCAAGTAAAACCCCTGAAAAAACACATTTTTACCTGGAATGGCCACTTTATACCCCCTCCCCCAACAGAGAATGCCTCTATAAAGTGGCCAGTCCAGGTAAAACCCCTGAAAAAACACATTTTTACCTGGAATGGCCACTTTATACCCCCTCCCCAACAGAGAATGCCTCTATAAAGTGGCCAGTCCAAGTAAAACCCCTGAAAAAACAGAATCTATGTTGGACTGGCCACTTTATACCCCCTCCCCCAACAGAGAATGCCTCTATAAAGTGGCCAGTCCAAGTAAAACCACTGAAAGAACAGAATCTATGTTGGACTGGCCGCTTTATACCCCCTCCCCCAACAGAGAATGCCTCTATAAAGTGGCCAGTCCAGGTAAAACCCCTGAAAAAACAGAATCTATGTTGGACTGGCCACTTTATAACCCCTCCCCCAACAGAGAATGCCTCTATAAAGTGGCCAGTCCAGGTAAAACCCCTGAAAAAACAGAATCTATGTTGGACTGGCCACTTTATACCCCCTCCCCCAACAGAGAATGCCTCTATAAAGTGGCCAGTCCAAGTAAAACCCCTGAAAAAAACAGAATCTATGTTGGACTGGCCACTTTATACCCCTTCCCCCAACAGAGAATGCCTCTATAAAGTGGCCAGTCCAAGTAAAACCCCTGAAAAAACACATTTTTACCTGGAATGGCCACTTTATACCCCAGCCAGTGGGCTCCAGGACTTTGACCCGGAAACGGAAGGACTGACAACAAGGTAAAGGGGGAAAACTACAACGGAGAGGTACAACGGGAAGGCTACCACAAGAAAATGAGACATGTCACGTTTATATACGTTTATTGTTTTCAATATATACGTTTATTGTTTTCAATGTGTCATATAGATTGGCGATGATTGGTATATTGAATATGTTGTAGATGTATTTTGGAACATATGTATACCTATGATTCACACATCAATATAAATATATATATATATATATAAATCATAAACACATGCCAAACCAAAAACTTTTAGCTGAGTATTGTATTCCCAATCTGTTGGCAAATGTCCAGCCGATTCACCATGCGTGACCCAACAAGATTCAAACTATGGATTGTTTACTTTTGAAAAAAAATACTGGGTGAATCTACGTATATCTATGACGACAATCTCCCAAAATCATCCTAAAAATCTATGGACATCTATGGACCAAAACCACGGCCACATGCCCATCCTCTATAAAATGGTTTGCAAGAAAGTTCAGCTCTATAAAGTGGCTTGATCACGTCATTTCTGGCAGCCCCACCCTCTGTATAAACTGGCCGGTCCATGCCCATCCTCTATAAAATTGTTTGCAAGAACCAGTAAAACAATATTTTCGAAAGTAAACAATCCATAGTTTGAATCTTGTTGGGTCACGCATGGTGAATCGGCTGGACATTTGCCAACAGATTGGGAATACAATACTCAGCTAAAAGTTTTTGGTTTGGCATGTGTTTATGATTTATATATATTTATATTGATGTGTGAATCATAGGTATACATATGTTCCAAAATACATCTACAACATATTCAATATACCAATCATCGCCAATCTATATGACACATTGAAAACAATAAACGTATATAAACGTGACATGTCTCATTTTCTTGTGGTAGCCTTCCCGTTGTACCTCTCCGTTGTAGTTTTCCCCCTTTACCTTGTTGTCAGTCCTTCCGTTTCCGGGTCAAAGTCCTGGAGCCCACTGGCTGGGGTATAAAGTGGCCATTCCAGGTAAAAATGTGTTTTTTCAGGGGTTTTACCTGGACTGGGCACTTTATAGAGGCATTCTCTGTTGGGGGAGGGGGTATAAAGTGGCCAGTCCAACATAGATTCTGTTTTTTCAGGGGTTTTACTGGGACTGGCCACTTTATAGAGGCATTCTCTGTTGCCATTCCAGGTAAAAATGTGTTTTTTTTCAGGGGTTTTACCTGGACTGGCCACTTTATAGAGAAGAAGATTTCCCTTGAAAGGGGTCCTCAGGGTGAATGGGGTCCTGCGCGCGCGCGGCGGTCTCAAAATTGGAGCCATTTTGGCGCGCGCGCGCGCGGCGCGACCAGGACCCCTTTCACCCCAAGGACCCCTTTCAAAGGAAAGAGTGTTAGAGGCATTCTCTGTTGGGGGAGGGGGTATAAAGTGGCCAGTCCAACATAGATTTTGTTTTACCATAGATTCTGTTAACGACTTCGATATAGATATTTGTCTGGCTGTCGGTTTTGTTCGGTTTCGAAGTCATTCGAAGTCTTTTGGGTTCCCCATCGATGAGATCGATGATATTCCCCCAAGGTTTGAACGTGGCCCCTCAACTTTATAGACGATCATGTCGATGCTGCCATCGTCGCGATTAAGAAAATCATCGCTACTACAACGATCGTTGTTTAGCCGGAAATCCACATTATAGTGCCACTGTTCTGCACAAGTATTACTATCTGGATGTTCGGCATCTCACTTTATAGTCATGGGACATGTTCACAAGTACCCTCAAAAACCTGCATCGAGTTTTATGTTTTTACGCGGCCAGGCGACTTTATACAAACGTTGGATTTTGACTTTATAGACAAAACATGTTGGCTTTCCACTTTATAGACTCCAGACATGTAGCCATTCCAGTTTATACCAGGCTATTCTCTATAAAGTCGGCCGCAAAGCATCTAGCGGGCTATACATGGGGGATTTCCCCACGGGTTCAAAGTTTGCTTCGTTCTTTGAGCACTGATGCTCTAGCATTTGTAGATCATAGCGGCATTACTTCTGTGATTGATAGCAACGCCTGGGATACTACAGCAGAGTTTGCGCCTGATCACTTGCAAGCCACCCTGCAAACTGAGCTTCGACAATTCTGGCGGGCTGCTCAGGGAGCTTGTGCTGTGGCAGTGAAGCAAGCACTTCGCGAGTGTTCTGTTCCTTCCAACGAGCTTGCTGAAAGCTGCATCGAACCGAAGAGCCAAACCTTTTCTGAACGAGCCCCAGTCCCGGCTTGTAATGCTGTTTTGCTAGTTAAACGCCGGAAGCTGCAACCAATGCCAGCTGACGAGGCGCAACAACATCTGCAAAGTCTGCAGCTCCCCGAGAAAAGGGTGGTAGAAGATGCTGCTTCTGCATTGTGGTCCCTATTTTTAGACATCATTGCTTGTGGTCGACTTTGGTCGGAGTATGTGGTGCTCACCCCCTCTGACCAACAGCAGTTTGCAAACATGTTTTTCGATGAGATGTGCCTAGTGGCTCCTACAACCCTGCGGGCCGCGCTGCGTCTCAGGCGCAGATGGCGTCGCCATTGCGAAGAATGTGGAGTTGAACCGTGGAAACCTTCTAGCGTTCATGTGGCTCTTTGGCTTCGGTCCTTCCGGGAGCTTATTCCACATTGAAGTGGCTTGAGAAGAAGTTAGGCATCGATTTTCACACTTCTTGTGATAGAGTGAGGGGCCAATCTGCTGTTCCCCAAAACCATGTTGAATCTCAGGCCACGCCCTTGACCTTGAAAATAATTATTGGATTGGAATCACTTTTGACCAGCCGCAACCATGCTGTCAGCGGGCTGGCTTTAACTTGGATTCTTTTGACATTTGCAGTGTTGCGTTTTGCGCATTTGCGACGTTCTGTGATGTCTCGGGTGCTTGACAACGGCATTGCAGCAACAGCATCGCTGGGTAAACGGCGCACGCAGGGTCGATGCAGGCCTTTTGAATGGCGAGCGCCTCGTTGGGGTGCCACTGGCTGCGATATCGGAGCTGCGGTCCATGAACAGTTGGCGCGTAGCTTTGGTGTTTCTCCGCAACCGCGGTTCTTCTTGCCAGATATTTTACCTTCCAGCTGTACATTGCAGAATGCCACCGGATTCTCTGCTAGATCTATGTCGCTGGGAGGGTTTTCACGTTTGAGTCAGCACTTGTTTCAGCAACCGCCGTTTTCTTTCACAGCCATGGAAGCGGTAGCGGTGACTTCTTATTCTGCTCGGCGGGTTTTGCCAACGATTGCAGAACTGGCGCGTTTTGATCCACATGAAATGCTGCGGTGGCCAGGACATTAGTATGCCATTGCGGTATGCTGACCAAAAGCTGCACACTAGCTTGTCAGTGAAACCAGAACTTGTTTGCATCATTCAACATGTTTCTGCTCGAAATCCAGCACTTGGTGACTGGGCTGAGTTGAGCGGACTGTTTCCCCATCGATCGGACTCCAAGCGGCAAGCAATTCATGTGTTGAAAAACGGACGTGCGGCGATCTACTTGCCAGAGCCTGCAAACGCACCGCGTGGAGATGATCATTTCTCGTCCAGCTCTGATTCCAGCACATCAGACACTGACTCTGATGCGTCAAAGCGTGGACACTGTTGCAAACGAAGCTGAAGATAGCTCCCAGGTACAGTGGCTTTTGAGCAAAGGGTCCAAAGGTCACCTACATATCTGCAAGCCGCTGCAGCTCCAAACCAAAAGATGGCACACTCAGTCACTCAGTGCAATCGTGGCCTCAAAGATCCGGATGTGGGTGTAGTATTAGGGGACGCCTTTAGCACTGGTTGGCAATGGTCGCCTTGGCGATTCAATTCTTTGCCTAAGAAGTTGCAAAAAGCTTGGCAAGACATGCGCCATAGTGGTTGCTATTTTTTTTCCAGATCAGTGGTGCCAGTTCCATGGGCGCTGTAGCAATCCAATGGCATATAGGTTGTAATGGATGCAACCCCATGGCATATTGTTTGCTTTGGATCGATGGTCGCACCGCTCGAAAAAGGGGCACCTGCAAGAGTTGGTCACAACATTGGTGCATATCAGGCAACCAATCAACAAAGCCATAGTGTCCCTACCAAATGCTGTAAATAGCATGCAGTTGGGAGGCGTGCTTCCCAAATGCTGCAAATAGCGTGCGAATGCGAAGGGGGGTGGGGGTCCGGGGACCGGACTCATATATATATATAAATATAATATATATAATATATATATATATATATTATCATATCAGGTATATATATATATACACCATGTATATACATGTATAAACATACATATATCAATATGCATCTATACATAAGTATAAATATATATACACATATGCATATACACATGTCTATATTTACATGTGCAGATACATATCTAGACGTGTCCAGACATATACATATATATGTATATATACATATATGTACATACATTATTCACATATGTGTATTTATACCTGCACAAATCTACACATGTAAATATACATATTTACATATATTGACAAACACACATACACACACATATATACATATATATACACATACACATACTCCTTACACTACCCTACATATACTACCTACACATGTTTCATAGCGTACCTTTACACGACTCATTGCGTAGGGTGCCAATATGTATATACTCCCTGTAACTCCCTAAACGCGCTCTCCCTAAAAACTGGACATCAACCACTTACAGCTGCACAGACGCTGCCCATGTAGGATTGTTGTTGGGAACCATCTGGCTGGGGTGTATGTGGTGATCCCTGCTAATTTGTATATACATACATTACAATGTATATATTGCAACATGCATTACAATGTATATATTACAATTTGTGTATAATATATACTATATATATATAAATATGTAAATTAACATATATGTATAATATAGAGTATTTTTTTTCATAATATGTAATTTACATGAATATATTAAGAAAATAGTATATAATATACTAAATATAGCATATAAGAATATTTATTTTTCTAAAAAATAAATATATATCAAAAACATCTAATATATTTCAAAAAACATAGCATAAATACTATGTATATGATATTTCTAAGATATATTATTTACAATACAAAATATAGTTTGCATATATTTTTTAAAGTATGAAACGATATTATATAATATAACATTCTATATTAGCATATAATATACATATAGAATTTAAGATTGTATAATATAATAAAACATATTAGAATATAACATAATATAGTTTAATACATTACAGTATAGTATGATACGGTAAAATACAAAATGATATAATATAACAGACTATAATAAAATATAGTTTCATTTAATAAAAGATAATAGATAATATAATTTATTGTACTATATGATATTTAGTATTTTTATAATATATGAAATAGTTTTTCTTGAATGCAATATTTGATATACCATTAGTTTATATAATGCAATATTATACTTAAATATATATATAAATATAATATATATATAAGATATATGTAAGATATATAAAATAAATATTTAATAACAATATATAAGATATATATATAAGATATATATATAAGATGTATATTATATATATATGTATACATGATATATATATATATATTTATTTATATAAGATGTATATATATAAGATATATATAATATATTTTCACATATATATAATGTATATATATATATACATAGAACATTTAAAGATATACATATATACATATAACATAGTAATATATATATTTACAATCTATATTAGATTTATATATATATATAATATTTTTGTTTGGGAATGTTTTGGGGTGCGGAGTCTTTCCCAAATACTTTCCCAGTTGCAAAGGTGCCAACTGGTTTCACATTACAAGCGGCCTACAGGCAGGGCCCTGTTGGTACATTGCCAGCAAACGGTCCAACTCACATGACGGTAATGCTTGGAACCATTCATTCGTCAGGAACCAGAGCCCGGAGCTGTGGAGAAGGTGATCCACCAGCACTGCAGCACTGTTCACGTTGATTCTTTTGGACTTTTGGGTTCTTTTGTGAGTATGCTATCAGTGATGTCAAGGTCAACTGTGAACAATGCAAGCAGAGAACCCATGTGAAAGACCACATGGACCTTTGTATGACATGATATGAATTTTAGCATGTTGCGACTGTTGCGACAACAGATCCTTTCCGACCTCTAAATGGCCTCTTGATGTCCAGTCGAGGTACTGCCTGTTGAAACAGGCCATCCGTTTGGAATGCGCCCGTGGAGAAGAATTCCCGCAACCCTCCTTACTTAGTGCCCTTATCGCAGAAAAACACTGCAAATTTGGTTATATTTTGGTTATTTTGGAACTAGGAAAACCGCACAGTGATGCCTTGTTAGCTCCTTGTGAGATTTGCAAGGTGCAGCTGACCTGGATTCTGAATTGGACAAGGCGGCTGTCTGCGAATTGTCAGTTCCACTGGGGAAGTACCATTTGCGAGGGCATGGTTCTCGTTCACTTTGAATCTACCCCCTTCTATCTATCTATATCAATCATCTATACCACACATGCATGTCCATGTAGATTGGCAAAGTTGGCAGAGTGGACGGGGCTGCACCGAACGAAGTTTGACACCCAGGACTGCAACGAATGGCGCTGCTTCCACGGTAGTTCACCTGACAGACTCAGAGGCATTTGCGAGACGAACTTCAAGCCAACTATGGCGGGGACAGGTGCGACCTGGAAGGACTCAGGTGCTTCGAAGGGTACACCGCTGTATGGTTTTGGCTTCTACTTCGCTGAACGCATCACAAAGGCTGGGTGGGGCTTTGGTCCGCTGTAAGCGCCTGTGGGCCTGCAAACGGTTGATGTGGGTGCTGTGGACATCGAAATACTTGCAGTGCGAGTGAAACGCTTTCTCGCAGCTGCAGCACCACAGTCCAGATTTCTTGGCTGGGCGTATGTCTTGCTTTTATGACAATACCACATTTGCTGCATCTTTGGGTAGTTGCAGAACAAAGTATTTTACTTTTTCCGCCCCCGCAACAGGCCGATGAGTATGCAGGACCAGCACCGGTTACTTCGTAGACAATTCAGAAATTCTGTCCCACACTTTTTTCCGCGCGTGTCTTGCAGGAATTCCTAAAGTCCCAAGTTCCTCACATACCGCAACTTCAGGGCTCCAGGTCATCTCGGCTGTAGGCTGTGTAGAAATTGCCAATAGTTGTACTAGAGTCAGATGGAATCCTCGGGATTTCACACGCTATGCTTGACACTGACGATTGAGTACTACTGCCATTTTGTAGCTTTATCTTATAAAAGTATTTTGCAAAGTGCTCACAGGTTTTTTGAGCTCATAGTATTTTGTAGTCTATATTAAGTCTGTATCCATCTATATCCCCAAATCCTCGGGTCTGATCTGAATCATCTCCTGAGGATGGAGAGCACGAGGGGCTCTATGCGGTTCTGCTTTGTCGAGTTGTGGGCGGTCGAACCAAAGTGGTCACCAACAATGACATCAATATAGTGCCTCACTATACGTCAGCCTGTGGAGCTAGCAGCGAGGATGGCAGAAGTTTGTTTCCGAAACACACCTTTCGGTCACAATTTATTGTGTGTTATTCTGCAGAAAAGAAACGGTTGAAAACCAGCGGCAACAAGTATTACCCTACAGAGTGAAAGTAAGTTTTCACGCAAGTTTCAGCCCCAATTCCTTTCAATCTGCAGACAAAACAAAACGGTTGCGTACCAAGACTAGCGTAGCGTTTCTGACCCTAAAGGAAAGGTTTTGACCACGAAATAGGGCTTTCTAGACAACGTTTGTCTAAAACCAGAGACCTTTGCGTTTCAGCTTGAACAACAACAGTTGCCTTCGAAAGGTAAAACACATGTGTCCCATCTAGTGTAAAACTCTTGTTTGAAACTTTTTTCATTGGGAAGCAATGTGTGAACACAACTGTTTGTGATTGTGCAAACTCTTGTTTCAAGGCGTTCGGTTCAAACTCAACGTGAACGCAGCTAAACTATAGATTCGAAACCTTTGTTTCCGGTTATTTTCAAAAGTGGTTCTTCGCGTTCGTAGTCAGTGACCCCTCTCTGCAGAATGGCTGCTTACTAGCATCTGCACTTTCTAGCTAATTCCGAAAATTTGCAGTTTGCAGGAACACATTTGGCTTTAGTTTCCACCATTTTCCCAGGGACAAAAACATATTAAGCGCAAAACGTTTGTTTCAGGGGATGGAAAGTAATGTTTTCTTCCTTGGAGCATGTTGGAGCCAAAAAGTCTTGTTTCTTCTGGGAGAACAAACTCTTTGTGGGGTTGGATTGTTTCTCCGCTTTGGGGTGCCAAAACAAACGGTTTTCGATGAGAAACAAGCGTTCTACTTTTGAGTTTAAAAACATGGTGCCCGCATCCACACTCGAAGTCGGTTTGACCTGTGAACTGCCACTTGAGCCGAGGATGGGCTACGGGGCTCTGTGTTCGATGGTCCGTACCATTCAGTCTTTGGTGACCGCGTAACAACACTTGGAAAACCCTACCGATGCTTGGCTGCGGGTTGAGGTTTCTGCGAGAAGCGACCAGATTTTTTTTGTTCATGCTATTGAAGGCACATGAATAGGCAGTGAGAGAGTGTTAGTCATAGAGGGGTAAGGACAGTAAGGAAGTAATATCCAGGTTCTAGCTGGCAAATAACTAGTAACCACAAGATTTGTCAAATAGGTTTTATTCGAAGAAAACTTGACATCCATTCGATTCATTGGCAGCGCCACCTTCCGCAGCTGCTGTTTCTTCTCGAGCAATTTTCGCCGGCCGTTTCTGTGCCCGTTGGCTGGAGCCTCAGATGACATTGAATCTGCATCATCGGCGCTAAACTTTGATGTCATGGTGAAGCCGTGAAACGCTGAAACGTTAAAAGATAAGTTAATATGCAGGGTGCCGCTTGTAACTTTGTAGATAACTGAGGGTTGGCCACTCATGCTGAGCTTCATTCTTTTCCGGGAGTCTTGGCTTGGAATGATCGTCATGGCCCACTCTTAAGTTGTGGATACTCTTGAACCAATTCGGCGCATCCGACCTTTGCCCGGTGAATCGATAGGATCCTGGCAATTTGTTCCAGTCTGGTGCGATCACTGATCCTGTTTGCCGCCGAGGCAAACATGAAATTTTCCATGACAACCGCCCAACGCACCTTGCAGCATTTGTGGAAAGGGTTGTTTCAGGAATGGCTGTTCGGTCAAAAAACCAGCACTTTGTTGCGTCCAAGGTGGCCTTTTACTGCCAGTACTGGTAAGCTTTCTCATGATGGCACTACTCAGGACTTCCAGTGGATGCGTGAATGAGATGCATGATCAAAGAAAATCAGAAACTGACGCAAATTTCCAGAGTGATTTCTTCTCCAGGTGCACAATACCAATCAGATACCATACCAGTGCCAATATCGGGAAGACATCCTGCAACAGTTGGTAGATGGATGTAAATGGGTCCTATCCCCTTACTATCCCCTTACTGCAGCGCCCCAGGAGGTGGCGTCGATGCCGCCCACTGAGGGCCGAGGACAAAGCGAGCGGCACGCTGACAGCGGCCGCAGTCCATTCAATGCCATTCATTATTTGGGGGGATGATCATCAATCCATTTTTATAGGGATTGGTATTTTGTGTACCCATTTTTGAGATATTCCAAGGATTTGTCATTGTGGGATGACTACATCACATAAATATTATTTTGACGGCAAAATCAGGTGACGTCAGGTCGCATCTATGCCCGATATGAACCACGGAGCCGCTTCAAACTGAGCTGCTTCCAGTCACAGTCATGCCTCGCGACGCATGGAGGTGTGGCAAGGGCCCTCCCTTTCTCAACCAAGAACGGAAGACTATGGAAGCTTCACTGTTTTGGGAGTTGCTAGTTTTCAATTTGTGCCAAAATCATCCAAATTCGCTTTAAACACAAGAAAGTCACCTGCACCATGGTGTGAGCAGAATGGTCCGCAATTGACAACTGAGCTGGCGTGCAGCCACCTGAAAAACGAAGTCATGTTTTCGTTGCAAGTGATGTTGCAGGGACAGCAGCCAACTGAACTTGCGTGAGTACAAACCAAAACGGACCAGGGGGCTTTGCATGATGGGGTCCATGATTTGGCAACAACATGCACAATTTCACAAGGCAGTGGAAGAGGTGGTCTTGAAGCCCATCGAGCGGGCCATGCAACCATGGCTTGACGGCCCAAGGCGCAATGCATGTGTGCTTTTACGATCTTTTATGTGAAGATACGTGAAGTCCGGGTTACACATGGTTGCAATGTGATTGCACTGTACCAGGGTAGCACGTTGCTGCGGCAGGATGCTGGTGTGCGACCACAATGTTTTCCGAGTTGGCAGTCGGGTTACCAACCGTCGCCAAGGGCCCAGTGATTGGATTTTGACATGGCAACATGTGCAACATGGGCTAGATGGGCAACATGGCCATTATATCCTCTGCGGTCCACTGAAGGTGGAACGGAAGGGACCATCGTTGGCGTGGATAAAGATGGGGACCTTGCTGTCTTCCTGAAGAATGGACATGCAGGAGCAACTCAGTGGCACCGTGTGCTAAATGCAAGTCATCTCCACAGCAGTGAGGACTACCACGCTGCAACAAGCTGCAGGGAGAAAAGAAATTGGGATCCCCAGAATGAGTAGTATATTGCAGTATCCTGAACATGCCGTTTCAATACTGTCGATGATTGTATGATTGTGAATTCAAAATTTCAGTTGTGTGAAAAGATTTCCATTCTACACATATACCAGTAGTACCGCACAAGGCGGTGGCGGAAGTTTCAAAAATAGAAAACCTATAGGAGATCTGAGTTGGTGTGACGCAAAAATGGCAGAGCGAACCCACTGATGGATTGAAAGGTGGTTGAGTGTTTCTCCCTTTCTGTCTCTCTTTCTCTCTTTCTCTCTGTGTCTCTCTTTCGCCATCTATCTACAGAGCTACCTTTCTAGCCATCTACCTATCGACCTGTCTATTCATGTATCTATCGATCGATTTGTTTATTCACCTATCTATTAAACTGTCTATCTTTCTGTCTATCCAGCCATTCATCCATCCACTTACTTCTCTCTGTTAGTTTTTTTTTTCCGTCCATCTCTTCATCGATCCATGTCCACAGCTATCCATCACCATGTTCTTCGTTCTGTTTCTCTATCGATTCATCCATGCATCTGTCCGTCTACCTCTTCTTCCAGCTATCCATCCATCTATCTAGCTACCCATGCGTTTATCTGGTCATCGATGCTTCTAGCGATCTGTCGATCTAGCGATCTATGTGTCCATCTGTCGATCCATCTACACTTTTTCGACATCTCAACGTCCACAACTTCCAACAGTGCTCCGAGACCGCCAGTTTTTAACACTTTTGACTTCGAAATGTGCTTCGCGCCACAACGCCGTGCACTTTTTCGTCATCTCAACTTCCAAAACTGCTCCGAACCCCTAAGTTTTTAACACATTTTACTTCCAAATGTGCTTCGCGCCACAACGCCGTGCACTTTTTCAACATCTCAACATCCAAAAGTGGTCCGACGCTGAGGTGTTTTGTACCTTTTCACTTCGAAATCGGCTTCGCGCCACAACGGCGTGCAACTTTTCATCTCTCATCTGGCCAGATGACTCCGCACCCGCCGCTTTAGCGAGCCTACTTTCCAACCCTCCGGAGCCACAAAACCACGAAAAAACACAGTGTTTCGCGACTTTCCTACCTTTTCGCGCACCTGCATCTTCTTTCTTCTGATCTTTTCTCTTCTGACTCTTCTCCCTGCTGACTGCTTTTTCATCTCTCCATATTGTCGGAAGTTTGACTTCTAAACTTCCTTCGATAACTCATTTATAAATCTATATTACAGGTTGTTTTGGCTGGTGTGAATCCTGCCAGCGAGAGGATAACGATTGTGACAATACTCAACCAAAGCTTCGACAAGCCGATTTGTTGTCTCTTCCTTTCTCTTCCTGCCCATCTGAGATTTTCTATGCCAAGCAGTGCCGAAAAGCAATGAGTATTGGCGATCGCGTGCGCTACAACTGCGGTGCAATCGGAGAAATCATCGACTTTGACAAAGATGGTGCCGACATGTTGATTTGGGCCTGCTACAGCTGGCTCTATAGTTTGCGTTTCCAATAGGGTTTGGTTTCAGATATGGCCATCACTTGCAGTTCAATCAGTATTCCAAGCAATTCAGACACGCTGATGCATATGATATTGAGTTGACAGAATCATGATGATCATGATGCAAACTTCAGGCATATATTCAGGCACCTGAAGGTTTTTCACACTGTACTCCGCCAGCCGTGCACACCAGTGAATTCCTGGCAGATGACCTGCTGGTGAAACTCTCCACCGGCACCAACCAGGTTTGGTATCGCAGCTACTTGGTGCTATTTAGTGTTCATATTAGGGACCTGAGGAAAGAATTGGCACATAATGAGGTAGGAAGTGACCCTAAGGTGACCCTAAGGACAGTGATCAAGACCGGTACAGGGCCGAGTGAAAACGGACAATTTGGTTTGAGGAGTGAGCAAAACTTGACAGTGCCACAAGGCAAGTTTCCGGGACGACACAAAGCCTTTCCATAAAATTTTCCTTGAACTTCAAACAAATTTTGCGAACCCGTTCTCGTTGGGTGCGCTCATAATTTTCAAGTTGTTTTCGCATCCCATGTTTCTACTGCAATGTAGCGAGGCTTCAGCCAGCGTCTTCCAAGTGTGGGTGACCGTGTGCACCACACATGCAAAGCAATGGGCACCCTGGAAGGGTTCGATAAGGACGGCCACTTGTCCCAAACATGGAGATTGAACGCGGGAGTGAGCATAAAGTCAGTCGAGGGGCAAGAAGTAGTCTTGGTAGCCAAATTTGGACAAAATCATAGAATTTCTTGCTCTCTGTGATTGTTGCAAAACGCTCTATTTTGAAGCAGTGTGCATCTGCGAAAACATGGCCTCAGATTGAAGAGTCTGAAACGGTTGTGTCACTGTCTTGACTTGCAGGAGGTGATATCAAGGCATTTGTTCCTCAAACTTCCTGTATATTATGTGGCACCCTAGACAAATCTGTACATAGGCAGACCCTAGAATCCACTTCGCATAGACAAGGTCAAAGCATGGATACCCCTCTGTCTTTTGACGTCCACGTTTGAGGTCATTTCATGTTTGCATTTCAGTCTTCCTTTTGTTCACGACAATGGTATGCTATCAGGGTTGTGTTTATGTGGTGCGAGGTAGAGTCACGATGGTGGCACAGTGTTCGTTTGCGTTGCGTGACACATCTTACTGACTAAGGTACGTTAGCGGGGTGGTGTTAGGCTTTGTGACATATGTTAAGGAGTTTGGTCCATTGTGAGGATGGTGTTGTGAGACAAATGCCCATGACTATAGTGTTCAGAGAAGTGTTTCTGTTCTGTGACATACACGTACACACACACACACATACACACACACATATATACACGTATATTACTATATAATGAACAAAGTCCATTTTTTGAGGCAATGATTCGGTTGTGTGACACAAATCAATGACTGTGGTACTGCAAAACATGAGCAGATTGACGGGGCCACAAACAACACCTCTAGCATGAAGATACACATTTCATAATTATTTTTGACACACATACACACACACACATGATTGCACATGTATAAGACGATATAGCCAAAGGAAGTTTAGTTGGAAAACTTCCGAGTTTCGGACGATTGTCATGGTTAGATATGGTTAGCATTCCCACCATCATGTCAAGCACATCATCATGTCAACCACATCATCATGTCAACCATGTCAACCACACATCATCAAGTAATTAGTTGGGAAGTGTAACAGTTCGGAAGCGTGTGAATTCACGGGTGAAAACGCTCTCGGGCGCGAAACCCTTTGTTTTTTCAGGTAAAGTGGCTCCTGGGGTCGCCGGGGTAGGGTCTCTGTTTCCGCAGGTGCTGCCCTATCTGGGAAAGTTGTCGACAAAAAAAGCGCACAGGACTGTAGCGAAAGCTCGATTTGCACTTCAAAATGTTAAATCACTGTCAGGTTCGGAACACTTTTAGAAGATGCATTGATTCATTGATGGGTCGATTTACTGATTTGTTGACTCGCTGATTCATTGAGTTGCTGATTGGCTGATTCACTGAGTCGTTGAACTCATTTTTTCTTTGATTCCTTGGGTCATTCATTCCTTGCTTCCTTGCTTCATTGATTCATTGCTTCATTGCTTCATTGCTTCATTGATTCATTGATTCATCGATGCGCTATTTGTTGCTTCGTTGCTTAACTGGCTTACTGATTCCTTGATTCATTGCTTCGTTCCTTCATCGGATCACTGATTCATCCATTCATTGGCTCATTGATTCATTGTTTCATTGCTTCATTGATTCTTTCAATCAATTGCGCATGGATTATTTCATGTCCTTTCATTGGCATCTCAAACAACCATTTGCTCATTCGTTGGTGCACCTCACAACTTCAACATTTCGTTGCTTCTGCATCTCAAAAAAAATCCTACAGGCCATCTTCTTCCTACAGTAGTCTTATTGTCGAAACTTCCGCCCCGGCGCGTGCCGGGCACTGCCAGTAATAATGTGTATTCTTACTTGTGCAATTCTACTTGCGTGTGTGGCTGTTTATGTCTATTTGTTGTTGCTTGCTTACTTGGATTCCTGCATGTAGACCTTTCCCACTGGCAAACAGGCAGGCAGGCAGCGTATTCTCCATGCCTTTGAGGTGACTTTAAAGTGAAGATGTCCAATGGCGAGTCTGCAGTGTGGTATGCAAACAAGAGTCCTGCACTTGGCTGTGACATGCTGTGACAGATGCCTGCGAAATGTGAGATGATCGCCAAAGACTCCTCCAATCCAATCACCATTGATTCTTGCTCGAAGATGGCACTGTTTTGTTGGTGACACATGTGCCCTCATGTGCCCCATATTGCCAATATTGCCAATATTGCCCCATTGGTGCCCCCTTCTGAGGCAGGCAAGGCATTGGTTCTCTTGACCCAGAACCTGAGTGGCCGGCTCTCCCTGCAGAGTTGCCATGACCAGTTTGACCAGTTGGGAGCTGGAACTGGACTCGGGATGGTACAACCTGCAGATGGTAGTCATGGATACTTGATGGTAGTCTATCCAATTTTGCTTTGTATTAATCATTCCTGCAAGGCCAAGAAATGCGTCTATAAGCGCGGATTGTTTGGAACACATCTTAAGAATGCATTCAGCATGTTGAAATTAAGAAGTGGCTGTTTGTCTGTCTGTCAGTCAGTCAGTCAGTTCGTTTGTTTGTTTGTTTGTTTGTCTGCGCAGACGCACAATCAAACATGATGAACTAGGGGTGACATTTGCGTAGTGATTTCAAGATATCCTTTCTGACCCCAGGTCTCTAGGTACTGTCTGCAGTACCGCACACATCGATCTGATTCACGCAGCTCTAAAATCGGGCAGCGAATAACACAGATGATGTGCGGGTCGAACATGGACTCCAGGGGGAGGGCTGCACGATCAACACGGACCATCAGTCTCCGTTTTATCCGTATTGCAAGTCTATGATGCAATTGCCTCAGAAAAGACGTTTGAGCCTCCATGGACGACAGAATCAAGAGTCTGTAGATACTAGTAGATACCAGGTTTCACATTTTTCTCGCTGAGTTTCTCAGCGACTTGGTTATGCAGTGTACAATATATTCAGCCAGGAGAGCAGAGATTAGATCACAGCTGATAGTACGTTGATGCCAGCAAAGGCATTCCAGGCGACAGAGGACTGCACGAAAGAAATACAAAACCAGAGCAAAAGTAAAAAGAAATGAGTCCTTGTACCAGTGGGTATGGAGTCCCTTCGTTGGCACCGCACATTGTACCGACCAGGTCTCAAAAAGTCTGAGGTTCCAGCCAGTGGGGCCCATTATCCGAATAACACCGACACATAGCTCAGGTGAAGTGGTTGTCTACGACAAGGACGGCAGGGACAGTCTTATTGCAACATTTTCCGACAGTTCAGAGTGCACATGTTGGGCACTCTTGTCAATTCAAAACCCGTTCATTGCAGCATGATTCACTCGTCTTTGGTAAGACTAGTTCGGCACAGACCCAGCACCGGTGTACTGGACTCAACTGAGTAGCGTTTTTTTCTTTTTTAAATCGATAAACTGGGAACTCCACAAGACATATTATCCCCCAGGCGTAGGCTCCCATGCAGATGGCGTAGGTTGCGTAGGCATTGGCGTAGGCTCGTTTTGGCCTACACTGCCTAGGCTTTGTGTAGACATGCGTTGGCAAGAGTTGGAACTCATTCATTTTGCCGTGGTTAGTTGTGATATTTGTGGTTTGTGGTTCCAAAGCCTCATGCCACAATCGGAAACAAAAAGAAGGCATGGCCGTGTAGGCTTTGCCTACACGGCGCAGGCTCGCATAGACACCCGTGAAAAACCATACCCCTTGTAGGCTACCTCAGCTACCTCATGCAATTCCGTAGACTCGGCGTAGACCGTTGCGTAGGTTGTATGTTACTGGTCATCCAAAGACAAGGATAACAAACACTACTCAACTGGTGTTCGGGCTGGGAATGATGGGATTTTTGAAGGATCAATGCTACCCGGAATTTCTTCTCCTCTACCGGCGTGACTTCAGCTGATGAGGCCATTTTTTGAGCTGCAACTGCTGGATGGTTTGCGAAGAATTTCAAATTGCATTGGGCAGGTACCGTAGAGATTTGATTGGGAAGAGCACTGCGTGCTGCTTTGCAAGGCATTTGTGTCTAAGCATGTATAGACTCGACTAGATGAGAAATTATACAGTCTTCCATTTGGTTGGGACAAAGGTATACCAGCAGACAAGAAGACATGAATTCATTTTGTGAGTTCTGCTTTTCTTTTTTTGAGGAGCCCCGACCCCCTCCAAACTAGATATAGGTAGACTCTCCATCAGAAACTCTTCGAGCATAAATGCGCCGCCAGGATGTTTTGACATTCTGATGCAGCGAGAAGTGGCTCTGCAACTACTCTTGCAGTCTTTTCCAAACGCAATTGCAAAATATCGAATTTTAGGAGTGTCTCTCGAGTGTCTTTCGGCGTGTTGCTGTACAGATTCAACAGCCCAGAAAGACGTCATCGCAGGCCGATCTTCGATGTCTGAGGTGCCAATGTCAATGCTGACAATGCTGACACTATACTTAGAGTTATACTTATCATTACTTATCACAATACTTATCAATTTCGAGAAGACCCACCGCGTCATGCTAAGATGTTTTTTCAATATATGGTTTTATGTTTTATGTGGTAGGGCACAGCAGTGAGATATCTACTGGAAAATCCGACTGCCCCGTCAAAGGTTCATGTTCCCTGATGTTGGTGCGAATTCAAACTGCACTCGGTGCAGTGCGAAAGGGTGCGAAGTAGTGTTGCGCGACAGTGAAACGGGCATGTTTTAAGAGGATAGGCTGGGAAGTTCACCCAAAACAGGCACAGACAAGATAGGCTCAGATAGGCCCTGGGTGCTAGCAATGACTCCCCAGCCATGTCTTCTCAATGTGGCGGTGGCTCGATTAAGCGCACGACTGATAGTCTTCACCTCAAACTCAGATTGGCAATACCATTGCAGGCGGGAAGCATGAATCAAAACCAAATTAAATGTGTTCTAACATGCTCTAACCACCAGGAGCCACAACTACAGTAGCCACAACAGCTGCATTCTGCATAGTGAAGGTGGTCACATGCTGCTACACCAAAGAGTGGGTAAACTCTAAAGCACAAGGGAAGCCACAAAGTTGACTTGGAGTTCAGTGTCGTACCGAGACTGAATCCTGCCAATAGGAACGTCAGGATGCGGCAGGGCCATCCACAATAGGCTTCCAGTGAAAGCTCCCGCTGTGAGACCTCCCTGCATTGGTGTTCAGGTCGAAGCACTTACCGTGAAACTTCTGGGAGGGCACCTGGTATGGGTTTGTCGACTGATTTAGTGATGCCCAAATTACCAATTCCAAGACTCTCAACAAAGAGGTTGAGCGTCACTAGTTTTTTGTTTCTTTTTTTCGATAGACTCGATCTGCTCCCCCTGAAGTGATGGACTCCTTAGCTTGCCATCTGGCTCCACGAAGGTCTTGAAACCTCTGATTCTGATTAACATTTGATAGCTTTAACTTGAAAGATGCTGAAGGCTGTGAATACTTCACTTTGGAGTCCGGCACCTACGTCTTGCTCTCACCTGCCAAAGTTCAAGGCTCTCCAGTGCAAGTATGGATAGGATGGAACATGGCGCCTGAAACTTTGGACATGCGAAGCAAAAAAACGTGGTGAAGATCAAAGCCACGTTACTGAAGTAAAGGGCAACACCAGCTTGCCGCAGCTTGCCGCTGCATGAAATTCAGCTATTGAATTTCTCTAATTTGTCCCTGTGATTGCCTGCTTACTCTTACTGGGTCGGTTGCTCAAGCCGCTAAGCCTGGTGCAGGTAAGAAGTCTGCTGGGCCAACTGTTTTGCAGCATCCCTGAGCTCAAGAGGAGTAACCCAAGTCATCCCAAGGTATAATTTGCAATTGATTCACATTTCCAATCAGTCATCCCATACCCCTAATATGAAATGTCTGCCCATATGGGCCCCAAAAATCAACAGGCTCACTACTACACCAGGGGTTGCCGGTGGTTCTTTTGCATACATATCATGTATATATATATAATTATATGATTATATATGTGTACAATATAAGGGGCAGGGATTATTCAATGTGTGAGTCAGGATTGTTCCTCAGGAGCTCCCCAGTAAATCCAGCAGGCAGTCCCCGGGGGCAGGTCTGATAGAACAGTCTGATCACACGGTTTTCCTGACACGGGTCCCGCGCGTCTGACTTGAAGTGGCTGTAGTGGTTTGCCGACAGTTTTTTGTTGCTGAGGCAAAAAGATCTACAAGCTGAAGTAGGTAGATGCAGCACTTGGTAACACTTGGGACCCCCAAATCCAGTGGTTTATCATGATTTTCACCATTGAAATGCCAATTTAGGAGTATCATTGGGTTCCACGGATGACAGACATCCACTACCACCCAAGTTAGACTCAGGGAACATCAACGGAGGATTGGTAAACGTGACAGGCAGGACGCAAAGCCCAACATGACGCATCCATCTAAGTGTTGACACCACCAATTCACACATGTTCCATTGGACAAGTACTTGGAACGACTTGCTTCCATTGGGATAGAGCAACTGGTTTGCAACGGGAAGGACACCTCTCTAGAATACCCCAAATTGACAGAAAGATGCGGCGACAATTCCACCGCCACCACTGGCGAAGCTGCCGTGGTTTGCCATGATCCCCTCGACTCTCTATGTCTGATTTCACGACGGCTTAGCCGCTCCAAGAAGAGAAGGAGAGATTGCGCACTTGCGCCGAGAGTGAGCAATCGCAGCGAGCTGGTTTGCAATGGGAAGTTTGGCGCACTCTCAGTCCAAACCTTCAAATCTCGCCTTAGAGCGATCCTACTTCTCTCTGTTACTTAAATGGCAAATTACCTCATTCCTCGTGCACTGTGAAGTCAAGACTGTATATACACCCCATTGAAAGATAATGAGAGCTGCAAAAAACCCACATAACCCACCCCAGTTTAGTTGGAAATGGGAGTATTCCTCAAGGGTCAACATTTCGAGACAATATTTCAAGAGGATTCCTTACAACTCTGGCAATCTCTGGCATGTTTTTGACATCCATATCCCATGTATTCGCAGCTCGCTGAATGGCTGAATCACAGGGTTGTCCCAGCATTGCTCGAAGCTGAGGCTGGTTTGCCAAGTCAGTAGAAATCAACAATCAAAAAGCCGAATCGAAGGAGTCTCCTTTTTCCCGTTTGGTGTTTTTGTACCTTTTTGGTTTGCCCCCGCCAGGCAATGTTAGACCTGAGCAGGAACCATGGCAGGTCTTGCTTTGGCAAGCCAAGCATCTGAGACCCTGCTGGCAGGTGCACGGACCGCTTGCAAAGATTTGGGTCACCCAGCGTGTTCCCAGCACGTGGATTGTCCCGCTCGAAAGTTGATATACCAACTTCATTCCCGACCGAAAATGCTGGCGGAAGTGACATCGCCCACACAGAAGACATCGATCACATAAATCAAATGTGTAGCCCGTGTGGCTGGATTTTCTGCAGCTCAAATAAATCAAACCTAGCCCTTCTGCAGTCTTAATTACTTGGAATTCGACAAGTGTCGTGATTTGTTCACAACATTGAGATGCCGTTTGTCTGCTTGTGAACCTGACAAATGCTCCCACTGATTGCTGTTGACGTTCATTGCGTGACATTGTCTTGATGCTCTCCCTATTCATACAACCTGCTCGCCATCGTTCTTCCTGCTCGTTGCATGTTGCGTGCATTTTGGATGCCCAGAGACAAGACTCCACACCAGCATCACATATCAGTACTCAGTACCCATCGTTTCTGCACATTGCTTGGTCTTTTTCTGTTTGAGTCCGCCAGATGAGTTGCTTGAACAATGTCAGTTGCTGAAGCAGCTTTACTGACTTTGGAACTCCTTGCTGCTTGGTTCCCAGATTGCCATGTGGATTGCGATGCAGATTTCCAGGCGATGTCACTTCTATGCCTGTTGCAAATACAACCTACATAATGTTACATGCAATCATTTTGCAGTCAGGTGTTTAAAAACACGTCAACAAAGGAATGGTAATGAAATGTACCAAAGCTGACTCACTTGAAAACTGAAAGAGATCATTCTTTTGAGATGTACCCTTGGAAAGAGCAGAGGGTCCAAAACAAGTCCAGGGCAAACATTTGATTTTGCATTCCTTCCATCGAGGTGCAGACTCTCCTGGGGGTTGCGTCCAATTATGAGGGCTTTTGTGTGAGAGGGAGAGCAATGGTACACGACACGAGAGTTCCTTGCGTCAACAGCTGCAGTTGCGAGACAGGCAGTGAATATGAGCAGCAAAGTCTTTGAGAAGCCCATGCAGTGCGTAAAGAGGCCAGGACGCCAGAGACTTGAAAATATGACTCCAAAGCTGGAGCTTCAGTTGCATGGTTTGAAAGGGGATTGTATTATGCTATGGCAGAGCTAAGTAAACGAAATGCTTCCATTTTTTCATTCTTTCCATTTTCGTCCGAACTGTGCCAATGCATCATGCCAACGACTGCACAACTTCTGTTGGCTCAATGATGTTCAGCTAGCTAGCGTTACTTTGTTACGCCAGTTGCCTTCTGCCTCTGGGATTTCATTCCCTCACCTTTCCGATACTCACCGCCTGCCATGGCACCATGGTATTTTCTCGTCCCACTTGTGGGGTCAGCATTGGCTGATCAGTGCACGTATCATGACAGAAACGCAATGAGGTGGCCGATGATGAGGATATGATATTTGAAATGGCAACCATGTTACGAGGGAAAGCAAACACGCTGATGGTTACAAGAATGTGGTTTCCAAATAGGGGAACAAAAGCAGAGACGTATTACACACACACACATATATATATATACATATGTGTATATATATATATATTTAAGAGCTGACGCTCAGTATCGGCTCCGCCGGAGCCAAGGCCGGCCCGAAAGACAGTGTAGAGAGCGAAATTTGGTTCCAATGATCAAGTTAATTCAACAGTTGAAGTTGTGGCTTGAGCGTCTTTATTTCTCATCCAGCCACAGGCCGTCAGGGCATTGTGGTTGGTCACACTATTCGGGTTCAATAGTGATTGGTTTCCGAATGGTTGCGACTTGAGACACACTTGCTGACTTCATGTGACTGCCCAAAGCATTTGGAAGCCACAGCCATTTGTTCAAGTGTGGACGTTGGAATCATCCTGCGACTGGCTTACAAGCACTGCCGGGGCCAGAAGTCAGGCCAACGAGTGCCTAGTGCCGGTGACTTTCACGAATCAAAGCCAGAACAGCTACACCTGCCACATGCAACTTGCAAGACACAGTTTGAACAAGTGCAGCAAACTAGCAGCCCTGGGGTGCGAGCTGTGGAAGCCATGGTTGAAGTGCCCCCGCGAGGTGGCAAGAATGTAGAGCATGGACAAATGTTCTGGCAAGCTCTGATTGAGCCCTTGTTCTGGTTCGATCCAGGTACGAGTTCTGTCCGAGATGGAAAGTAGCAGGCCAAGGGCTCTAGCAATCCAGCTGATGCGGACATGTTGATAAACATAACATGTTCACTTGCGCTCCTTTCGTTGCCTAAATGACCTCATGTGAAAAAGAGGTGGGTGGTGCCTTTAAGTCGTTTTCTTAGCGTGCATGCTTGCATGCTTTCATATGGACGTATCTTCTTCAGTGCAGACCGGTCAGAAATGGTTTGAATGATCGTTATACTTTGCAACCACCTGTAATAGAAAATAACACCCACAGAATCCAACTCCCCTCATGACTCATGACGGGAACGGCTTGAGTAATCCAGGGAGGCTACTCCCAACATGACAATCGATGATTTGCGCTCACAGGCGAGCCCTGGAGACAAGGCCGGCTAGTGGAATGGACGTACAAAGGTGTGTATATATATATAATTTTTGAGTCTATCCGAATAACTGTAACAGGCAAAAAAAAAGAATTTCTACATAGGGACCCCCTAAAAGTGCACAAAGCAAAGGGTGATCCCGGAATTGGTCATCGGGGATTTGAGTGACATGGTGTGTGTGTGTATGCTTCACCTGCCCGACCTGCTTGCTCTGTCTGCAGCTTTGCATTCAATTTACAAATGGCATCAAATGGCAATTTGCAGTTGAACATTTTTGAGCCTGGTAGTCTCCAACGACAAATGTCTCATCGGATGCGTTGCCCGCACTAGCGGCAAGTTGGTCCTTCCTTGCATGGGCCATGGCCCCTCGACTGCTGCGCAAAAGGCTTCGGCTTGTTGTGCCTTGAGATTGTGAGCAATTTCCAAATGATGGCTGTTCATTGCTTCATAGCTTGTGCGGCCATTATTTGTAGCTGTCAGCTGTCACCTGTGACCTGTGGCCATTATGTGTGTGCTCCAGTGCGTGCTGTTTTGGTGGGTTTCTTTGTGCAATGCTTTGTGCTCCATTTCGTGCTTTTTGTGTGCTCCTTCGTGCCGTTTTGAGTGCTCCAGTTCGTGCCTTTGGTGGGTTGGCGTGTGCCATTTTTTGTGCTCCATTTCGTGCTTTGCCGCGTGCTCCTTTGTGCCGTTGCGTTTGCTCCAGTTCGTGCTTTTTGGTGTACTCCTTTGTGCCATTTCGTGTGCTCCAGTGCGCGCTTTTTGGCGGACTCCCTCGTGCCAGTTGGCGCTCTCCAGTTCGTGCTGTTTGGTGGGAGGCCTCGTGCCATTGCTATTGCTCCAGGTGGTGCTTTTTTGGAGGGTTGCCTCGTGCCATTTTGCGTGCAGGTACTGATGTGTCGCCGGTTGGTGGGCCAGAGCTTCTTTCGGCACACCAGCGCCTGACGCAAGAGAAAAAACTTGTTCTTCTTCGTGCTCCTTCTCGGGGCTTGTTTTGTTTTCGTTTTGTTTGGTTGTGCTGCTGTGCGCGTTTTAAAAGGGAGTGTTATAAAACAAAGAGCCAATAGCAAAAAGAAGGTTCCTCCCCAAGCTCAAGGTTGAAGTGCAATCAGTATCGCGCTACCGTGAGCAAAGCAACCTGTTTTTCAGCTCCCAGTTGTGCATTTTTCTGTGCTCCAGGTCGTGCTTTTTGCCATTGTGCGTGCTTCAGGTCGTGGTTTTTGGGGGGTTGCCTCGGGCCATTTTGCGTGCTCCAGTTCGTGTTGCGTGGCGTTCGCTTTGTGCCATTTTGTGTGCTCCAGTGCGTGCTTCTTGGTGTACTCCTTTGTGCCTGTTTTTTGGTGCCCTGTTTCGCTTTGTCGCGTGCTCCTTCGTGCCATTTTGCGTGCTCCAGTTGGTGTCTTTTGGTGGGTTGCCTCGTGCCAACTTTGTGTGCGCCAGTTCGTGCTTTTGCGCGTGCTCCTTCGTGCCCCAGTTCGTGCGTTTTGGTCCAGGAATCAGCCCGGCTGTCGGTTGAACGCTGGAGGGGCCCCAATGGAGTTCCCAGAATGGTGCCCCGGATACATTGCCCGCCGCACATGCAAGTATTGGGGGGTGAATAGCCGACATCACCCACCAATAATTCCTATGCGATGTCTGTTTGCATATGATCATATGAAACTGTTGAAATATAGCAGCAAAAAAGGCAAAGGCGGGACCCCATGGCACCCGAAGAAATAGTACGGCACGGGCTTGCACGGGCAAAGTCCGGGCTTGGCACGGGTTCAGCAAGCGTTTGAAAAACATTGTGTTTTGGAAAGACGCAATGTATTTATGCCAAAAGTTCGTGTTAGCATGGGTAAAGTACGGGTTTTGCATGGGACTTAGACACAAATGAAACCCAAACCATGAGCACAGCATGTAACTATGATAGGACTATATGATATGGTTGGTTGATTTGTGTATGTGGTCAGCTGAAGTGATGCTAAAGCATGTGAAAACAACGTTTCCAGATGTTTTCGCAGTGTGCCCTGGAAAACACGAGGTTGTCATTTTTATGATTTTTAGGTTGCAAAAGTTAGGTTTTCGTTGTTTTGCTTGGCACATATATGAAGACATGTCTTTTGGTCACGAGTTCCAAAGCGCCGGCAAGAATTGCGGCGACACATCTGCATGCCCTTTTCTGTGATTATGGTGGTCAGAATGTGTGTTGCGAGGTCGACGAAGGTATGGAATCAACTACTTTGTTGCAGGTTGGCTCTGGGAGGTACAGTTGTTGGGTGTCAGGTCGGTTTTCAATCGCGACCAGAGAAGCCAAGTTTCTTAAGCAAGTTGGTCATTGAATCTGTGAGTTCGCAGGACGTGTGGCCTAGATGGAAACTGCACGCACGATGGAGGCCTTGGACGTGGTCCGTGGATCAAAGTTTCGAATGGAAAACATTACGTAAAAGTCAGCCACAGTGCAAACAATGATTCAGAGGTGACTACTTCAGGGAACAAAGGCGCTGGGCATGTAAGTTATAGTCAAGCCTAACTGATTAGAAAATTTCACGTTTGGTCCACTTCAACTAATCCCAATGAACGCCGCCAATCCGAGGTGTCTAAAACCCCATCATTCGCCAGCAGGAGAGATCGAATCGGAGGATCAGCCTGCTGCTCCCTATCTCTATGCCTCCCAGCCTTGGGCCAAAGCAGCCAGCCCTGTGCACAGTGCCGCGCCTTCCAAAACCATCGGAGCGCACCGCACTTGTGCCAAGAAACGGAAGGCAGAGGATATGGAGACGGAGGTCATCATGTAACGTAGCAGCTGGATGTTTTGTACCCTCAGGACCGAGGTGTCTAGAATCCCCCTTCCGGGGTTGCCGTTGAGAGTCTTAAAATCGTGACCACTATGATTTTGGAACCCTGAAAGAATATCAAATTAGAACCCCGAAAGTTTGGATTTATGAGCATTGTTGTGGTATAAATTGATTTCAACAGGGATGCAGAAAAAGGAACCAAGTCGTGATGAGGTATCTGCACAAAGGTGCAAAACATGTTTGGAATTAGCATCCCTGGTTTTGGTCGAGCAAGAGTTTCATCGTCAAAACCAGGTGATTTCAACGTCGCCTGGGTAGAAATGCCGGAAAAAAGGAAGTAAAACGGTGTGGAGCAGCTGCAGCAATAAACAACCTATTGAATTATATCCGGCTACATCCGCAATTGAAAAACCACGAGCCTCACCATTACCTCCAACCTCCCACACGATGCCAATTTTGTTTGGAAAGTGCAAATGTCAGGTCAAGTTGTGATGAGCAACCTGCAGTGAAGCGCACCCTGGCTTACCCCCAGCACCTCCATTCTGTAGATACCAACACTTTCGTTCAACCAAGCCGGTTGGGAAAAAGGACGCGGGTCTATCGTGTTCAAATTCAATGGGCGAGCAGACTCTTCTTTCTAGCAATTGCTACGAACTCAGATGCGCAATTCGTTGCAATGGTTGCGCGGCAAAAAAACAGTTCCTGTGTTGCAAACATGTGGTGTGTGGATGAAGAGATGGAATGGGAGAATATGTCACGTGAAGTTACGTGGTCTTCTGCTGCTGCATGGTCACACTGAGTAATTTGAAGCCGATGGTTCCAGAGGCTAGTTAGAGACCCCGCAGCAATGGTAAAGACGTTCCCAAAGGTGCGGACACGTGCCAGAACCAAAGCAACAATTGTTGCGGGAGCAGGTTTGGAGCCTCCTCATCCAGCGCACACGCAGGTAGTTGCGCCCCAATGTCAGCCGGTTCCCGGTCCCAAGATGGTGTTCTATTGCTCTGATTTCTCTGCCTTAGATGGTGCGGCAGTTGCGCTTCGCAGACTCCGTCCCTACATGGCACATGTCTTTGGAAGTGAAAGCGCGCCAAGCCACCGTTCGGCCTTTGCGGTGTTGCATCCCAGGTGTGAAAAGCTGTACAATGACCTACTGGAACGTGAAAATTGGATGTTGCAGGGTGACCTGCCGCATTCGCCGCTCATTTCCTTGGTGTATGCAGCAAACTGCACAGCCCATGCTGTGGTTGAAGACGGGAGGGTAGCACCAGCAATGTGGCAAATTTGTGACACAATCAGGCAGCTGTTCCCAGATATCTTTCTATTGGAACTGGGCCCAGAATTGATCGAGAGCAAGCCACTCCGCACGCCGGCCCAAAAATTTTTGGATGCTTTGGTTGAAGTGCGGGATTTCGCCTACTATGTGGATTTTCGAGTGCTGGATAGTTTGAAGGTTGGAGAAGTGCCCGCCACCAGGCAGAGAATGTATTTGGTTGGCGTCAAAAAGCACAAGCTTCTACAACAGTGGCAGTGGCCGGAGACATGCCCAGCACCGAAGTTATCCCAATTCCTGGAGCCTAGGCCGAAACACGCGCACCGCATGTCCAGACCTTTGAGTGGCATCGCGCAGCAAAACCTCGCACGAGCCATGAAGGCAATCAAGAAGGCTGAGCGAAGCGCAAAACCCAGCAAGGAATGTTTTGTGGTGGACCTGGGGACTGCCCTGAACAGACGAGTTCTGTGGGCAAAGGAAAGGGTGCCATACATGAGCTACAAGCATGTCCCAGGCATGTGGATGACGCACCTCAAGGACACCATGAACCCGATGGAAATGCTGAAGTGTCAGGGTTACCACACGAAAGAGGTGGAAAAGTTGGTCCAGGAAACACATCCGACTATAGTCTATGAAATGACCAGCAAAACCTGTAATGTGAACGTTGCAGAGAAATTATTGGCAGCCCTACTACCTGCAGTTGGCGCTTGAAGCCCAACCATACACGACGCCAAACTTTGAAGGCGCCGTTGTCATGCTCATATTGCTAGAGAGGCGGAAGAGAAAAAACAGGCGTAGGTGCCAGACAGGTTAGTATAGAAACAAGTTCATTGTTAAAACAGAAGTGGGCTTCAGTTGAAGCAGTCGCACAAAGTGTGACGCACAGGCTTTTGCTGAGTCATTGTTCATGAGGGAGGAACGGAGGATATGCAACCGTTGCAAAAAGATCGTGCAGCACCTAGCAACCATGCAAGGAATGAAATCTGGTGAGATCATGTTCCAGGTCGAACTAACCACTTTACTGTCAACCAGCTTTCGCTTTCACGGAAACATTTGCTGTGGGTTTGGTGATGATTGATGAAACCTTTTGTACGGAAGTCTTCGTTGGAAACAAGTCCAGCCAATTCACTGGGATCAAGCACGCCATGCCCAGTAGCCGTTTTTGCAGCCCCAGTTGCAGCCGTTTTTGCGGCCATTTGTGCAGCTGTTTCGATGAGGCAAGTTGCAAATGGACACAGTCGGACGCCTCACACAATCAAACCGCTGTGGCTGACTGAGAGACGGACCGGTTTGTGACAGTGCGCATCACACGTGGCCATCAGTGAAAGCATGCGCAATTGGTAGACTTCTGTCGGTCAAGAATATCTGGCAGGTGCCGCAAGGAGAAAGGTACCAAGAAGAACAAGGCGCAAGAAGCACAGGAAAGAAGTGCTGGTCAGAAAGCAGTGACTGTGTGCAGACACGTATGAAAACTGCAGAGATTGTTTGCGCATGTTCCACAGTGTTTTGGCAAACAGCACGGGTTTCAAGAAGTCATCACATGGACATGAGCACGCCTGGTCCCTCTTATTGTGTGCAAGCAACCGACTAGTTACCTTGTTAGAGAATCATTTGAAGGATGAAAAGACACACATACCACATCCAAACCAGAAAGATATGGATGGAATGCAAGGCAGACACAGCGCTGCGAGCATCCAAAATTGCAAAGATTGTTTGTGCAAGTTCCACAGTGTTGTGGCAAACGGCAGGGGTTGTAAGAAAGTCATGACGCGGGCATGGGCCCCCCTGTCCCCTTTATTTTGCGAAAGCAACCAACGAGTTACCTTGTGAAAGAATCATCTGTGAAGGATTAAAAGACACACATACCACGTCCAACCAAAGCGATATGGATGGAGTGGAAGGCAGACAGAGCGCTTCGCGCAGCCGACCTGGCCACGAGGTGCTGCCAGTGCCTGGCGATGGGTACTGTTTGTTTCACTGCGTAAATTTTTTCTGCCGGCAGACTGATGCGGACGAATTTGCGTGGGATCAGCACCGAGCAGCCGGCCTGTACTTGAGAGCTTTGGAATACTTGTGGCATGGACTTAGGCAGACCGATGCGGATGCCGCGGTCATAGAAAGCGCCTGTGTACCTGAGTCAGACAATGAACTCAACATGCATCGGCACTATTTGCACCGGAAAGCTGGCATACCCCCCAGAAAACTGGAAGCAGTCACTGATGCAGAGACGGTGCTGTGGAGTAAAATTGAAGCAGTGCTGAGCAAGCAACATGTCCTGGACAGCTTTCATCATGGTTCTGTGGTGGAACTTTGGGCCTTATGCAGAATCTTTTCGTTTGAAGCAATCATTTGGGGTGGGAAAGAAGATGAGAACATCAGAGTAAGCACCCTAGAAGCCCTATCCGACGAACAAGCCAAAGAGGTCTTGAGGAACCATGTGCACGTCATGGAAGTACTTTATCGGCCGATGGGCTGTACGGGACATTATGACATCATCAAGGGGCGCGGTCACACCGGAATGGCGCAGGCAGTTTCTGGCTGGGAAAAATTGTGGCTGGAGGCAGGCAGCAAAGCAGTTCGAGAGGCAATGAAAGCCGAAGCAGCCAAACAGGGAAAAGCAGAGCATGTGCAGGAGGTGGTGTCGGTGCCCGGTGATGGATACTGCTTGTTTCACTGTGTATGCTATTTCTTCCAGCAAGGTGACAAAGGCGCCTTTGTGTGGGATCAGCAGCGAGCCGCGGGCCTGTACTTGAGAGCTTTGGAATACTTGTGGCATGGACTGCGGCAGACCGATGCAGATGCCGCAGTCATGGAAAGCGCCTGTGTGCCTGAGTCGGACAATGAACTCAACATGCATCGGCAGTATCTGCATCGGAAAGCTGGCGTACTCCCCAGAAAACTGGAAGCGGTCACTGATGCAGAGACGGTGCTGTGGAGTAAAATTGAAGCAGTGCTGAGCAAGCAAGATGGCCTGGACAGCTTTCATCATGGTTCTGTGGTGGAACTTTGGGCCTTATGCAGAATTTTTTCGTTTGAAGCAATCATTTGGGGCACACAAGCAGGCGAAAACTATCGGGTCAGCACCCTAGAAGCCATTTCCAGCGAAGAAGTCAAAGATGTCCTTGCAAAGCACACCAACGTAATGGAACTGGTGTACCAAGGCCTGGGTTGCACAGGGCATTATGATGTTGTGAAGACTTCAGTTTGCGACGGGTTGGAGTTGCTGATGCTGGGCTGGGAGAAGTTGTGGAGGGAAGGCGGCAGCCGAGCCGTTCGACAAGTTCTCAAACAGAGACCTGCCATGCAACAGGAACGTGACAGCACCGTATGGTCAGATGAGTCATCACAAGACAGCTGCAAGAGGCAGAATGAAAAACCAGAGGACGTTGAAGGGCAAGATGGCAGCACAATGTCGACGGAATCGGAGGTTGAAGGCATCCAAGGCTTGGACATAGGTGACATACGCGCTGCTGAAGGGAGACGCATCCTGACACCCGAGGATGACATGGAAGACAGGTGCAGGGCCATTCGTGTGCTGCTGCAGGAGTTTCCGATGCATCCGAAGCCATTGCAAGGTTGGTCCGCACAGTCGTGTGGCCCAATGGCAGGAGTGGCATACCCTGCAGCACATTGTGCATTCGCGGGTTGTCATTGGAACAGTGATGCGGAGCCTTGTGTTTCATGGCACACAAACCCTGGAGCCTGGGCAGTCCATGGGTCAATGTGGAAACGATCTACGGGTGCTTGCTGTGGTGACAGTACACAGTGTCTTTGGGCGCATCTTTGGGCAAAGCACAGGGAAACTTTAGCCGTACACGGTGCTGACACAACGCCCGAGGTCGGATGGTGCGCCTACAAGCGCGCGTTAGTGCTGCAAGAGGAGAGGAATGTGCCAGCACTCGGCTGGTCCGTGGATCGACGAACCTTGCGTCGCTTGCGCAGCGGCTTACAGGAGCACGAGTGCGCAGCATTGATTTGCGCATGTTGCGCCGGTATTCACAGCACCGGCACAAGAGCAAACTGTGGCTATGTGTCCGTTAAGGTCCTTTTTGGCAGCCTGACAAAGCGAAGTTTGGACGCAAACTGGAATGCAGAGGAATTTGAGCACAGGTATCAGTGGCAAGAAATGGCCCATGGGCAGGAGTGGGAACGGAAGCTACCGGGCAACATATTCGCAGGGCAGCGGGTTTTGTGCTGCCCAGAAGACATACGTTGCGACACTTGTCAAGGCCGAGATGGCCAGTTGTGCGAAGACTGTCAAATTCCTCTTTGTCGCAAATGTTGGGACGGCATGAGGCATTATCAGGACCCAAGAGTGCCAGAGGCACTAACGAACGACAACTGGTACGGCTACCCTTGGAACTTCCTGTATGAAGAAAAGGTCCGGTCGATCGAAGCGGCAGCAGCCTCACCTGTTTGGACATCAATCGTCATTTTTTACATTGAGGGCGACCGTGGTCACTTGATGGAAGAAGAATTACACCGCGGAGAAGTTCGAGCTGCCGCAAGGGGCAATATAAGCTCATTCAGTATGCCTTGGGAAGAAATTTATGGGAACTTACAGAGTGCCAATGCAGCGGATCTGTTGGACAAATTGCCTCATCCACCAGAAGCTCTCAGCCGCATGGTGAAATTCACAGTGAAAGGAATGAAGCACAGTGAAATCGTTGACTGGGTCGCCGGTGCAAAAATACGACCCTGGGTGGTCTTGAAGTTGTTAGAGCACCTCTTGGATATCGGACATCCCATGTGCAGGGGCCGAGACAAGGCAACTCTATGCCAAGAATTCAAGGAGAAGGTTGCTGCAAGATATGGGGACGTTGAAATGACACCGGCAAACGTTCAACAAGTCCTGGAGGAAAAGGCCAAGAAAGGGAATCCAACCCCGCATCAGAAGCACGCCACGCCCGCAGCGGCGAGCCTGCAGACAATGGACGGAGAGGCTTACCAGGGCAGTCTTCGCCCAGAGATTTTGTCAGAAGACTATACCAGTGGACAGCTTGCGCATCGCGAAACCATGGAGGTGACAAGACTGGGGAACGTAGCAAAAGAGTTGTCAGTGGTCACTGGCAATACATTTTGGGACCAATGGCAAAGTCGGTTTCTGAGCTGGGCTTACCCCTTCAGCCTGCCATTGCCTGTGGGAGGCCCTGATTTTCCTTCCCGGCCGAGAGACCGGCGAAAAGAGGAAGCTGCTCGGCTAACACCTATTGCGCACTTGCGCGCCCTTGCCCGAAGAGTGGAAAGTTCCATCCGGAATTCTTGGGATTTGGTGCCGGGCGTACGACGCATCACCATGAAGTGGCACTCGGTCTGGAACGCAAAACTCTGGAGAACCTGGAGGAACAAGAAAGAGCAAGTGGCAGAAATTCCCGCAAGCACATGGGTCAGAGCAGCAGAACGCCTGTACGAAAGGCTGCGAAAGGGGAAGTATTGTACCGGCAAGCAGCTGAAACCAATAGACTACGATACAAGAAAGCTCTGGTATGCCGAAGGTCTTACAAAGCCAGAAAGAGAGATCCTCATTGCTGTGCGCAATAGGCAACAGACAATGCCGGGAACAGTGGAAGTACGCAAGCAAATTGGAAGGTATTTGTTCGGGGCTCGTGTTGAGCTGGGTGAGCCTCTCTTTGTCACTGTATCTCCAACTACTCGGCATAACGGTCTGTGCATGAGATTCTCAAGGTATCGAGCTCGGGACCCCGCTGCGCAAGAGATGCGCGGACCTTGGTTCGCGAGAGACAAGCCGCCTCTCTGGAACAAAGATGAGCTTGCAGACATTGACCTACCAGACTACGAGGTGCGAAGGGCGCTGACTGCACGTGATCCATGGGCGACTGTGCTGGCTTTTCAACGCATGATACGTTTCGTATTCGGAGAACTGCTTGGAATAAGGCTGTGCCCGGATTGCCCGCACTGTGCTTGTAATGACCAATGGGGGCAAGGTTTCCACGTTGGCGGCGGTGTGCTCGGTCTGGTCAAGGGCATCTGTGGAGCAATCGAGTACCAAAGTAATTCAGCACCCCACTTTCATGGACATGTTTACATTGCAACAGTCTGGCAGCAGCCCTTGAAAGTGTTAGCTGAACAAGTGGAACAACAATTGATGACCAAAGAGAAGATCTTCCAGTTTCACCAGTGGGTGCACAACGAAGTCTATTTTGACAAAGCAAAACAAGAGCTGGACGAAGCAGCCGTTGAGAGATCCTGGGCCGGGAACTACCAAGAAGAGGCAAAGAATCAGCTGTCCCTGTGGCCGCAATTCCTGGCAAACGACCATGGTGCAAGCCCTTGGCTGGATGCGAGCATGACCGAAGCCGCTGCAATGACAGAAGCCGCTGAATACAAGAACGCCTACAAAGCGGCAGTGCAAGAAAAGATGTTGCATTATCAGCATCACGTCCACCCGTGGGATAAGGAACGGAAAGAACGGAAGCTTTTGCCGGCGTGTCACAAGAAAGGGTCGCACAAAAAATGCAAGCACAATTTCCCGAAGAAGCTGAACTTGATGCCGAGAGTTATTTGCCGTAGAAACTCACGCAAATATGGGGTGAGCACGCGCGGTCGTCGGAACGCGCTTGGCGCCGTATTGGGGCAGCGGCACAATGAGTGGTTGTCTGGGACTGCCCCTGCTTTTTCCTTGATGCTCATGGGCAACAGTCACACTGCCCCCAATTTCCGGGTTCCTTTGTGCAAAAGCACGCACGATGAAGACTGCAAACGGAAGTGCTTGGAGAAATACACCGTTGCGCACCTGACGCATGTCATGGATCTGGCCGCCCGACGGGCAACCAAATATTTCACCGGCTATTTGCAAAAACCACAGCCGCTTGGAAAAAAGGAATTGCAGGAGGCGGCAAAGCAGCTTGTTTTTTTGGAGAGCAAAACGGCGCAACTAGACAAAGGCATCAAACAGCACGAGACTGTGGTGAATCGTGTTCTTGGGGACCTGGAGTTCCGGTGTTCGGTGCGGCCTTTGACCGAAGAATTTATGCTAGCTGGGTTTGCAGACGCCAATGACCCCACTGCTGCAGAGAGCATACGAAGCTTCCAGACACAGCCTTTTCGGGGCTTGGAATTGCTGTGGTTGTTGCGACCAATGAGTGCTGAACCCACAGTGGATGTGCAAGCTCGTCAAAGGCGAAAGTACACGACTTTGGATCTCTATGGTTGGCGAGGCAGTGACGCACGAGTACTTTACTTGTCCCCGTGGGAATTTGTGAAACTTTGGACCTTGTGGAAGGTAGAGCCGCCTAGTCACAGTGAAGATTCACTCACCGAGTGGGCCGGCCCAGAAGAGCAGAAGGCAAGAATCGCCGGCTGGCATCATGGGCGAGCCTATCGGTGGAAGACAACCTTGCCCCAGAAGGCAGCTTTGGACGTTGTTCGCATTCCGAAAGCATTAGGGCTTGGCAGAATGTGGAGCACGCATTATTTCAAACGCAGAGCCACACCGGCGGTGCCTAGCCCGTGCAGTTGTCCTTTGCCTCGCCCAGAAACCTCTGCAGAGGAGAAGGCTTTGATGTTGAACGCTTACTTACGCCCGTGGGTTTTGGACCTGAGGCACGCGAGCACGCGTGTTCCGCATATTTGCGCCTTGGACCGTTCCATTTCAGAGCAACTGTCCAACATGCCCGCAACAAAGCGGTACTCTGGCAAGACTAGCGTTGGAAAACGCAGCCATGCCATGGCTTGGGAAGATTACGTTCGGAACCACATTGTTTCTGAGCATGCTGCGGGCACAATTCGCAATTTTCTTGCAGCGTTGGACACTGACATGGATGACATTGACGAAGAAGGCTGCAAACAGAAAGGTGCAGAAAAGGAGGTGGATACAAGCTGGGTAACATTGGACATCATCAATCAGATCACGCAGGCAGAAGGCGCGCAGCACACCACCCGAGTGGGAGCAGCCGTTAAAAACATTGTCCAGCATTGGTCGCACAATGCGGAGGGTTTGGAGAGCGATGGGCTTTCTGTGGCGAAGACAGGGGCAATGGTGGACACCGGACGAACAAGCCAAGAACCACAAGAAACACGGAATTGGAAAGGAGACGGTGAAAGCCAACCGCCAGTGATTTTCAGTTATGGAAAATTAACTGCGCAGGCTGCAGAAGCATGGGTGGCCGGTTTGCAAGCAGGCCAAAGCAGTTTGCTACCAAGCGAGGAACAACTTGCATTTCTGAACGCCGTGATCCATAGATGCTTGCAAGAAGCGGATGAAGAAGAAAAGGACCCAGACTTTCGGAGCGAGCCCGAACGGTGTTTTCTGCATGGGGTGCCAGGAGCGGGCAAATCCCAGACCTTGAAGTGGGTGCGAGCCTTTTTTGAGGATGTATGTGACTGGGTGCATGAGAAGGAGTTTGTGTTCTTAGCGCCCCAAAACACACAGGCGGCTTTGATAGATGGGATTACGCTTCATTCGTTCGCAAATCTTGGCATCAAGGGGGATGGCCGTGCAGCACCCAGCAAATTTGGGCCAGACAAGTTCACAAAGTATCAGCGCATCCGTTGGGTCGTGGTCGATGAAACCAGTACAGTGCCTTTAGAAGTGTTGGTGGCATTGGAAAAGCAAATGACGGTGGCCGCGCGCGACAAGCGCACATGGAAACTGCGAGAGCCAAAGCAACCGCGCATGTTCGGCGGCTGCAACTTGGTTCTGGCGGGCGATTTCTGGCAATTTCCTGCAGTGCGCGCCACGTCCGTCTTCCACAATCCATGGGCCAAAACACGCAGTTTTGGAGTTGCTGCCATGCAACGTTTTCTTTGGACACATTCAGTGCAAAACATGGCGCAGTTGTTTGAACTCACAAAAGAGCAGCGATGCGTGGATCCTTGGCTGAGCTTTGTGTTGCAGGAAGCCCGACACGGCAGACAATCCCAGGAAGTGTGGTCTTTCCTTCATGGATATCCAACCCTGCACGCAGGTTCCTGGAACCCAAGCACGGGGAAGTGCACTTGCCAACGTGCAGAGTGCGAAGCACTCTACCAAAAGTGGGCCGTTGAAGTCAAAAACGGTGTGGTGCGAGCATGGGCAATTCGTCAAGAAGAAGAGTGCACGCAATGTCAGGCCGAACGTCGGCGTCGGTGCATAGTGGCAGGGACAAGTCTTTTGTCGCCTAACCCCAAAGACATGAAGTTCTTGGCCGGGCCGTTCATTCATGCACTGAACGCAGCCAAGTACATTGCGGCGCAGCTCCGTGCCAAGTTTGTTGCCCGGCACAGAAAACACCTTCTACTTTGGGTTGTTGCAAAGGATATGCCTTTGTTTACAGGGGAACACGGTGATCCGACCGCAGGCACCGCAGCGAAAGAGTCATGGTTGAGAAGGCACGATCAGGACACTGGCGGGATCATGGGGCTGTTGCCGCTCTTGCCAGGTATGCCGGTGCGCGTGACGCAGACATTGCCAGAACTTCGGCGCTTCAAAATTTACAAGAACACAAGGGCGACCTTGCTAGGATGGAGTTTAGATGAACATGATTTGGAACGCATCCGAGACTCGACAGGCATGGAATTGGTGCTTGAAAAAATGCCAGCCTGTCTCTTTTTGAAGATAGAAGGCGCAACATGGCAAGAAGAGCTAGATGCGGAGGTTGGGGTCATACGTGTTCGTCCCATTCTGCAACATTGGAAGGTGGACCCTCAAGGACTTGCGACCATTGCACGCCGAGGATTTCCAATTGCCTGCGACTACGCAGGGACAGCACACTCTTTCATGGGCTCAACATTAAAGGCATGCACACTGGACTTAGAAGCATGGAATGCGCCTTCAAATCGCGATGCGCAATTGAGTGGCTACATGTGTTTGTCACGCGTGAAGAAGTGTGAGGACGTATGCGTGACACAGGCATTTTCGCCAAACCTTTTTGCGCAGGGTGATTTGCTCGGGCCCAGGTTACTCCTGGCACAGGCAGGCCACAGATCTCGCTGAAGCAAAAAAAAGCTTTGCTATGGAGAAACCAAAGCGGCAGCGAACAAAGGACATACTGTTGGCCTGTCGCTTATGCACCCTCAACAACGACGGACTTGAGGTCTGGAAGCCTTGGGCGGACTTTGACAGTGCGCACTTGGACAACCCCAGGCAGCTGTTGGAAGACGGAATGGACAGAATGTGCAAGGAATGTGCGGCGGCACAGGCTGCACCACAAGAAGTGACCGCATCTCCTTGCGGTTGGTGTGGAGAAGTGACAAATTCCAAATTGGGCTTTTGTGGCAAATGCTTACTAACAGTGCGATTGGCTTGCAGAGTTTGTGACGCTGAAAGGCATGGTGAACGGCAGCGATTGTTGCAAGAGTTCGATCCGGAGGAGGTGCGAAAGAGCAGGGCATCGAAAGAATTGCGGAAGCTGCGATGCAAACGCTGCAAGCCAAAACCTGCGAGAGTGAGTGGATTTGCCAAACAGAAACGTGAAAAACCAAAAACAGAAAGAGAAGTAAGGTGTTGCCAATGCAGCAAGCCGTTGCCAAAGTAT